GGGTCGTTGGATGTTTTCCCCTACGCCTATAGGGATCCATGCGCTTTCCTAGCATTTGTGGGCAGGCACGGCCGTCGTCGCGGGCGCCGAACTTTTCTGTGCGCGCGAACCAAGCTGAAGTTGCTTTGGTAGGTGTATTTGAACATGGGCCATCCGAATATGCAACAATATCCGGGTCGTTGGATGCTTTCCCCTACACCTATAGGGATCCGTGCGCTTCCTTAGTATTTGTGGGCAGGCACGGCCGTCGTCGCGGGCGCCGAACTTTTCTGTGCGCGCGAACTAAGCTGAAGTTGCTCTGGTAGGTGTATTTGAACATGGGCCACCTGAATATGCAACAATATCCAGGTCGTTGGATGCTTTCCCCTACGCTTATAGGAATCCGTGCGCTTCCTTAGCATTTGTGGGCAGGCACGGCCGTCGTCGCGGGCGCCGAACTTTTCTGTGCGCGCGAATTAAGCTGAAGTTGCTCTGATAGGTGTATTTGAATATGGGCCACCCAAATATGCATCAATATCCGGGTCGTTGGATGTTTTCCCCTACGCCTATAGGGATCCGTGCGCTTCCTTAGCATTTGTGGGCAGGCATGGCCGTCGTCGCGGGCGCCGAACTTTTCTGTGCGCGCGAACCAAGCTGAAGTTGCCCTGTTAGGTGCATTTAAACATGGGCCACCCGAATATGCAACAATATTCGGGTCGTTGGATGCTTTTCCCTATGCCTACAGGGATCCGTGGGCTTCCTTAGCATTCGCGGGCAGGCACGGGTATCTTCGCGGGCGCCGAACTTTTCTGTGCGCGCGAACCAAGCTGAAGTTGCTCTGGTAGGTGTATTTGAACATGGGCCACCCGAATATGCAACAATCTTCGGGTCCTTGGATGCTTTTCCCTACGCCTATAGGGATATGTGCGCTTCCTTAGCATTTGTGGGCAGGCAGGGCCGTCGTCGCGGGCGCCGAACTTTTCTGTGCGCGTGAACCAAGCTGAGGTTGCTCTGGTAGGTGTATCTGAACATGGGCCACACGAATATGCAACAATATTCGGGTCGTTGGATGCTTTTCCCTACGCCTATAGGGACCCGTCGCTTCCTTGGCATTTGTGTGCAGGCACGGCCGTCGTCGCGGGCGCCGAACTTTTCTGTGCGCCCGAACCAAGCTGAAGTTGCTCTGGTAGGTGTATCTGAACATGGGCCATCCGAATATGCAACAATATTTGGGGCGTTGGATGCTTTTCCCTACGCCTATAGGGATCCGTGCGCTTCCTTAGCATTTGTGTGCAGGCACGCCCGTCGTCGCGAGCGCCGAAAAATTCTGTGCGCGCGAACCAAGCTGAAGTTGCTCTTGTAGGTGTATTTGAACATGGGCCACCCGAATATGCAACAATATCCGGGTCGTTGGATGGTTTTCCCTACGCCTATAGGGATCCGTGCGCTTCCTTAGCATTTGTGTGCAGGCACGGCCGTCGTCGCGGGCGCCGAACATTTCTGTGCGCGCGAACCAAGCTGAAGTTGCTCTTGTAGGTGTATTTGAACATGGGCCACCCGATTATGCAACAATATTCGGGTCGTTGGATGCTTTTCCCTACGCCTATAGGGATCCGTGCGCTTCCTTAGCATTTGTGTGCAGGCACGCCCGTCGTCGCGGGCGCCGAACTTTTCTGTGCGCGCGAACCAAGCTGAAGTTGCTCTGGTAGGTGAATCTGAACATGGGCCACCCGAATATGCAACAATATTCGGGTCATTGGATGGTTTTCCCTACGCCTATAGGGATCCGTGCGCTTCCTTAGCATTTGTGGGCAGGCACGGCCGTCGTCGCGGGCGCCGAACTTTTCTGTGCGCGCGAACCAAGCTGAAGTTGCTCTGGTAGGTGTACTTAACATGGGCCACCCGAATATGCAACAATATTCGGGTCGTTGGATGCTTTCCCCTACGCCTATAGGGATCCGTGCGCTTCCTTAGCATTTGTGGGCAGGCACGGCCGTCGTCGCGGGCGCCGAACTTTTCTGTGCGCGCGAACCAAGCTGAAGTTGCTCTTGTAGGTGTACTTAACATGGGCCACCCGAATATGCAACAATATCCGGGTCGTTGGATGCTTTCCCCTACGCCTATAAGGATCCGTGCGCTTCCTTAGCATTTGTGGGCAGGCAGGGCCGTCGTCGCGGGCGCCGAACATTTCTGTGCGCGCGAAACAAGCTGAAGTTGGTGTGGTAGGTGTATTTGAACATGGGCCACCCGAATATGCAACAATAGCCAGGTCGTTGGATGCTTTTCCTTACGCCTATAGGGATCCGTGCGCTTCCTTAGCATTTGTGTGCAGGCACGGCCGTCGTCGCGGGCGCCGAACATTTCTGTGCGCGCGAAACAAGCTGAAGTTGCTTTGGTAGGTGTATCTGAACATGGGCCACCCGAATATGCAACAATATTCGGGTCGTTGGATGCTTTTCCCTACGCCTATAGGGATCCGTGCGCTTCCTTAGCATTTGTGTGCAGGCAGGGCCGTCGTCGCGGGCGCCGAACATTTCTGTGCGCGCGAACCAAGCCGAAGTTGCTCTGGTAGGTGTATCTGAACATGGGCCACCCGAATATGCAACAATATCCGGGTCGTTGGATGCTTTCCTCTACGCCTATAGGGATCCGTGCGCTTCCTTAGCATTTGTGGGCAGGCAGGGCCGTCGTCGCGGGCGCCGAACTTTTCTGTGCGCGCGAACCAAGCCGAAGTTGCTCTGGTAGGCGTATCTGAACATGGGCCACCCGAATATGCAACAATACCTGGGTCGTTGGATGCTTTCCCCTACGCCTATAGGGATCCGTGCGCTTCCTTAGCATTTGTGGGCAGGCACGGCCGTCGTCGCGGGCGCCGAACTTTTCTGTGCGCGCGAACCAAGCCGAAGTTGCTCTGGTAGGCGTATTTGAACATGGGCCACCCGAATATGCAACAATACCTGGGTCGTTGGATGCTTTCCCCTACGCCTATAGGGATCCGTGCGCTTCCTTAGCATTTGTGGGCAGGCACGGCCGTCGTCGCGGGCGCCGAACTTTTCTGTGCGCGCGAACCAAGCCGAAGTTGCTCTGGTAGGCGTATCTGAACATGGGCCACCCGAATATGCAACAATACCCGGGTCGTTGGATGCTTTCCCCTACGCCTATAGGGATCCGTGCGCTTCCTTAGCATTTGTGGGCAGGCACGGCCGTCGTCGCGGGCGCCGAACTTTTCTGTGCGCGCGAACCAAGCCGAAGTTGCTCTGGTAGGCGTATCTGAACATGGGCCACCCGAATATGCAACAATACCCGGGTCGTTGGATGCTTTCCCCTACGCCTATAGGGATCCGTGCGCTTCCTTAGCATTTGTGGGCAGGCACGGCCGTCGTCGCGGGCGCCGAACTTTTCTGTGCGCGCGAACCAAGCCGAAGTTGCTCTGGTAGGCGTATCTGAACATGGGCCACCCGAATATGCAACAATACCCGGGTCGTTGGATGCTTTCCCCTACGCCTATAGGGATCCGTGCGCTTCCTTAGCATTTGTGGGCAGGCACGGCCGTCGTCGCGGGCGCCGAACTTTTCTGTGCGCGCGAACCAAGCCGAAGTTGCTCTGGTAGGCGTATCTGAACATGGGCCACCCGAATATGCAACAATACCCGGGTCGTTGGATGCTTTCCCCTACGCCTATAGGGATCCGTGCGCTTCCTTAGCATTTGTGGGCAGGCACGGCCGTCGTCGCGGGCGCCGAACTTTTCTGTGCGCGCGAACCAAGCCGAAGTTGCTCTGGTAGGCGTATCTGAACATGGGCCACCCGAATATGCAACAATACCCGGGTCGTTGGATGCTTTCCCCTACGCCTATAGGGATCCGTGCGCTTCCTTAGCATTTGTGGGCAGGCACGGCCGTCGTCGCGGGCGCCGAACTTTTCTGTGCGCGCGAACCAAGCCGAAGTTGCTCTGGTAGGCGTATCTGAACATGGGCCACCCGAATATGCAACAATACCCGGGTCGTTGGATGCTTTCCCCTACGCCTATAGGGATCCGTGCGCTTCCTTAGCATTTGTGGGCAGGCACGGCCGTCGTCGCGGGCGCCGAACTTTTCTGTGCGCGCGAACCAAGCCGAAGTTGCTCTGGTAGGCGTATCTGAACATGGGCCACCCGAATATGCAACAATACCCGGGTCGTTGGATGCTTTCCCCTACGCCTATAGGGATCCGTGCGCTTCCTTAGCATTTGTGGGCAGGCACGGCCGTCGTCGCGGGCGCCGAACTTTTCTGTGCGCGCGAACCAAGCCGAAGTTGCTCTGGTAGGCGTATCTGAACATGGGCCACCCGAACATGCAACAATACCCGGGTCGTTGGATGCTTTCCCCTACGCCTATAGGGATCCGTGCGCTTCCTTAGCATTTGTGGGCAGGCACGGCCGTCGTCGCGGGCGCCGAACTTTTCTGTGCGCGCGAACCAAGCCGAAGTTGCTCTGGTCGGCGTATTTGAACATGGGCCACCCGAACATGCAACAATACCCGGGTCGTTGGATGCTTTCCCCTACGCCTATAGGGATCCGTGCGCTTCCTTAGCATTTGTGGGCAGGCACGGCCGTCGTCGCGGGCGCCGAACTTTTCTGTGCGCGCGAACCAAGCCGAAGTTGCTCTGGTCGGCGTATTTGAACATGGGCCACCCGAACATGCAACAATACCCGGGTCGTTGGATGCTTTCCCCTACGCCTATAGGGATCCGTGCGCTTCCTTAGCATTTGTGGGCAGGCACGGCCGTCGTCGCGGGCGCCGAACTTTTCTGTGCGCGCGAACCAAGCCGAAGTTGCTCTGGTCGGCGTATTTGAACATGGGCCACCCGAACATGCAACAATACCCGGGTCGTTGGATGCTTTCCCCTACGCCTATCGGGATCCGTGCGCTTCCTTAGCATTTGTGGGCTGGCACGGCCGTCGTCGCGGGCGCCGAACTTTTCTGTGCGCGCGAACCAAGCCGAAGTTGCTCTGGTCGGCGTATTTGAACATGGGCCACCCGAACATGCAACAATATCCGGGTCGTTGGATGCTTTCCCCTACGCCTATGGGATCCGTGCGCTTCCTTAGCATTTGTGGGCTGGCACGGCCGTCGTCGCGGGCGCCGAACTTTTCTGTGCGCGCGAACCAAGCGGAAGTTGCTCTGGTGGGCGTATTTGAACATGGGCCACCCGAACATGCAACAATATCCGGGTCGTTGGATGCTTTCCCCTACGCCTATGGGGATCCGTGCGCTTCCTTAGCATTTGTGGGCTGGCACGGCCGTCGTCGCGGGCGCCGAACTTTTCTGTGCGCGCGAACCAAGCTGAAGTTGCTCTGGTGGGCGTATTTGAACAAGGGCCACCCGAACATGCAACAATATCCGGGTCGTTGGATGCTTTCCCCTACGCCTATGGGGATCCGTGCGCTTCCTTAGCATTTGTGGGCTGGCACGGCCGTCGTCGCGGGCGCCGAACTTTTCTGTGCGCGCGAACCAAGCGGAAGTTGCTCTGGTGGGTGTATTTGAACACGGGCCACCCGAATATGCAACAATATCCGGGTCGTTGGATGCTTTCCCCTACGCCTATGGGGATTCGTGCGCTTCCTTAGCATTTGTGGGCAGGCACGCCCGTCCTCGCGGGCGCCGAAAATTACTGTGCGCGCGAACCAAGCTGAAGTTGCTCTGGTAGGTGTATTTGAACACGGGCCACCCGAATATCCAACAATATCCGGGTCGTTGGATGCTTTTCCCTACGCCTACCCCGCCCCATTCTCCCGCTTTCCATCACTCCGCCCCATTCTCCCGCTTTCCATCACCCCGCCCCATTCTCCCTCTTTCCATCACCCCGCCCCATTCTCCCTCTTTCCATCACCCCGCCCCATTCTCCCTCATTCCACCACCCCGCCCCATTCTCCCTCTTTCCATCACCCCTCCCCATTCTCCCGCTTTCCGTCACCCCGCCTCATTCTCCCTCATTCCATCACCCCGCCCCATTCTCCCTCTTTCCATCACCCCGCCCCATTCTCCCGCTTTCCACCACCCCGCCCCATTCTCCCGCTTTCCATCACCCCGCCCCATTCTCCCTCTTTCCATCACCCCGCCCCATTCTCCCTCTTTCCATCACCCCGCCCCATTCTCCCTCTTTCCATCACCCCGCCCCATTCTCCCGCTTTCCATCACCCCGCCCCAGTCTCCCGCTTTCCATCACCCCGCCCCATTCTCCCGCTTTCCGTCACCCCGCCCCATTCTCACGCTTTCCATCACCCCGCCCCATTCTCCCTCTTTCCATCACCGCGCCCCATTCTCCCGCTTTCCATCACCCCGCCCCATTCTCCCGCTTTTCATCACCCCGCCCCATTCTCCCTCTTTCCATCACCCCGCCCCATTCTCCCTCTTTCCATCACCCCGCCTCATTCTCCCTCTTTCCATCACCCCGCCCCATTCTCCCTCTTTCCATCACCCCGCCCCATTCTCCCTCTATCCATCACCCCGCCCCATTCTCTCTATTTCCATCACCCCGCCCCATTCTCCCGCTTTCCATCACCCCGCCCCATTCTCCCGCTTTCCATCACCCCGTTCCATTCTCCCGCTTTCCATCACCCCGCCCCATTCTCCCGCTTTCCATCACCCCGCCCCATTCTCCCGCTTTCCATCACCCCGCCCCATTCTCCCTCTTTCCATCACCCCGCCCCATTCTCCCTCTTTCCATCACCCCGCCCCATTCCTCCGCTTTCCATCACCCCGCCCCATTCTCCCGTTTTCCATGACACCGCCCCATTCTCCCGCTTTCCATCACCCCACCCCATTCTCCCTCTTTCCATCACCCCGCCCCATTCTCCCTCTTTCCATCACCCCGCCCCATTCTCCCTCTTTCCATCTCCCCGCCTCCCTCTTTCCATCACCCCGACCCATTCTCCCTCTTTTCATCACCCCGCCCCATTCTCCCGCTTTCCATCACCTTGCCCCATTCTCCTTCTTTCCATCACCCCGACCCATTCTCTCTCTTTCCACCACCCCGCCCCATTCTCCCTCTTTCCATCACCCCTCCCCATTCTCCCGCTTTCCATCACCCCGCCCCATTCTCCGTCTTTCCATCACCCCGCCCCATTCTCCCTCTTTCCATCACCCCGCCCCATTCTCCCGCTTTCCATCACCCCGCCCCATTCTCCCGCTTTCCATCACCCCGCCCCATTCTCCCTCTTTCCATCACCCCGCCCCATTCTCCCTCTTTCTATCACCCCGCCCCATTCTCCCTCTTTCCATCACCCCGCCCCATTCTCCCGCTTTCCATCACCCCGCCCCATTCTCCCGCTTTCCATCACCCCGCCCCATTCTCCCGCTTTCCGTCACCCCGCCCCATTCTCCCGCTTTCCATCACCCCGTCCCATTCTCCCTCTTTCTATCACCGCGCCCCATTCTCCCGCTTTCCATCACCCCGCCCCATTCTCCCTCTTTCCATCACCCCCACCCCATTCTCCCGCTTTCCATCACCCCGCCCCATTCTCCCGCTTTCCATCACTCCGCCCCATTTTCCCTCTTTCCATCACCCCGCCCCATTCTCCCTCTTTCCATCACCCCGCCCCATTCTCCCTCTTTCTATCACCGCGCCCCATTCTCCCGCTTTCCATCACCCCGACCCATTCTCCCTCTTTCCATCACCCCCACCCCATTCTCCCGCTTTCCATCACCCCGCCCCATTCTCCCGCTTTCCATCACTCCGCCCCATTCTCCCGCTTTCCATCACCCCGCCCCATTCTCCCTCTTTCCATCACCCCGCCCCATTCTCCCTCTTTCCATCACCCCGCCTCATTCTCCCTCTTTCCATCACCCCGCCCCATTCTCCCTCTTTCCATCACCCCGCCCCATTCTCCCTCTTTCCATCACCCCACCCCATTCTCCCTCTTTCCATCACCCCCACCCCATTCTCCCGCTTTCCATCACCCCGCCCCATTCTCCCTCTTTCCATCACCCCCACCCCATTCTCCCGCTTCCCATCACCCCGCCCCATTCTCCCGCTTTCCATCACTCCGCCCCATTCTCCCGCTTTCCATCACCCCGCCCCATTCTCCCTCTTTCCATCACCCCGTCCCATTCTCCCTCTTTCCATCACCCCGCCTCATTCTCCCTCTTTCCATCACCCCGCCCCATTCTCCCTCTTTCCATCTCCCCGCTCCATTCTCCCTCTTTCCATCACCCCGCCCCATTCTCTCTATTTCCATCACCCCGCCCCATTCTCCCGCTTTCCATCACCCCGCCCCATTCTCCCGCTTTCCATCACCCCGCCCCATTCTCTCTATTTCCATCACCCCGCCCCATTCTCCCGCTTTCCATCACCCCGCCCCATTCTCCCGCTTTCCATCACCCCGCCCCATTCTCCCGCTTTCCATCACCCCGCCCCATTCTCCCGCTTTCCATCACCCCGCCCCATTCTCCCGCTTTCCATCACCCCGCCCCATTCTCCCTCTTTCCATCACCCCGCCCCATTCTCCCTCTTTCACCCCGCCCCATTCTCCCTCTTTCCATGACCCCCCGCCCCATTCTCCCTCTTTCCATCACCCCGCCCCATTCTCCCTCTTTCCATCACCCCGCCCCATTCTCCCTCTTTCCATCACCCCGCCCCGTTCTCCCTCTTTCCATCTCTTCGCCTCCCTCTTTCCATCACCCCGACCCATTCTCCCTCTTTCCATCACCCCGCCCCATTCTCCCGCTTTCCATCACCTTGCCCCATTCTCCCTCTTTCCATCACCCCGCCCCATTCTCCCTCTTTCCACCACCCCGCCCCATTCTCCCTCTTTCCATCACCCCTCCCCATTCTCCCGCTTTCCATCACCCCGCCCCATTCTCCCTCTTTCCATCACCCCGCCCCATTCTCCCTCTTTCCATCACCCTGCCCCATTCTCCCGCTTTCCATCACCCCGCCCCATTCTCCCGCTTTCCATCACCCCGCCCCATTCTCCCTCTTTCCATCACCCCGCCCCATTCTCCCTCTTTCTATCACCCCGCCCCATTCTCCCTCTTTCTATCACCCCGCCCCATTCTCCCGCTTTCCATCACCCCGCCCCATTCTCCCGCTTTCCATCACCCCGCCCCATTCTCCCGCTTTCCGTCACCCCGGCCTATTCTCCCGCTTTCCATCACCCCGCCCCATTCTCCCGCTTTCTATCACCGCGCCCCATTCTCCCTCTTTCCATCACCCCGACCCATTCTCCCGCTTTCCATCACCCCGCCCCATTCTCCCGCTTTCCATCACCCCGCCCCATTCTCCCGCTTTCCATCACCCCGCCCCATTCTCCCTCTTTCCATCACCCCGCCCCATTCTCCCTCTTTCACCCCGCCCCATTCTCCCTCTTTCCATCACCCCGCCCCATTCTCCCTCTTTCCATCACCCCGCCCCATTCTCCCTCTTTCCATCACCCCCACCCCATTCTCCCGGTTTCCATCACCCCGCCCCATTCTCCCTCTTTCCATCACCCCCACCCCATTCTCCCGCTTTCCATCACCCCGCCCCATTCTCCCGCTTTCCATCACCCCGCCCCATTCTCCCGCTTTCCATCACCCCGCCCCATTCTCCCTCTTTCCATCACCCCGCCCCATTCTCCCTCTTTCCATCACCCCGCCTCATTCTCCCTCTTTCCATCACCCCGCCCCATTCTCCCTCTTTCCATCACCCCGCCCCATTCTCCCTCTTTCCATCACCCCGCCCCATTCTCCCTCTTTCCATCACCCCCACCCCATTCTCCCGCTTTCCATCACCCCGCCCCATTCTCCCTCTTTCCATCACCCCCACCCCATTCTCCCGCTTTCCATCACCCCGCCCCATTCTCCCGCTTTCCATCACTCCGCCCCATTCTCCCGCTTTCCATCACCCCGCCCCATTCTCCCTCTTTCCATCACCCCGCCCCATTCTCCCTCTTTCCATCACCCCGCCTCATTCTCCCTCTTTCCATCATCCCGCCCCATTCTCCCTCTTTCCATCACCCCGCTCCATTCTCCCTCTTTCCATCACCCCGCCCCATTCTCTCTATTTCCATCACCCCGCCCCATTCTCCCGCTTTCCATCACCCCGCCCCATTCTCCCGCTTTCCATCACCCCGCCCCATTCTCCCGCTTTCCATCACCCCGCCCCATTCTCCCGCTTTCCATCACCCCGCCCCATTCTCCCGCTTTCCATGACCCCGCCCCATTCTCCCGCTTTCCATCACCCCGCCCCATTCTCCCGCTTTCCATCACCCCGCCCCATTCTCCCTCGTTCCATCACCCCGCCCCATTCTCCCTCTTTCTATCACCCCGCCCCATTCTCCCTCTTTCCATCACCCCGCCCCATTCTCCCGCTTTCCATCACCCCGCCCCATTCTCCCGCTTTCCATCACCCCGCCCCATTCTCCCGCTTTCCATCACCCCGCCCCATTCTCCCGCTTTCCCTCACCCCGCCCCATTCTCCCTCTTTCTATCACCGCGCCCCATTCTCCCGCTTTCCATCACCCCGCCCCATTCTCCCTCTTTCCATCACCCCCACCCCATTCTCCCGCTTTCCATCACCCCGCCTCATTCTCCCGCTTTCCATCACTCCGCCCCATTCTCCCGCTTTCCATCACCCCGCCCCATTCTCCCTCTTTCCATCACCCCGCCCCATTCTCCCTCTTTCCATGACCCCGCCCCATTCTCCCGCTTTCCATCACCCCGCCCCATTCTCCCTCTTTCCATCACCCCGCCCCATTCTCCCGCTTTCCATCACCCCGCCCCATTCTCCCGCTTTCCATCACTCCGCCCCATTCTCCCGCTTTCCATCACCCCGCCCCATTCTCCCTCTTTCCATCACCCCGCCCCATTCTCCCTCTTTCCATCACCCCGCCCCATTCTCCCTCTTTCCATCACCCCGCCCCATTCTCCCTCTTTCCATCACCCCGCCCCATTCTCCCTCTTTCCATAACCCCGCCCCATTCTCCCTCTTTCCATCACCCCCACCCCATTCTCCCGCTTTCCATCACCCCGCCCCATTCTCCCTCTTTCCATCACCCCCACCCCATTCTCCCGCTTTCCATCACCCCGCCCCATTCTCCCGCTTTCCATCACTCCGCCCCATTCTCCCGCTTTCCATCACCCCGCCCCATTCTCCCTCTTTCCATCACCCCGCCCCATTCTCCCTCTTTCCATCACCCCGCCCCATTCTCCCTCTTTCCATCACCCCGCCCCATTCTCCCTCTTTCCATCACCCCGCTCCATTCTCCCTCTTTCCATCACCCCGCCCCATTCTCTATATTTCCATCGCCCCGCCCCATTCTGCCGCTTTCCATCACCCCGCCCCATTCTCCCGCTTTCCATCACCCCGCCCCATTCTCCCGCTTTCCATCACCCCGCCCCATTCTCCCGCTTTCCATCACCCCGCCCCATTCTCCCGCTTTCCATCACCCCGCCCCATTCTCCCGCTTTCCATCACCCCGCCCCATTCTCCCTCTTTCCATCACCCCGCCCCATTCTCCCTCTTTCCATCACCCCGCCCCTTTCTCCCTCTTTCCATCATCCCGCCCCGTTCTCCCTCTTTCAATCTCCTCGCCTCCCTCTTTCCATCACCCCGCCCCATTCTCCCTCTTTCCATCACCCCGCCCCATTCTCCCGCTTTCCATCACCCCGCCCCATTCTCCCGCTTTCCATCACCCCGGCCCATTCTCCCTCTTTCCATCACCCCGCCCCATTCTCCCGCTTTCCATCACCCCGCCCCATTCTCCCTCTTTCCATCACCCCGCCCCATTCTCCCTCTTTCCATCACCCCGCCTCATTCTCCCTCTTTCCATCACCCCGCCCCATTCTCCCTCTTTCCATCACCCCGCCCCATTCTCCCTCTTTCCATCACCCCGCCCCATTCTCCCTCTTTCCATCACCCCCACCCCATTCTCCCGCTTTCCATCACCCCGCCCCATTCTCCCTCTTTCCATCACCCCCACCCCATTCTCCCGCTTTCCATCACCCCGCCCCATTCTCCCGCTTTCCATCACTCCGCCCCATTCTCCCGCTTTCCATCACCCCGCCCCATTCTCCCTCTTTCCATCACCCCGCCCCATTCTCCCGCTTTCCATGACCCCGCCCCATTCTCCCGCTTTCCATCACCCCGCCCCATTCTCCCGCTTTCCATCACCCCGCCCCATTCTCCCGCTTTCCATGACCCGGCCCCATTCTCCCGCTTTCCATCACCCCGCCCCATTCTCCCTCTTTCCATCACCCCGCCCCATTCTCCCTCTTTCCATCACCCCGCCCCATTCTCCCTCTTTCCATCATCCCGCCCCGTTCTCCCTCTTTCAATCTCCTCGCCTCCCTCTTTCCATCACCCCGACCCATTCACCCTCTTTCCATCACCCCGCCCCATTCTCCCGCTTTCCATCACCTTGCCCCATTCTCCCTCTTTCCATCACCCCGCCCCATTCTCTCTCTTTCCACCACCCCGCCCCATTCTCCCTCTTTCCATCACCCCGCCCCATTCTCCCGCTTTCCATCACCCCGCCCCATTCTCCCTCTTTCCATCACCCCGCCCCATTCTCCCTCTTTCCATCACCCCGCCTCATTCTCCCTCTTTCCATCACCCCGCCCCATTCTCCCTCTTTCCATCACCCCGCCCCATTCTCCCTCTTTCCATCACCCCGCCCCATTCTCCCTCTTTCCATCACCCCCACCCCATTCTCCCGCTTTCCATCACCCCGCCCCATTCTCCCTCTTTCCATCACCCCCACCCCATTCTCCCGCTTTCCATCACCCCGCCCCATTCTCCCGCTTTCCATCACTCCGCCCCATTCTCCCGCTTTCCATCACCCCGCCCCATTTTCCCTCTTTCCATCACCCCGCCCCATTCTCCCGCTTTCCATCACCCCGCCCCATTCTCCCGCTTTCCATCACCCCGCCCCATTCTCCCGCTTTCCATCACCCCGCCCCATTCTCCCGCTTTCCATCACCCCGCCCCATTCTCCCGCTTTCCATCACCCTGCCCCATTCTCCCTCTTTCCATCACCCCGCCCCATTCTCCCGCTTTCCATCACCCCGCCCCATTCTCCCGCTTTCCATCACCCCGGCCCATTCTCCCTCTTTCCATCACCCCGCCCCATTCTCCCGCTTTCCATCACCCCGCCCCATTCTCCCTCTTTCCATCACCCCGCCCCATTCTCCCTCTTTCCATCACCCCGCCTCATTCTCCCTCTTTCCATCACCCCGCCCCATTCTCCCTCTTTCCATCACCCCGCCCCATTCTCCCTCTTTCCATCACCCCGCCCCATTCTCCCTCTTTCCATCACCCCCACCCCATTCTCCCTCTTTCCATCACCCCCACCCCATTCTCCCTCTTTCCATCACCCCGCCCCATTCTCCCGCTTTCCATCACCCCGCCCCATTCTCCCGCTTTCCATCACTCCGCCCCATTCTCCCGCTTTCCATCACCCCGCCCCATTCTCCCTCTTTCCATCACCCCGCCCCATTCTCCCTCTTTCCATCACCGCGCCTCATTCTCCCTCTTTCCATCACCCCGCCCCATTCTCCCTCTTTCCATCACCCCGCTCCATTCTCCCTCTTTCCATCACCCCGCCCCATTCTCTCTATTTCCATCACCCCGCCCCATTCTCCCGCTTTCCATCACCCCGCCCCATTCTCCCGCTTTCCATCACCCCGCCCCATTCTCCCGCTTTCCATCACCCCGCCCCATTCTCCCGCTTTCCATCACCCCGCCCCATTCTCCCGCTTTCCATGACCCCGCCCCATTCTCCCGCTTTCCATCACCCCGCCCCATTCTCCCTCTTTCCATCACGCCGCCCGATTCTCCCTCTTTCCATCACCCCGCCCCATTCTCCCTCTTTCCATCACCCCGCCCCGTTCTCCCTCTTTCCATCTCCTCGCCTCCCTCTTTCCATCACCCTGACCCATTCTCCCTCTTTCCATCACCCCGCCCCATTCTCCCGCTTCCCATCACCTTGCCCCATTCTCCCTCTTTCCATCACCCCGCCCCATTCTCCCTCTTTCCACCACCCCGCCCCATTCTCCCTCTTTCCATCACCCCTCCCCATTCTCCCGCTTTCCATCACCCCGCCCCATTCTCCCTCTTTCCATCACCCCGCCCCATTCTCCCTCTTTCCATCACCCTGCCCCATTCTCCCGCTTTCCATCACCCCGCCCCATTCTCCCGCTTTCCATCACCCCGCCCCATTCTCCCTCTTTCCATCACCCCGCTCCATTCTCCCTCTTTCTATCACCCCGCCCCATTCTCCCTCTTTCTATCACCCCGCCCCATTCTCCCGCTTTCCATCACCCCGCCCCATTCTCCCGCTTTCCATCACCCCGCCCCATTCTCCCGCTTTCCGTCACCCCGCCCCATTCTCCCTCTTTCTATCACCGCGCCCCATTCTCCCGCTTTCCATCACCCCGACCCATTCTCCCTCTTTCCATCACCCCCACCCCATTCTCCCGCTTTCCATCACCCCGCCCCATTCTCCCGCTTTCCATCACTTCGCCCCATTCTCCCGCTTTCCATCACCCCGCCCCATTCTCCCTCTTTCCATCACCACGCCCCATTCTCCATCTTTCCATCACCCCGCCTCATTCTCCCTCTTTCCATCCCCCCGCCCCATTCTCCCTCTTTCCATCACCCTGCCTCATTCTCCCTCTTTCCATCACCCCGCCCCATTCTCCCTCTTTCCATCACCCCGCCCCATTCTCCCTCTTTCCATCACCCCCACCCCATTCTCCCGCTTTCCATCACCCCGCCCCATTCTCCCTCTTTCCATCACCCCCACCCCATTCTCCCGCTTCCCATCACCCCGCCCCATTCTCCCGCTTTCCATCACTCCGCCCCATTCTCCCGCTTTCCATCACCCCGCCCCATTCTCCCTCTTTCCATCACCCCGCCCCATTCTCCCTCTTTCCATCACCCCGCCTCATTCTCCCTCTTTCCATCACCCCGCCCCATTCTCCCTCTTTCCATCACCCCGCTCCATTCTCCCTCTTTCCATCACCCCGCCCCATTCTCTCTATTTCCATCACCCCGCCCCATTCTCCCGCTTTCCATCACCCCGCCCCATTCTCCCGCTTTCCATCACCCCGCCCCATTCTCCCGCTTTCCATCACCCCGCCCCATTCTCCCGCTTTCCATCACCCCGCCCCATTCTCCCGCTTTCCATGACCCCCCGCCCCATTCTCCCTCTTTCCATCACCCCGACCCATTCTCCCTCTTTCCATCACCCCCACCCCATTCTCCCGGTTTCCATCACCCCGCCCCATTCTCCCGCTTTCCATCACTCCGTCCCATTCTCCCGCTTTCCATCACCCCGCCCCATTCTCCCTCTTTCCATCACCCCGCCCCATTCTCCCTCTTTCCATTACCCCGCCCCATTCTCCCTCTTTCCATCACCCTGCCTCATTCTCCCTCTTTCCATCACCCCGCCCCATTCTCCCTCTTTCCATCACCCCGCCCCATTCTCCCTCTTTCCATCACCCCCACCCCATTCTCCCGCTTTCCATCACCCCGCCCCATTCTCCCTCTTTCCATCACCCCCGCCCCTTTCTCCCGCTTCCCATCACCCCGCCCCATTCTCCCGCTTTCCATCACTCCGCCCCATTCTCCCGCTTTCCATCACCCCGCCCCATTCTCCCTCTTTCCATCACCCCGCCCCATTCTCCCTCTTTCCATCACCCCGCCTCATTCTCGCTCTTTCCATCACCCCGCCCCATTCTCCCTCTTTCCATCACCCCGCTCCATTCTCCCTCTTTCCATCACCCCGCCCCATTCTCTCTATTTCCATCACCCCGCCCCATTCTCCCGCTTTCCATCACCCCGCCCCATTCTCCCGCTTTCCATCACCCCGCCCCATTCTCCCGCTTTCCATCACCCCGCCCCATTCTCCCGCTTTCCATCACCCCGCCCCATTCTCCCGCTTTCCATGACCCCCCGCCCCATTCTCCCTCTTTCCATCACCCCGCCCCATTCTCCCTCTTTCCATCACCCCCACCCCGTTCTCCCTCTTTCCATCTCCTCGCCTCCCTCTTTCCATCACCCCGACCCATTCTCCCTCTTTCCATCACCCCGCCCCATTCTCCCGCTTTCCATCACCTTGCCCCATTCTCCCTCTTTCCATCACCCCGCCCCATTCTCCCTCTTTCCACCACCCCGCCCCATTCTCCCTATTTCCATCACCCCTCCCCATTCTCCCGCTTTCCATCACCCCGCCCCATTCTCCCTCTTTCCATCACCCCGCCCCATTCTCCCTCTTTCCATCACCCTGCCCCATTCTCCCGCTTTCCATCACCCCGCCCCATTCTCCCGCTTTCCATCACCCCGCCCCATTCTCCCTCTTTCCATCACCCCGCCCCATTCTCCCTCTTTCTATCACCCCGCCCCATTCTCCCTCTTTCTATCACCCCGCCCCATTCTCCCGCTTTCCATCACCCCGCCCCATTCTCCCGCTTTCCATCACCCCGCCCCATTCTCCCGCTTTCCGTCACCCCGCCCCATTCTCCCGCTTTCCATCACCCCGCCCTATTCTCCCTCTTTCTATCACCGCGCCCCATTCTCCCGCTTTCCATCACCCCGACCCATTCTCCCTCTTTCCATCACCCCCACCCCATTCTCCCGCTTTCCATCACCCCGCCCCATTCTCCCGCTTTCCATCACTCCGCCCCATTCTCCCGCTTTCCATCACCCCGCCCCATTCTCCCTCTTTCCATCACCCCGCCCCATTCTCCATCTTTCCATCACCCCGCCCCATTCTCCCTCTTTCCATCACCCCGCCCCATTCTCCCTCTTTCCATCACCCCGCCCCATTCTTCCTCTTTCCATCACCCCGCCCCATTCTCCCTCTTTCCATCACCCCCACCCCATTCTCCCGGTTTCCATCACCCCGCCCCATTCTCCCTCTTTCCATCACCCCCACCCCATTCTCCCGCTTTCCATCACCCCGCCCCATTCTCCCGCTTTCCATCACTCCGCCCCATTCTCCCGCTTTCCATCACCCCGCCCCATTCTCCCTCTTTCCATCACCCCGCCCCATTCTCCCTCTTTCCATCACCCCGCCTCATTCTCCCTCTTTCCATCACCCCGCCCCATTCTCCCTCTTTCCATCACCCCACCCCATTCTCCCTCTTTCCATCATCCCACCCCATTCTCCCTCTTTCCATCACCCCCACCCCATTCTCCCGCTTTCCATCACCCCGCCCCATTCTCCCTCTTTCCATCACCCCCACCCCATTCTCCCGCTTTCCATCACCCCGCCCCATTCTCCCGCTTTCCATCACTCCGCCCCATTCTCCCGCTTTCCATCACCCCGCCCCATTCTCCCTCTTTCCATCACCCCGCCCCATTCTCCCTCTTTCCATCACCCCGCCTCATTCTCCCTCTTTCCATCACCCCGCCCCATTCTCCCTCTTTCCATCACCCCGCTCCATTCTCCCTCTTTCCATCACCCCGCCCCATTCTCTCTATTTCCATCACCCCGCCCCATTCTCCCGCTTTCCATCACCCCGCCCCATTCTCCCGCTTTCCATCACCCCGCCCCATTCTCCCGCTTTCCATCACCCCGCCCCATTCTCCCGCTTTCCATCACCCCGCCCCATTCTCCCGCTTTCCATCACCCCGCCCCATTCTCCCTCTTTCCATCACCCCGCCCCATTCTCCCTCTTTCCATCACCCCGCCCCATTCTCCCGCTTTCCATCACCCCGCCCCATTCTCCCGCTTTCCATCACCCCGCCCCATTCTCCCGCTTTCCGTCACCCCGCCCCATTCTCCCGCTTTCCCTCACCCCGCCCCATTCTCCCTCTTTCTATCACCGCGCCCCATTCTCCCGCTTTCCATCATCCCGACCCATTCTCCCTCTTTCCATCACCCCCACCTCATTCTCCCGCTTTCCATCACCCCGCCCCATTCTCCCGCTTTCCATCACTCCGCCCCATTCTCCCGCTTTCCATCACCCCGCCCCATTCTCCCTCTTTCCATCACCCCGCCCCATTCTCCATCTTTCCATCACCCCGCCCCATTCTCCCTCTTTCCATCACCCCGCCCCATTCTCCCTCTTTCCATCACCCCGCCCCATTCTCCCGCTTTCCATCACCCCGCCCCATTCTCCCGCTTTCCATCACTCCGCCCCATTCTCCCGCTTTCCATCACCCCGCCCCATTCTCCCTCTTTCCATCACCCCGCCCCATTCTCCCTCTTTCCATCACCCCGCCTCATTCTCCCTCTTTCCATCACCCCGCCCCATTCTCCCTCTTTCCATCACCCCGCCCCATTCTCCCTCTTTCCATCACCCCGCCCCATTCTCCCTCTTTCCATCACCCCCACCCCATTCTCCCGGTTTCCATCACCCCGCCCCATTCTCCCTCTTTCCATCACCCCCACCCCATTCTCCCACTTTCCATCACCCCGCCCCATTCTCCCGCTTTCCATCACTCCGCCCCATTCTCCCGCTTTCCATCACCCCGCCCCATTCTCCCTCTTTCCATCACCCCGCCCCATTCTCCCTCTTTCCATCACCCCGCCTCATTCTCCCTCTTTCCATCACCCCGCCCCATTCTCCCTCTTTCCATCACCCCGCCCCATTCTCCCTCTTTCCATAACCCCGCCCCATTCTCCCTCTTTCCATCACCCCCACCCCATTCTCCATCTTTCCATCACCCCGCCCCATTCTCCCTCTTTCCATCACCCCCACCCCATTCTCCCGCTTTCCATCACCCCGCCCCATTCTCCCGCTTTCCATCACTCCGCCCCATTCTCCCTCTTTCCATCACCACGCCCCATTCTCCATCTTTCCATCACCCCGCCTCATTCTCCCTCTTTCCATCACCCCGCCCCATTCTCCCTCTTTCCATCACCCCACCCCATTCTCCCTCTTTCCATCACCCCGCCCCATTCTCCCTCTTTCCATCACCCCCACCCCATTCTCCCGCTTTCCATCACCCCGCCCCATTCTCCCTCTTTCCATCACCCCCACCCCATTCTCCCGCTTTCCATCACCCCGCCCCATTCTCCCGCTTTCCATCACTCCGCCCCATTCTCCCGCTTTCCATCACCCCGCCCCATTCTCCCTCTTTCCATCACCCCGCCCCATTCTCCCTCTTTCCATCACCCCGCCTCATTCTCCCTCTTTCCATCACCCCGCCCCATTCTCCCTCTTTCCATCACCCCGCCCCATTCTCCCTCTTTCCATCACCCCACCCCATTCTCCCTCTTTCCATCACCCCGCCCCGTTCTCCCTCTTTCCATCTCCTCGCCTCCCTCTTTCCATCACCCTGACCCATTCTCCCTCTTTCCATCACCCCGCCCCATTCTCCCGCTTTCCATCACCTTGCCCCATTCTCCCTCTTTCCATCACCCCGCCCCATTCTCCCTCTTTCCACCACCCCGCCCCATTCTCCCTCTTTCCATCACCCCTCCCCATTCTCCCGCTTTCCATGACCCCGCCCCATTCTCCCGCTTTCCATCACCCCGCCCCATTCTCCCTCTTTCCATCACCCCGCCCCATTCTCCCTCTTTCCATCACCCCGCCCCATTCTCCCTCTTTCCATCACCCCGCCCCGTTCTCCCTCTTTCCATCTCCTCGCCTCCCTCTTTCCATCACCCTGACCCATTCTCCCTCTTTCCATCACCCCGCCCCATTCTCCCGCTTTCCATCACCTTGCCCCATTCTCCCTCTTTCCATCACCCCGCCCCATTCTCCCTCTTTCCACCACCCCGCCCCATTCTCCCTCTTTCCATCACCCCTCCCCATTCTCCCGCTTTCAATCACCCCGCCCCATTCTCCCTCTTTCCATCACCCCGCCCCATTCTCCCTCTTTCCATCACCCTGCCCCATTCTCCCGCTTTCCATCACCCCGCCCCATTCTCCCGCTTTCCATCACCCCGCCCCATTCTCCCTCTTTCCATCACCCCGCCCCATTCTCCCGCTTTCCATCACCCCGCCCCATTCTCCCTCTTTCCATCACCCCGCCCCATTCTCCCTCTTTCCATCACCCCGCCCCATTCTCCCTCTTTCCATCACCCCTCCCCATTCTCCCGCTTTCCATCACCCCGCCCCATTCTCCCTCTTTCCATCACCCCGCCCCATTCTCCCTCTTTCCATCACCCGGCCCCATTCTCCCTCTTTCCATCACCCCACCCCATTCTCCCTCTTTCCATCACCCCCACCCCATTCTCCCGCTTTCCATCACCCCGCCCCATTCTCCCTCTTTCCATCACCCCCACCCCATTCTCCCGCTTTCCATCACCCCGCCCCATTCTCCCGCTTTCCATCACTCCGCCCCATTCTCCCGCTTTCCATCACCCCGCCCCATTCTCCCTCTTTCCATCACCCCGCCCCATTCTCTCTCTTTCCATCACCCCGCCTCATTCTCCCTCTTTCCATCATACCGCCCCATTCTCCCTCTTTCCATCACCCCGCTCCATTCTCCCTCTTTCCATCACCCCGCCCCATTCTCTCTATTTCCATCACCCCGCCCCATTCTCCCGCTTTCCATCACCCCGCCCCATTCTCCCGCTTTCCATCACCCCGCCCCATTCTCCCGCTTTCCATCACCCCGCCCCATTCTCCCGCTTTCCATCACCCCGCCCCATTCTCCCGCTTTCCATCACCCCGCCCCATTCTCCCGCTTTCCATCACCCCGCCCCATTCTCCCGATTTCCATCACCCCGCCCCATTCTCCCTCTTTCCATCACCCCGCCCCATTCTCCCTCTTTCTATCACCCCGCCCCATTCTCCCGCTTTCCATCACCCCGCCCCATTCTCCCGCTTTCCATCACCCCGCCCCATTCTCCCGCTTTCCATCACCCCGCCCCATTCTCCCGCTTTCCGTCACCCCGCCCCATTCTCCCGCTTTCCCTCACCCCGCCCCATTCTCCCTCTTTCCATCACCCCCACCCCATTCTCCCGCTTTCCATCACCCCGCCCCATTCTCCCGCTTTCCATCACCCCGCCCCATTCTCCCGCTTTCCATCACTCCGCCCCATTCTCCCTCTTTCCATCACCCCGCCCCATTCTCCCTCTTTCCATCACCCCGCCTCATTCTCCCTCTTTCCATCACCGCGCCCCATTCTCCCGCTTTCCATCACCCCGCCCCATTCTCCCTCTTTCCATCACCCCCACCCCATTCTCCCACTTTCCATCACCCCGCCCCATTCTCCCGCTTTCCATCACTCCGCCCCATTCTCCCGCTTTCCATCACCCCGCCCCATTCTCCCGCTTTCCATCACCCCGCCCCATTCTCCCTCTTTCCATCACCCCGCCTCATTCTCCCTCTTTCCATCACCCCGCCCCATTCTCCCTCTTTCCATCACCCCGCCCCATTCTCCCTCTTTCCATCACCCCACCCCATTCTCCCTCTTTCCATCACCCCCACCCCGTTCTCCCGGTTTCCATCACCCCGCCCCATTCTCCCTCTTTCCATCACCCCCACCCCATTCTCCCGCTTTCCATCACCCCGCCCCATTCTCCCGCTTTCCATCACTCCGCCCCATTCTCCCGCTTTCCATCACCCCGCCCCATTCTCCCTCTTTCCATCACCCCGCCCCATTCTCCCTCTTTCCATCACCCCGCCTCATTCTCCCGCTTTCCATCACCCCGCCCCATTCTCCCTCTTTCCATCACCCCGCCCCATTCTCCCTCTTTCCATCACCCCGCCCCGTTCTCCCTCTTTCCATCACCCCCACCCCATTCTCCCGCTTTCCATCACCCCGCCCCGTTCTCCCTCTTTCCATCACCCCCACCCCATTCTCCCGCTTTCCATCACCCCGCCCCATTCTCCCGCTTTCCATCACTCCGCCCCATTCTCCCGCTTTCCATCACCCCGCCCCATTCTCCCTCTTTCCATCACCCCGCCCCATTCTCCCTCTTTCCATCACCCCGCCTCATTCTCCCTCTTTCCATCACCCCGCCCCATTCTCCCTCTTTCCATCACCCCGCCCCATTCTCCCTCTTTCCATCATCCCACCCCATTCTCCCTCTTTCCATCACCCCCACCCCATTCTCCCGCTTTCCATCACCCCGTCCCATTCTCCCTCTTTCCATCACCCCCACCCCATTCTCCCGCTTTCCATCACCCCGCCCCATTCTCCCGCTTTCCATCACTCCGCCCCATTCTCCCGCTTTCCATCACCCCGCCCCATTCTCCCGCTTTCCATCACCCCGCCCCATTCTCCCGCTTTCCATCACCCCGCCTCATTCTCCCTCTTTCCATCATCCCGCCCCATTCTCCCTCTTTCCATCACCCCGCTCCATTCTCCCTCTTTCCATCACCCCGTCCCATTCTCTCTATTTCCATCACCCCGCCCCATTCTCCCGCTTTCCATCACCCCGCCCCATTCTCCCGCTTTCCATCACCCCGCCCCATTCTCCCGCTTTCCATCACCCCGCCCCATTCTCCCGCTTTCCATCACCCCGCCCCATTCTCCCGCTTTCCATCACCCCGCCCCATTCTCCCGCTTTCCATCACCCCGCCCCATTCTCCCTCTTTCCATCACCCCGCCCCATTCTCCCTCTTTCTATCACCCCGCCCCATTCTCCCTCTTTCTATCACCCCGCCCCATTCTCCCGCTTTCCATCACCCCGCCCCATTCTCCCGCTTTCCATCACCCCGCCCCATTCTCCCGCTTTCCGTCACCCCGCCCCATTCTCCCGCTTTCCCTCACCCCGCCCCATTCTCCCTCTTTCTATCACCGCGCCCCATTCTCCCGCTTTCCATCATCCCGACCCATTCTCCCTCTTTCCATCACCCCCACCCCATTCTCCCGCTTTCCATCACCCCGCCCCATTCTCCCGCTTTCCATCACTCCGCCCCATTCTCCCGCTTTCCATCACCCCGCCCCATTCTCCCTCTTTCCATCACCCCGCCCCATTCTCCATCTTTCCATCACCCCGCCCCATTCTCCCTCTTTCCATCACCCCGCCCCATTCTCCCTCTTTCCATCACCCCGCCCCATTCTCCCGCTTTCCATCACCCCGCCCCATTCTCCCGCTTTCCATCACTCCGCCCCATTCTCCCGCTTTCCATCACCCCGCCCCATTCTCCCTCTTTCCATCACCCCGCCCCATTCTCCCTCTTTCCATCACCCCGCCTCATTCTCCCTCTTTCCATCACCCCGCCCCATTCTCCCTCTTTCCATCACCCCGCCCCATTCTCCCTCTTTCCATCACCCCGCCCCATTCTCCCTCTTTCCATCACCCCCACCCCATTCTCCCGGTTTCCATCACCCCGCCCCATTCTCCCTCTTTCCATCACCCCCACCCCATTCTCCCGCTTTCCATCACCCCGCCCCATTCTCCCGCTTTCCATCACTCCGCCCCATTCTCCCGCTTTCCATCACCCCGCCCCATTCTCCCTCTTTCCATCACCCCGCCCCATTCTCCCTCTTTCCATCACCCCGCCTCATTCTCCCTCTTTCCATCACCCCGCCCCATTCTCCCTCTTTCCATCACCCCGCCCCATTCTCCCTCTTTCCATAACCCCGCCCCATTCTCCCTCTTTCCATCACCCCTCTCCATTCTCCCGCTTTCCATCACCCCGCCCCATTCTCCCTCTTTCCATCACCCCGCCCCATTCTCCCTCTTTCCATCACCCCGCCCCATTCTCCCGCTTTCCATCACCCCGCCCCATTCTCCCTCTTTCCATCACCCCGGCCCATTCTCCCGCCCCATTCTCCCGCTTTCCATCACCCCGCCCCATTCTCCCTCTTTCCATCACCCCGCCCCATTCTCCCTCTTTCCATCATCCCGCCCCGTTCTCCCTCTTTCAATCTCCTCGCCTCCCTCTTTCCATCACCCCGACCCATTCTCCCTCTTTCCATCACCCCGCCCCATTCTCCCGCTTTCCATCACCTTGCCCCATTCTCCCTCTTTCCATCACCCCGCCCCATTCTCCCTCTTTCCATCACCCCGCCCCATTCTCCCTCTTTCCATCATCCCGCCCCGTTCTCCCTCTTTCAATCTCCTCGCCTCCCTCTTTCCATCACCCCGACCCATTCTCCCTCTTTCCATCACCCCGCCCCATTCTCCCGCTTTCCATCACCTTGCCCCATTCTCCCTCTTTCCATCACCCCGCCCCATTCTCCCTCTTTCCACCACCCCGCCCCATTCTCCCTCTTTCCATCACCCCTCTCCATTCTCCCGCTTTCCATCACCCCGCCCCATTCTCCCTCTTTCCATCACCCCGCCCCATTCTCCCTCTTTCCATCACCCCGCCCCATTCTCCCGCTTTCCATCACCCCGCCCCATTCTCCCTCTTTCCATCACCCCGGCCCATTCTCCCTCTTTCTATCACCCCGCCCCATTCTCCCTCTTTCTATCACCCCGCCCCATTCTCCCTCTTTCCATCACCCCGCCCCATTCTCCCTCTTTCCATCACCCCGCCCCATTCTCCCGCTTTCCATCACCCCGCCCCATTCTCCCGCTTTCCGTCACCCCGCCCCATTCTCCCTCTTTCTATCACTGCGCCCCATTCTCCCGCTTTCTATCACCGCGCCCCATTCTCCCGCTTTCCATCACCCCACCCCATTCTCCCTCTTTCCATCACCCCCACCCCATTCTCCCGCTTTCCATCACTCCGCCCCATTCTCCCGCTTTCCATCACCCCGCCCCATTCTCCCTCTCTCCATCACCCCGCCCCATTCTCCCGCTTTCCATCACCCCGCCCCATTGTCCCGCTTTCCATCACCCCGGCCCATTCTCCCTCTTTCCATCACCCCGCCCCATTCTCCCGCTTTCCATCACCCCGCCCCATTCTCCCTCTTTCCATCACCCCGCCCCATTCTCCCTCTTTCCATCACCCCGCCTCATTCTCCCTCTTTCCATCACCCCGCCCCATTCTCCCTCTTTCCATCACCCCGCCCCATTATCCCTCTTTCCATCACCCCGCCCCATTCTCCCTCTTTCCATCACCCCCACCCCATTCTCCCGCTTTCCATCACCCCGCCCCATTCTCCCTCTTTCCATCACCCCCACCCCATTCTCCCGCTTTCCATCACCCCGCCCCATTCTCCCGCTTTCCATCACTCCGCCCCATTCTCCCGCTTTCCATCACCCCGCCCCATTCTCCCTCTTTCCATCACCCCGCCCCATTCTCCCTCTTTCCATCACCCCGCCTCATTCTCCCTCTTTCCATCACCCCGCCCCATTCTCCCGCTTTCCATCACCCCGCCCCATTCTCCCGCTTTCCATCACCCCGCCCCATTCTCCCGCTTTCCATCACCCCGGCCCATTCTCCCTCTTTCCATCACCCCGCCCCATTCTCCCGCTTTCCATCACCCCGCCCCATTCTCCCTCTTTCCATCACCCCGCCCCATTCTCCCTCTTTCCATCACCCCGCCTCATTCTCCCTCTTTCCATCACCCCGCCCCATTCTCCCTCTTTCCATCACCCCGCCCCATTCTCCCTCTTTCCATCACCCCGCCCCATTCTCCCTCTTTCCATCACCCCCACCCCATTCTCCCGCTTTCCATCACCCCGCCCCATTCTCCCTCTTTCCATCACCCCCACCCCATTCTCCCGCTTTCCATCACCCCGCCCCATTCTCCCGCTTTCCATCACCCCGCCTCATTCTCCCTCTTTCCATCACCCCGCCCCATTCTCTCTATTTCCATCACCCCGCCCCATTCTCCCGCTTTCCATCACCCCGCCCCATTCTCCCGCTTTCCATCACCCCGGCCCATTCTCCCTCTTTCCATCACCCCGCCCCATTCTCCCGCTTTCCATCACCCCGCCCCATTCTCCCGCTTTCCATCACCCCGCCCCATTCTCCCGCTTTCCATCACCCCGCCCCATTCTCCCGCTTTCCATCACCCCGCCCCATTCTCCCGCTTTCCATGACCCCGCCCCATTCTCCCGCTTTCCATCACCCCGCCCCATTCTCCCTCTTTCCATCACCCCGCCCCATTCTCCCTCTTTCCATCACCCCGCCCCATTCTCCCTCTTTCCATCATCCCGCCCCGTTCTCCCTCTTTCAATCTCCTCGCCTCCCTCTTTCCATCACCCCGACCCATTCTCCCTCTTTCCATCACCCCGCCCCATTCTCCCGCTTTCCATCACCTTGCCCCATTCTCCCTCTTTCCATCACCCCGCCCCATTCTCTCTCTTTCCACCACCCCGCCCCATTCTCCCTCTTTCCATCACCCCTCCCCATTCTCCCGCTTTCCATCACCCCGCCCCATTCTCCCTCTTTCCATCACCCCGCCCCATTCTCCCTCTTTCCATCACCCCGCCCCATTCTCCCGCTTTCCATCACCCCGCCCCATTCTCCCGCTTTCCATCACCCCGGCCCATTCTCCCTCTTTCCATCACCCCGCCCCATTCTCCCGCTTTCCATCACCCCGCCCCATTCTCCCTCTTTCCATCACCCCGCCCCATTCTCCCTCTTTCCATCACCCCGCCTCATTCTCCCTCTTTCCATCACCCCGCCCCATTCTCCCTCTTTCCATCACCCCGCCCCATTCTCCCTCTTTCCATCACCCCGCCCCATTCTCCCTCTTTCCATCATCCCGCCCCGTTCTCCCTCTTTCAATCTCCTCGCCTCCCTCTTTCCATCACCCCGACCCATTCTCCCTCTTTCCATCACCCCGCCCCATTCTCCCGCTTTCCATCACCTTGCCCCATTCTCCCTCTTTCCATCACCCCGCCCCATTCTCTCTCTTTCCACCACCCCGCCCCATTCTCCCTCTTTCCATCACCCCTCCCCATTCTCCCGCTTTCCATCACCCCGCCCCATTCTCCCTCTTTCCATCACCCCGCCCCATTCTCCCTCTTTCCATCACCCCGCCCCATTCTCCCGCTTTCCATCACCCCGCCCCATTCTCCCTCTTTCCATCACCCCGCCCCATTCTCCCTCTTTCCATCACCCCCACCCCATTCTCCCGCTTTCCATCACCCCGTCCCATTCTCCCTCTTTCCATCACCCCCACCCCATTCTCCCGCTTTCCATCACCCCGCCCCATTCTCCCGCTTTCCATCACCCCGCCTCATTCTCCCTCTTTCCATCACCCCGCCCCATTCTCTCTATTTCCATCACCCCGCCCCATTCTCCCGCTTTCCATCACCCCGCCCCATTCTCCCGCTTTCCATCACCCCGGCCCATTCTCCCTCTTTCCATCATTCGCCCCATTCTCCCGCTTTCCATCACCCCGCCCCATTCTCCCGCTTTCCATCACCCCGACCCATTCTCCCGCTTTCCATCACCCCGCCCCATTCTCCCGCTTTCCATCACCCCGCCCCATTCTCCCGCTTTCCATGACCCCGCCCCATTCTCCCGCTTTCCATCACCCCGCCCCATTCTCCCTCTTTCCATCACCCCGCCCCATTCTCCCTCTTTCCATCACCCCGCCCCATTCTCCCTCTTTCCATCATCCCGCCCCGTTCTCCCTCTTTCAATCTCCTCGCCTCCCTCTTTCCATCACCCCGACCCATTCTCCCTCTTTCCATCACCCCGCCCCATTCTCCCGCTTTCCATCTCCTTGCCCCATTCTCCCTCTTTCCATCACCCCGCCCCATTCTCTCTCTTTCCACCACCCCGCCCCATTCTCCCTCTTTCCATCACCCCTCCCCATTCTCCCGCTTTCCATCACCCCGCCCCATTCTCCCTCTTTCCATCACCCCGCCCCATTCTCCCTCTTTCCATCACCCCGCCCCATTCTCCCGCTTTCCATCACCCCGCCCCGTTCTCCCGCTTTCCATCACCCCGGCCCATTCTCCCTCTTTCCATCACCCCGCCCCATTCTCCCGCTTTCCATCACCCCGCCCCATTCTCCCTCTTTCCATCACCCCGCCCCATTCTCCCTCTTTCCATCACCCCGCCCCATTCTCCCTCTTTCCATCACCCCGCCCCATTCTCCCTTTTTCCATCACCCCGCCCCATTCTCCCTCTTTCCATCACCCCGCCCCATTCTCCCTCTTTCCATCACCCCCACCCCATTCTCCCGCTTTCCATCACCCCGCCCCATTCTCCCTCTTTCCATCACCCCCACCCCATTCTCCCGCTTTCCATCACCCCGCCCCATTCTCCCGCTTTCCATCACTCCGCCCCATTCTCCCGCTTTCCATCACCCCGCCCCATTCTCCCTCTTTCCATCACCCCGCCCCATTCTCCCTCTTTCCATCACCCCGCCCCATTCTCCCGCTTTCCATCACCCCGCCCCATTCTCCCGCTTTCCATCACCCCGCCCCATTCTCCCGCTTTCCATCACCCCGCCCCATTCTCCCGCTTTCCATCACCCCGCCCCATTCTCCCGCTTTCCATCACCCCGCCCCATTCTCCCGCTTTCCATCACCCCGCCCCATTCTCCCTCTTTCCATCACCCCGCCCCATTCTCCCTCTTTCCATCACCCCGCCCCATTCTCCCTCTTTCCATCATCCCGCCCCGTTCTCCCTCTTTCAATCTCCTCGCCTCCCTCTTTCCATCACCCCGACCCATTCTCCCTCTTTCCATCACCCCGCCCCATTCTCCCGCTTTCCATCACCTTGCCCCATTCTCCCTCATTCCATCACCCCGCCCCATTCTCCCTCTTTCCACCACCCCGCCCCATTCTCCCTCTTTCCATCACCCCTCTCCATTCTCCCGCTTTCCATCACCCCGCCCCATTCTCCCTCTTTCCATCACCCCGCCCCATTCTCCCTCTTTCCATCACCCCGCCCCATTCTCCCGCTTTCCATCACCCCGCCCCATTCTCCCTCTTTCCATCACCCCGGCCCATTCTCCCTCTTTCTATCACCCCGCCCCATTCTCCCTCTTTCTATCACCCCGCCCCATTCTCCCTCTTTCCATCACCCCGCCCCATTCTCCCTCTTTCCATCACCCCGCCCCATTCTCCCGCTTTCCATCACCCCGCCCCATTCTCCCGCTTTCCGTCACCCCGCCCCATTCTCCCTCTTTCTATCACCGCGCCCCATTCTCCCGCTTTCTATCACCCCGCCCCATTCTCCCGCTTTCCATCACCCCGCCCCATTCTCCCTCTTTCCATCACCCCCACCCCATTCTCCCGCTTTCCATCACTCCGCCCCATTCTCCCGCTTTCCATCACCCCGCCCCATTCTCCCTCTCTCCATCACCCCGCCCCATTCTCCCTCTTTCCATCACCCCGCCCCATTCTCCCTCTTTCCATCACCCCGCCCCATTCTCCCTCTCTCCATCACCCCGCCCCATTCTCCCTCTCTCCATCACCCCGCCCCATTCTCCCTCTTTCCATCACCCCGCCCCATTCTCCCTCTTTCCATCACCCCGCCCCATTCTCCCGCGTTCCATCACCCCGCCACATTCTCCCGCTTTCCATCACCCCGCCCCATTCTTCCGCTTTCCATCACCCCGCCCCATTCTCCCGCTTTCCATCACCCCGCCCCATTCTCCCGCTTTCCATCACCCCGCCCCATTCTCCCGCTTTCCATCACCCCGCCCCATTCTCCCTCTTTCCATCACCCCGCCCCATTCTCCCTCTTTCCATCACCCCGCCCCATTCTTCCTCTTTCCATCACCCCGCCCCATTCTCCCTCTTTCCATCACCCCTCCCCATTCTCCCGCTTTCCATCACCCCGCCCCATTCTTCCGCTTTCCATCACCCCGCCCCATTCTCCCGCTTTCCATCACCCCGCACCATTCTCCCGCTTTACATCACACCGCCCCATTCTCCCTCTTTCCAGCACCCCGCCCCATTCTCCCTCTTTCCATCACCCCGCCCCATTCTCCCTCTTTCCATCACCCCGCCCCATTCTCCCTCTTTCCATCACCCCGCCCCATTCTCCCGCTTTCCATCACCCCGCCTCCCATTCTCCCGCTTTCCATCACCCCGCTCCATTCTCCCGCTTTCCATCACCCCGCCCCATTCTCCCGCTTTCCATCACCCCGCCCCATTCTCCCGCTTTCCATCATCCCGCCCCATTCTCCCTCTTTCCATCACCCCGCCCCTTTCTCCCACTTTCCATCACCCCGCCCCATTCTCCCTCTTTCCATCACCCCGCTCCATTCTCCCGCTTTCCATCACCCCGCCCCATTCTCCCGCTTTCCATCACCCTGCCCCATTCTCCCGCTTTCCATCACCCCGCCCCATTCTTCCTCTTTCCATCACCCCGCCCCATTCTCCCTCTTTCCATCACCCCGCCCCATTCTCCGTCTTTCCATCACCCCGCCCCATTCTCCCTCTTTCCATCACCCCGCCCCATCTCCCTCTTTCCATCACCCGCCCCATTCTCCCTCTTTCCATCACCCCGCCCCATTCTCCCTCTTTCCATCACCCCGCCCCATTCTCCCTCTTTCCATCACCCCGCCCCATTCTCCGTCTTTCCATCACCCCGCCCCATTCTCCCTCTTTCCATCACCCCGCCCCATTCTCCCTCTTTCCATCACCCGCCCCATTCTCCCTCTTTCCATCACCCCGCCCCATTCTCCCTCTTTCCATCACCCCGCCCCATTCTCCCTCTTTCCATCAACCCGCCCCATTCTCCCTCTTTCCATCACCCCGCCCCATTCTCCCTCTTTCCATCTCCCCGCCCTGTTCTCCTGCTTTCCATCTCCCCGCCCTGTTCTCCTGCTTTCCATCACCCCGCCACGTTCTCCCGCTTTCCATCACCCCGCCCCGTTCTCCCGCTTTCCATCACCCCGCCCCGTTCTCCCGCCTTTCCATCACCCCGCCCCGTTCTCCCTCTTTCCATCACCCTGCCCCGTTCTCCCTCTTTCCATCACCCCGTCCCATTCTCCCGCTTTCCATCACCCCGCCCCATTCTCCCGCTTTCCATCACTCCGCCCCACTCTCGTGCTTTCCATCACCCTGCCCCATTCTACCTCTTTCCATCACCCCGCCCCATTCTCCCTCTTTCCATCACCCCGCCCCATTCTCCCTCTTTCCATCACCCCGCCTCATTCTCCCGCTTTCCATCACCCCGCCCCATTCTCCCTCTTTCCATAACCCCGCCCCAAACTCTCCCTCTTTCCATCACCCCGCCCCATTCTCCCTCTTTCCATCACCTCGCCCCATTCTCCCTCTCTCCATCACCCCGCCCCATTCTCCCTCTTTCCATCACCGCGCCCCATTCTCCCGCTCTCCATCACCCCGCCCCATTCTCACTCTCTCCATCACCCCGCCCCATTCTCCCTCTCTCCATCACCCCGCCCCATTCTCCCGCTCTCCATCACCCCGCCCCATTCTCCCGCTCTCCATCACGCCGCCCCATTCTCCCGCTCTCCATCACCCCGCCCCATTCTCCCGCTCTCCATCACCCCGCCCCACTCTCCGGCTCTCCATCACCCCGCCCCATTCTCCCGCTCTCCATCACCCCGCCCCATTCTCCCGCTTTCCATCACCCCGCCCCATTCTCCCGCTCTCCATCATCCCGCCCCATTCTCCCGCTCTCCATCACCCCGCCCCATTCTCCCTCCCTCCATCACCCCGCTCCATTCTCCCGCTCTCCATCACCCCGCCCCATTCTCCCGCTCTCCAACACCCCGCCCCAATCTCCCGCTCTCCATCACCCCGCCCCATTCTCCCGCTCTCCAACACCCTGCCCCATTCTCCCCTTTTCCATCACCACGCCCCATTCTCCCTCTCTCCATCACCCCGCCCCATTCTCCCGCTTTCCATCACCCCGCCCCATTCTCCCGCTTTCCATCACCCCGCCCCATTCTCCCGCCTTCCATCACCCCCTTCCCCCATTCTCCCGCTTTCCACCACCCCGCCCCATTCTCCCGCTTTCCATCACCCCGGCCCATTCTCCCGCTTTCCATCACCCCGCCCCATTCTCCCGCTTTCCATCACCCCGCCCAATTCTCCCGCTTTCCATCACCCCGCCCCATTCTCCCTCTTTCCATCACCCCGCCCCATTCTCCCTCTTTCCATCACCCCGCCCCATTCTCCCGCTTTTCATCACTCCGCCCCATTCTTCCGCTTTCCATCACCCCGCCCCATTCTCCTCCTTTCCATCACCCCGCCCCATTCTCCCGCTTTCCAAGCGTTTTTCTTCCGCCGGGTCATGTGGCTGCGCTTGTCTGGGCCTATTGCCAAGCTAGCAAGAGCGTGGGAGGGTAGCGAGCATCATCAGTCTTCGGCGCTCTCGAATGAAGAGCGGCCGCTGCACTTCCTGCACATGTGTGGATCCTTCTACGTTTTGGGGCTGGAAGCGCTCGTACGAGCGTTTTTCTTCCGCCGAGTCACGTAGCTGCGCTTGTCTGGGCCTATTGCGAAGCCAGCAAGGGCGTGGGAGGGTTGCGAGCATCATTGGTCATCGGCGCCCGCGAATGAAGAGCGCCCGCTGCATTTTCTGCACATGTGCGGATCCTTCCGTGTTTTGAGGCTGGAAGCGCTCGTTTCGAGTGTTTTTCTTCCGTCGGGTCACGTCGCTGTGCCTGCCTGGGCCTATTACCAAGCCAGCAAGGGCGTAGGAGGGTTGCGAGCATCATCGGTCATCGGCGCTCGCAAATGAAGAGCGCCCGCTGCACTTCTTGCACATGTGCGGATCCTTCCGTGTTTTGGGGGTGAAAACGCTCGTTTTGAGCGCTTTTCTTCCGCCGGGTCACGTCGCTGCGCTTGTCTGGGCCTATTGCCAAGCCAGCAAGGGCGTGGGAGGGTTGCGAGCACCATTGGTCATCGGCGCTTGCGAATGAAGAGCGCCCGCTGCACTTCCTGCACACGTGCGGATCCTTCCGCGTTTTGGGGCTGGAAGCGCTCGTTCCGAGCGCTTTTCTTCCGCCTGGTCACGTGGTTGCGCTTGCGTGGGCCTATTACTAAGCTAGCAAGGCCGTGGGAGGGTTGTGAGCATCATCGGTCATCGGCGCTCGCGAATGAAGAGCGCCCGCTGCACTTCTCGCACATGTGCGGATCCTTCCGTGTTTTGGGGGTGGAAGCGCTTGTTTTGAGCGCTTTTCTTCCGCCGGGTCACGTAGCTGCGCTTGTCTGGGCCTATCACCAAGCCAGCAAGGGCGTGAGAGGGTTGCGAGCATCATCTGTCATCGGCGCTCGCGAATGAAGAGCGCCCGCTGCACTTCCTGCACATGTGCGGATCCTTGCGCGTTTTGGGGTTGGAAGCACTCGTTCCGAGCGCTTTTCTTCCGCCTGGTCATGTGGCTGCGCTTTTCTGGGCCTATTACCAAGCCTGCAAGGGTGTGGGAGAGTTGCGAGCATCATCGGCCATCGGCGCTCGCGAATGAAGAGTGCAAGCTGCACTTCCTGCACATGTGCGGATCCTTCCGCGTTTTGGGGTTGGAAGCTTTTGTTTCGAGCGTTTTTTCTTCCGCCGGGTCACGTGGCTGCGATTGTCTGGGTCTATTACCAAGGTAGCAAGGGCGTGGGAGGGTTGCGAGCATCATCGGCCATCGGCGCTCGCGAATGAAGATCGCCCGTTGCATTTCCGAGCGTTTTGGTGCTGGGGGTGTTTGAGCTGGAGGGTGCTGGAGGTACTGGAGCTGGAGGCAGGCCCCTAGATTCGTTTTGAGGTAGTCTGACGCCTCAGAGTACACCCCTCCTAGAACTCTGTCTGTCAGAGGTGCCTCAAAATTTTAGTCTGAAAATTCAGACAAGCACAACTTTTTTTGTCTGAACTGTCAGAGTTACCCTCAAATTTTAAGATGATGATGCAGTATCGTAAAAGCATATTTATAATAGCATTGAAGCTGATTACAGCATACCAACTCAACTGTGCGGTACGAACCAGTCAGGGTCGGCGGGTTTGCATCAGGCAACGTGCTCGTGCATCGCCTTGGTTGTTTTGTCACGTGCAACGCATGGGTTATTTCTGCTGATTAGATTTCGTCTCGTCGTGTGTGTGATTACCGTTCTGTACCCATTTTCTCGCCTGTGTGCCGATTTTGTCAATTTTGGATTTGCGTTTCAAGCGATGTGATCATTCACCCGATTTGGTTGTTGTCACGTACAGTGCCAGGTGGGCCAAGTGCCACGCAGCTGAGCTGGCAGCAGGCAGAAACTGTTGGTTGGCGTGGCGTGTGTGAGCATCTGGCAGTGCCGCACGAAACTTTCACTACGAATCAGGAGCTTCGCAATTTCACAGCAGTGCGTGCTGCAGATTTTTTTACAAAGAATCAGCATCAAAATCGCCAATTCTTTAAAATACATTAGCGATAACTTACATGTGACGAGATTTTGTCTACGAAATCTCGTAATCACGCAACCATTTTCTTAGTGTAACTGGGAGATATTCTCGACGAACGAGTGTATTCGGATGTCCCAGCTGTTGAAGCGTGCGTTGCTCACGTCCTGGCACTCCACTGCCATCTCGGAAGTGGGCATATCGAAACGAAACTTCCAGGAAACTTCGTTTCGATAAGCTCGCAGAGTGCACCCCCGACACAAGTCTGAGGCTCAGCCTACACCCCTAAAAATTGGCTGAAATTTCAGCGGTTACAATAAAAAAAACTCTGAAAAATCAGAGAAGGTACATAAAAAAAAACTTACAGTTCAGACCAGGTACCAAAAAAAAGTCTGAATGGACGCTGAATCAGCGTAAAAAGTCTGATATCTAGGGCACTGGCTGGAGGTGCTCGAGGTGTTGGTGCGGGAGGTGCTGGAGTTGTGTACTGAATAGCGTCGACCGTTTTTTTTACCGCAGTTGCAATCATCACTATCACCACCTGGCTTGGTGCTTCGCCAGGTTCTACCCGCCAATAATTCATACCCCCTAATAATTCTATACTCCAAAAATTATGGCCCTACAATAATTGTACAATTATTGTAGGACCTGGAGTCCTATAAGGGGTACTACGGTAAAATTTAACAGCATAGGAATTCATCTCTCAACACACCTCAACGTTAACCCATTGTTACACTGCATCACTACATTTAGCAGACTAGGCTTAGCTACACAGCCATAAAAGATGCATACTTGGAAGAGAATTTACAGCACAATTTTTAGAACCATAATCTAGATACGGTACCTAATCCAATGTGTACAGTATTAGTCGTAGCACAGATGTTGTTTTCAACAGCACCCTCCTCTCTGTGCAGCAGCATCATTTCTTCCTCCTGCTCCTTGTGTGCCTCCAGTACCGTAACCCACCTTAATACCGTACGTCTGTTTGAACAAGAAAATGCAAACAGTGAGCAGTTGAATACCAGGGTTAAGTTGGGCAAAAATATATAAACAAACAAAAAAACAAACAAAGAACCGGGGGAAAAAAATCACCTCATTTGAAACATCAAATACGCCTTCTTGAATCTTCTGGTAAATTTTTGCTGCGGTATTTATGAAGGCCTGTAATGGCATGCAAAGACAAACATCAACAAGACTGGCTCGTGAACAGAGCGATGTGCTAGGAAACGGGACAGGTACAGCAATGGAAGTGGATATGTGACGAAAGTACAGGAAAATGCGGCGGTAAAAAAACTCCGATGGGACGTCGACAGAGATTCAGTGTCGGGAGAATGGGGAGGACGAGAGGCAGAAAACAGGAACAAGCCGTACCTCCTCCACGTTATGAGCAGTCTTTGCTGAAGTTTCCATGAACACAAGTCCATTCTCCTTCGCAAACTGCTCCCCTTCCTGGGTGCTGACTGCTCGACGATGTGCCAAATCACTCTTATTTCCGATGAGCATAATGGTCATATTCGAGTTAGCATGCTGCCGAGCATCTTCAAGCCAGCTCGTGAGATGGTTAAAAGTCTCTCTCCTGTGTTTAAAAAAAATGGGGGGGGGGACATTCTATTGTGAGACGAACATCCCACGGAAGTCAACCCATGGCGGTAGGGCAGAAACTGAAAAGCAATACCTAGTGATATCGTATACAAGTAATGCTCCAGCTGCACCTCGGTAGTATGACCTTGTGATGGACCGAAACGACTCTTGTCCAGCCTGCACACGCGAGAAAGCACGCTCGTTAAGGACAACATAGAAACCTTACATCCTACCAGCAAGAAAGGCACTCACAGTATCCCAGATCTGCAACTTAATTGGTTTTCCTTCAATAGTAATCATACGTGCGCCGAACTCCACCCCAATTGTCAAGTCATGTACGGGTTGGAACCTTTTGTCCGTGAATTGAAGCAGCAGACATGACTTTCCTACACCTGCCAATACGGAGAGACAAGAGAACAGGGGCGGGGAGAAAGGAGGCGAGAGAGGGGGGACGGAGAGGGGAGAAGGGAGGGCAGGCGGGGTCGGAGAGGGGTGAGTGGGTTGTGGGGAACCGACGTCTCTAATCAAGTCATGACCTCAACGGAAAATAGTATGAACTAGGGATATGATGAACGAGGAAATACCTGTGTCCCCAATGATGATGTACTTGAACAAATACGCGTAGGACATCCCGACACCGTGATAAGCTGTCTCTCAAATAATCCGCAAAACTCGCACAACCGCCTCGAAAAAAACACGACTATGTTCGAACGCAGAACTAAGGAGCATACGTGGAAAGATGTGCAAGCGCAGTGCCGTGAGGGTTAGGTTACGGTGAAAGGGGATGGCATGGGAGTGGTTGACAAAAAGAGCTCGTCTCAGCCAAGCCCACCCTCAAACATGTGAAACTGTGACACCTTCCCTGTGTTGCCTCCACTTTTCCCTCTGTCGCGAAGAATAGCGTAGTGTACTGCTATATTGAATGCTTCATACCTAGCCATCAACAACAATGGATCTCAATTCTTATTTCTTGAAAAGCACAACCTGATTTTGTCCCAAAAATGCACATGCTCACACAAAACGTATGGCGTATAGTGCATCCATATGCACAATTCAAAACCTCATAAGACTAGTTCACAATGCGACGAGTCTGTATGAGTATCAAACGTTTACTGCATGTAGTATGCAACCAGAGACAAAGGTTTCATATCAGTATAATTTAACGAGATTTCATATCAGTATATTCTAACTGGGCTTAAATTGCTTTTCAACCTTGCAAATCAAATCTTGCCAAGAATTATAGGCTTTATAGGCTGGCTCTAAACGAGTTCTAGGTCGCCTTTTGCGAGCCAGCCTACATAGCACCAAGCTAACACGATTAAAGTCTTCCTTAGCTTTCTTTACCGTCATCATGCCATCCTCCTTCCATTCCCCAAACCTCCCACCAACCCCGTCACACCCGCGTCTCTCCCAGCCTAGCCGCATTGCCGCCCTCTTCGCGCTAGTCGCTCTCGCCTCTCTCCTCACCTGCATCTTCCTCTCCCTCCCACCCGCGGCCTCTCCGCCGCTCCCCCTCGTCCCCCTCACCGCCATCGCCGCTGCCGCCCAACCACATGCCGCCGTGACTGTCGCAGGAGGGAGAGGGGGAACAGGACGGCGGTTGCAGGGGCTGCGCGCGCCCCGTGACACCAAGCGCAAGTGGAATGGCGGAAGCTTCCTCGAGTTCTCTGCGGACGAGAGTGCGCGCATTAACGGACTGGGGGGGAGTGGGAGTGCGCGAGATGGGGGGGCGCAAAGGGAGTCGGGGGAAAAGGGAGCGGAAAATACGAAGAACAGCGGATGGGCAGGCGTAAACAGGCGGGGCGGGGGGATGGTGTGGCGGGTGGGATGGTGGGGAGGTGGGGTTGGATCCCACGGAAGCAAGTCCGATGCTGTTGGCGCGAGCGACGAGCGCGCACATGGCGGCGTGGCGGAGAGCGCGAGGGCGCTGGTAGTGACGGCGAGGGGCGGGCGCGGCGGGCTGCACAGCGAGGGCGGGAAGAGCCGTGGGGCGCGGGAGGCCAAGGGGGAAGCGCAGGACGCGGTGGCGCCAGGGGGTGTGCCGCAGAAAGTGGAGGGGCGCGGAGAGGGGGGGGAAGGGGTGGCGACGGGGATGCGTGCGGTGGGGCGGCTGGCGGATATGGAGGTGCTGCCGCTGGGGCGGGGGATGGGGGGACGACGAGAGGCAGTGGCAGGGGGAGATGAGGGGGGGAGTGCGTGTGAGCGGATGGCAGGGAGGGCAGGGAGGACAGTGCAGAGGGTGGGCAGGCGCGGGGCGCTGGTACCTGAGGAGGGCCGCGCGCCCGCCAACGCCACCTCGCCTGCGCGCAGGGGCGGGGAGAGCAGGGCGCGCGCAGCAGCGGAGGGGCGCGGGCAGTGGCGCGTGCGGCGCGTGGCGCTGCACCCGGCAGTGCGGCGCTCCACGGGGCTGCCCCTGCGCTGCCACCACTGGCGCAGCGACGCCGTCTTCCTCCTCTCCGCCGCCCTGCCCGCCCACGGCCTCAGCCCCCTCCTGCCCGTGCGCCCCCCGCCCTCCCCCTTTGCCCCCTCCGCACTATCTTCTCTTAAGCTTTCTCACATACTCCCCTCGCTGCTGTACGTCCCCCCCCCCCTGCATTCCCGCGTACTCCCCGCTTTCCTACTTACTCCTCTCTGCTTTCCCTTTAGTCCCCCTCTCTGCTTTCACGCTTGCTTCCCTCCCTGCTTTCTTCCCGCCGCATGCTTCCTCACTTCTTCCCCGCGCTGCTACCTCATGTGCACGCCTCTCTGTGGCGCCATGCCATGCCATGCCATGCCATGCCGAGGCCAGGAGTTGGATGCGCGCCTGCAGTCGGTGGGGCTACAGTACACGCTCGCCCTCGTGCCGCGCAACGTCTCACATGCCCACGCTCTCAGGTGTGTCGCACGCCCACGCTCTCAGGTGTGTCGCACGCCCACGCTCTCAGGTGTGTCGCACGCCCACGCTCTCAGGTGTGTCGCACGCCCACCCACACTCTACCCACCATCTTTTGCATTTCCCTTTCCCTAGCCCTTGCCCTTCCCACTCAATCGCGTTCGCACCCCGTCCGCTCTGCTTGTCGCCCTCGTCCTCTCCCCCACTGTTACTCCTGTACGTCTACCAAAGCTTGTCCCGTAATCACCCCCTCCCTGTCTGCCGCCCCCAGGTACGCCCCTCTGTACCGCGCAGCACCGCAGGGCGGGGGGCGAGTGGGGGCGGGGAGGCAGGACGTGCGGTACAGTGCAGCGCACGCGGAGGTGTGGGCGCGCGTGGTGGCGGCGCGGCTGCCGTTCGCCCTGGTGCTGGAGGAGGACGCCCTCAACCGCAGCGAGGGCGTCGCCGCCTGGCAGGCGCGCTTCCAAATGGTGACCTGCCGGCGGGGGGGTGGAGGGGCGCAACGGGACCACAAGATTCGCTTCCTGCTGCCTTGCTCAACCCGCTGTCTGTGTTGCCCTTTCCCCTTGCACGCCCACAGGGCACGTGCCCAACCCTGCCTCCGTGCCCCTTCACCTGCACCTCTCCCCACTCCCCCGCTTCCCCTTTTTCTTCCCCCCCCCACCCCCACCAGCTGCTGTGGGAGCTGAATCTGCTGATGCTGCAGCGCGGCGACCGCTTCTTCTTCCACGTGCTGCTGCTGGCGCGCCACGGCCTGGCGCCCTACGCGGAGCAGCGGCTGGCGCCGGGCATCGTGAGCGCGCAGCCCAGCCAGGCCATGCACGCCTACCTGCTCTCCTACGCCGGCGCCAAGCGCCTCCTCGCCCTCTCCCGCTTCCACTCGTACTCCCACCGCCCCTGCCCCCGCCCCTGGTCCCCGGCCCCCCTCCATGCCGCCCGGACTTTGCTTATTCCAGCAGCCAGCATGCATGCATGTGCCTCTTTAATCCGTGCACCACCTCCTCCCGTCTTCCTTCTCCCTCTCACCCCATGCTGCCCCCTGCCCCTGCACATGTCCCCCTGTCGACCGTGCAGGCCAGTGGCGGAGAGCACGGGAGGCATCCCGGGAATGACCATACTGGCAGCGGAGCCGCCTCTCTTCGCCACCACCATCTTCGCCTGCTCGCCCAAGCCCTGCCGCACGCCCCCGCCTGCGCTCTCCCTGCCCGCCTCCACGCGCCTCACCCCTGCCTGCCGCTCCACCATCCTGCTCGCCCTGCCCGCCCACCCTTCGATGCCCGGCGCTGCCCTGCACGCCCCCTGGCGCATGCACGACCCTGCCCCCGCCGGCCCACGCCCCTCCATCCCCTCCTCCTCGCCCGCCTTCTGCCCACACCTCTCCCCCGCTCAGTGCCTGCTCGCCCACCACCTGCCGCGCCTGCTGCCCCATGTGCGCGCCCCTCCCCCACTCCTCCTCCCCCCCACGCTGCCCCCCTCGCTGACCCTCTGGCCGGCCTACGTGCTCTCACTGCGCCGCTCCCCCCAGCGCCTGCAGCGGGTGCTGCCGCTGCTGCAGCAGCAGGGCTTTGGGGACGTGGTGGTGGCGCATGGCGTGGACGGGGGCAGGGGGCAGAGACAGGGGGGAGGGGCGCAGGGCCGGGGGGAGGAGGCGGACTTGGAGGCGGAGAGGAACCTGGGCGTGTTTGGGGGGCTGGTGGGGGCGGGGGCGGTGTCGGCGACGCGGCGCTCCATCAAGTGGCACAAGCTGGCGGAGCGGCGGCGCGAGCGGCTCACGAGAGGGGAGGTGGCGTGCGCTCTCTCGCACTACCTCGTGTGGCTCGAGGTGCTGCGCAGGAAGCTTCCCTACGCCATTGTACTGGAAGATGACGTCACCTTCACTACAAGCACATTCCGGGCCGACTTTGAACGGAACATCGCCGAGGCCAATGAGCTGTTGACACGTCAGCACAGCCCGGAGTCACCACCAGACATCCTGTTTGTGGGGCACATGGGGGTGCTGGCAGGCCACTTCATGCCGCTGCTCTCCCCCCACATCGCATGGGACCCCCTCTCCTGGTGCTCCTTTGCCTACATCATCTCCCACCGGGGTGCAGAGCGCCTGGTGGAGGGCTTTAAGGTCGACGACCCCCTCGACTCCCTGTGGTGGCGCCGCCCCAACCTCGCCTTCTGGGCCTTCCAACCCCCCCTCGCCTTCCACCTCTCCTCTCCCCGCCTCAACTCCTCCGTACCACTCTCTTCCCCATCCCCTCCCGCACCTCCTCCCTCTCATCCACCTCATCCTTCCTCAACGCACCGCACAGCACACAGCAGCAGCAGCAGCAGCAGCATCAAAGACAAGGCGAGCAGCAGTGGGGCGGAGGTGGCAGGCAGCAGCAGGGCAGGGGAGGACATGCCTGTGCCGGTGCCCTTGTACCCCAGCGAGGTGCAGCAGGGCGGTGGGCAGTGGATGTGAAGCACCGCAATCACCCATTTGACTTGCCACCCATTGTCACTGCCAATCTCAATGCCTGCTGTACACCATCAGCTACGAGTCCACTGCAACTCAGGGCGTGTTCCTACACCTCCTGTCAGCGCCACCTCGTGTCACACACACTCATTGTACAGAGCGTTTCACACGTTTGGTCTGGTTCAGTTCGGTGCAGGGCGAGTCTGGCTCTAGCAGGGTGCTGTAGGAGCATGCCCTTCAACACTGCTGTGTGTTTGAGTGAATTGGAAGATTTCAAAAGTAACGTTAATGTTTTGAAATAATTAAGACAATGAATCATTTTATTAATTCGTTGAGCAATGCCATTTAGAGAGTCATTCAAATCACAGTTGTGACCGAGTTCATGGCATCTCCATCACCCCCAGCAGCAGCAGCATCCTCTTCAGCAGAGCGAGGTTGCGAGGTGTGTGCGCGCCCCCCCATGGCGCTGATGCGACGGCACAGGCGGCACGGCAGAGTGTCAAACCCCATCCTCAGCGCTCGCTGCAGCCCCCCCAGCACTCCGCACCTGGGGGGTGAGGGGGATGATGGTGGCGGGCGGGAGGAGTTCGGGGGCGAAGGTGGTTCGGGGTGGCACTGTGCAAGGAGTGGCAAGCAGGTGAGTGCGCGTGCAGGGGCACACACATAAAGAGCGCACAGCAGTGCGGTGTGTTGCAGGGGCTCACCGGCGCCAGGCGTGCAGGGAGAGGTACGCCGCGGCGTTGCTGCGCATGGCGTGCACGCGCCGCACTATGCTCTCCTGGCTCTCCTTCCCGCCCTCCATGAACGACTCCGGTGGGGCAAACTCTCCCACGTCTGGCGCCCCGTAGTAGATCGGCACACTGCCTGCCATGGGAGTGTGGGGGGTGAGGTAGCACGGTGCGGCATGCTTGACGCTTTTACCTTCCGAGACTCTCTCACGGGCTATCGCTTCCCGGAACAGGTGGGAATGGTGCGGTGTACGCATACACAAGGGCGTGTGCATGTGAGCAAGAGCACATTCTGTGCTACACGTGTAGCCTGTTAAGGGGTGCATGGTGTGTGGGTGGGGAAAGGTGTGAAGAGGGGTGGGTGCGTACCTGCGAGGAGGGGCAGGAAGAACTTCTCAGTGACGTAGGCGGGGCGGTGGTGGCGCTCGATGGCGAGGGAGAAGAGGAAGTGCGACTGTGCACACGCCAGCTCCCCCCACCACCCCGCATACGGCCCCCCGCGCGCCCCTCCTCCCCCGCCACCCCCGACTGCCTCGTCCACGCCAGCCATCTCCCGGTCCCTCGCCGTCCATCCTGCCCCCTCCTCCGCCCCCCCTGCACTCCCCTCTCCCTCCTTCTCCCCCTGCCCCTCCTTCCCCCCTACCTCCCCTTGCGCCACTGCACCCCCCCTTCCGCTCCCCCCCACAGCTGCTGTCCCCCTTGCAACGGCCCCACCCAAGAATCCTACACCAGGCCCCCCCGTCCCCCTTTGCCCGAGCACCTGCGCCTGCCCCCGCGCCCCTGCGCCCTGCGCCCCTGCCCCCTTGGGTGCGTGCGAGTACTGGCAGCGGGGGAAGGCACGGCGCAGGGAGCGGCGCAGCGGGAGGGGCGTCTGCAGGCCGAAGCGGTGCGTGAGGGGGTGCGCCAGTAGCAGCGGCGCTGCTGCCGCCCGCCACGGCGAGTAGCGCGATGAGGCATGGAAGATGGCCAGAGCCTGGGAGGGGGAGATGGGGGTGGGAGCGGGGAAGAAGGGGTGTGAATGAGTGTTAAAACCGGCTCTCTCTCTTGTTCTACATGCAACTAGAGTGAAGCAAGGCAAGGAAGGAGCAAGAAACAGCAGCAGGGCGGCAGGGCACTTACGGGGGACTTGGCAGCAGCAATGAGGCGGTTGTGGTCGGCGAGCAGCAGGTTGGTTGCATACGTGCACTGCACGTCCGCACCCGGGCCATACCCCACCGTCACATCCACCCCACTGCCTGCCTGCGCGCCCTCTCCCCCCTCTCCCCCCTCCCCCTCCGCCTCCATGGCCACGTGCACGAGCAGCGGGTCGCCCTTGACTCTCACCCCCCTGGGCGCGCCCCCCTCGTACAGCATGGCGTCGGGGCGCGCGGCCAGCACCTCACTGCGCGACAGCGTGCAGGAGAGGCCGCAGGGGCACGAGAAGAAGCCCTCCAGCCACGCGGGCAGCGACGACGACGCCATGACCTGCACCGCGTGGTTGCAAGGGCAGCGGGATGGGAATGCCACCGGACGATCGCGGTTGGGGGACTCGTCAAGAGCAGAAGGAGGAATTAGAAGTAGCAAGCTTGCGAGAGTGAAGGGGAATGTGCGGGTGGGTGGGGCATGTGGAGGGTGGAGCGCGCACCTGCACGGTGACATGGGGCAGCTTCAGCACCGAGCAGTCACTCGCCTCCTCGCCCTGGAAGCTGCTGCCGCCACCACCGCTGCTGCTGCTGTGGCCTGCACGTGCAAGCACAGGGGAGTCAGAGACTGCACATGCCAAACCACCCCCGCCACACCTTCCCACACACCCTGCCACCTACCGGACCTGCGTGTTTGGCTCGGAATCGCTCGCACCCCACGACTCGGTCCCACTCCGTCCACGCCTCCTCCACTCGCCACGCTTCGCCCTCCACACCCGCCTCCTCCCCCGCCCACCTGGCCCCGCTCGCCCCCTCTGCTGGTCGTGCTGTGTCAGCCGCCCCGCCACCACGCCCGTCCATCTCCACATTCTGGCCCGCCCGCCCGCCCGCCCCCCCTGCCTCGCCTGCTGCCCCCTGCTCTGCGCTCCCCAGCCCAGCCATTCCCCCTAGTCCATGCCTTTCCCTCTTCACCTGCGCTTGCTCCCCCCCCTGGCCCAGCGTCTGCTCCCCCCCATCTTCTTTCCCCCGCCGGCTGCTGCCCTCGCCGCCTTCGTCATCCGACTCATCAAACTCGCCACTCAGATCGCGCCACGTGTCACTCTGCCACCCCTCGCCTGCCGCCCACCCTGCCACAGGCGACGGGGCGAGGGATTGCGAGGGGGGATCAGGCGCGGGCAATTGGGTCAGGCGACGACGAGCGGGAGCGGGCGACAGCTGCGATGGCGAGGAGCGAACGGGCGACGAGAGGCCTGCGCCGGGAAGAAGGCGGACGAGGCAGACAAGGCATAGCACGCACAGGAGAGGCGTGCGGATAGGCGCGCGACGACTCCGCGGGGCGGGCATGTGGCGCGGGTGGGGGAACGCGGCGACGTGCGGAGTGGTCATGCGGGTGACATCAGCGCTGCAGACGTGCGCAGGTGCGCGATGCGTGACGGCGGGCAACTGTTGTGGATGTGAAGGACCTGGGGACGACAGGTTATGTTCTTAGAGCAGCCTCTGGTTGGGCGAGTGTAAATGTCCTAATTATCTCTCTTGCTTCAGGTATGCTAAATGTATGCACGTTTCCTAGTATATTGCTTTCAACATCATCATTGGATTCTTTTGAGCTTAGCAGAGGCAACATTCTGTGCATTTGCATTGCCACAAGCATGACATCTGTCAGGCAGCACAATGACTAGCCAGCCTAACACGCACGGCACAGCACACCACTCCACGCTACAACCCACTGGCAGTCTGGCCTTGCTGCCCTCCACTTCCACCGCCCTCTAGTGCCTGCACGAGGAGACGAGGCACACACAGCACGGTGAGACGGCAGCAGTGCTGGCATTGCAAGGCACCACGGGAAGAGGCAAGAGCGGCAGTGGATTGCAGAAGAGAACAACATGTGGGCAGGCGAGGAGAGGGCGGGGTGGGAGGGGGGAGGGAGGAGCGGGGGGGCAGGAGGAAGAGCAAGAAGAGATTTATAAGGAGACCGCGGGCAGAAGCGGGGGGTGGCTGTGTGGGGTGGGAGGCTCAGCACGGACCAGAGGGTGCTAGACGATGGAGTTGGCGGCGCTGGCGACACGAGGCCAGAGATCCGCGCACTCCTTGGCCACCGGGCCCGTGATGGCCGACCCTGCCATGCACGCACCACCACAGACAAACAACACCACGCACGCACAAGCAAGCAAGCAAGCCGGATCGACAGTCAGGGCGCGTTGCAAGAGACGAGCGAAGGCATGGTGGGCGCAAGCAACGAGCGGTGATGGAAGGGCGTGGGACGCGCGGGGCACGAGGCCGTGAACTCACCTTTCATTTCTCCTTTCGGGTTCACGATGACTCCCGCATTGTCTGCACCACACAACCACCGCACATACACACATCAGCCACGTCAGCAACGGCTCAGACAGACCGCGAGCATGAGAACACGGAGGGCCACGAGTGCTGAAGTTCCGAAAACCGACAGACGTACTGACTACCTCTGGCGGCACTAGCGCGCAGTGTCACGCAGCCGCACAGTAAGGGGCCAATCTACTTGCTTCCACCCAGCCCTGATTGGCCATGCTTTGCCCTACTTTCCCCCACTCGGCCCTACAGGCAACACAACGCCTGACCTTCGAAGTACATGAACACGCCGTCCTTTCTGCGCCACGGCTTGCGCTGCCGCACGATCACCGCCGGTAGCACTGCGGCAGGGGACAAGGGGGGAAAGTGCGGGTGGATGGTGAGGCAGCGGAATGACATACATGAGCGCATGGCAGCACGAGTCGCGCCGCCCGACAAAGCGGGCAGCGAGATCCGGAGCTTCCAGAGGGTGTCGAACAATCATGCGTCTAAACCCTAAAATACGGCGCGAGTAGACGAACGCATTTGCCGGCAATCTCCACTACACCTCAAACCCTAAAACAGCACATCGCTCTCCCAGGCGGGCGTGGCGGCAGTAGCGGCGCTCACCCTTTTTACGCAGGTCGGGCTTGCCCTTCTTGACCGTCGCCATCACCATGTCGCCGACGGCGGCGGCCGGCAGGCGATTGAGGCGGCCCTTGATGCCGCACACCGACATGATGAAGAGGTTCTTCGCGCCCGTGTTGTCCGCGCAGTTCACCACCGCCGCCACCGGCAGACCCAGGGTCACTCGAAACTTGGCTCCCGTCGTCGTTCCACCTGCCACGCAACACCCACACACCGCGCCGCTGCATTTCAGACTTCACGGGAGCAACCACTCTATTGGGCTACGACCGCAGAGAACTCGTGAGCAACTTTGAACGAATCTGAAGCTAAACCAATACAGGGTAGTGCGCCGAAGTACTACAGGCGAGGCGGCTTCTGAAACAGATATATAAGCAGAAGAAGCAACGATGATGACAGACGGTAAGGGATGGGAGTGCTTGCCTCGTTTGGACGCCATGGCTGCGTGCTAACCACCTACGAAAGAGATCAGAAAGAATGAGAAGCAGCAGCTAAATAGGGCAGAGAGACCTGCTGAGAGGCGTTCGATCTTCAACCATCGACGAACGTGGACCGTCGATGCTCACGTTTGAGGGTTTGGCTCGTGTGGAGGTTTCGAGAGTTGAAGGTCGCGAAAACAAAATTGAAAGGTTTCGAGGTTACAAGCTGTAGTGACATTCTTCATTAATATAACATTTTGAGCTTATGCTATTTGGGAAGAATTTCAAGTGCAACTTCCTTCAAAGATGGCATCTTGTCTTGTTTGTGGATGCATATCAGCTTCCCGTTCGCATCTTCCCTCAATACTTGCCACGGTCCTGGATATGCCCTGCACCAATCAAGATACATTGATTCAGAATTACTTTAGGGGGAACCAAGCCAGTACATTGCTCACAATCTTTCTTAACGTACCTGAATAGCTTGCCCCCAAACCGTCCTTTGAAGTTATGAATGTAATAAGCAGCTTCGAAGAGTGGAAGGAGGACCTTATTGATTTTGGCCAGTTTCGGGTAAAAGAATGACGGGTAGTCTGCCAAACAAGGCAAACCAAAGGGAAAAAAAGGCACGGTCCTTGAAGAAAAATGCATATCACATCCAAAGAACATTGCGACGGGTATGATCAGGCAGCTGGGTTATGATGCTAGGGTTGACAAGGTAAGAATAACGACATGTTACATATTGCTTTCGTTCATGCAACTCACATCCTGATCGGATCCGATCGAGCTCTCCATTGAAGACAACGATTGGCTGCCCCTTTTGGCTTGCCACGTCACGGTAGAGATCATCAACGGCCAGCATTTCTGCACTCACGGTACGTGGGGGACACGGCAGCAAGGCATGAGATCAGCAGCAAGGAGTGATAAGCTTCCAGGTATGAAAGGGGCACAGGGCATGCTGCGAGCTCGCAGTGCAGCACAGCAGAGTGGCCCGTGTGAGCGGGGCAGCACAGCAGAGTGGCCCGTGTGAGCGGGGCAGCACAGCAGAGTGGCCCGTGTGAGCGGGGCAGCACAGCAGAGTGGCCCGTGTGAGCGGGGCAGCACGCACCGTTGACGTTGAAGTAGGGGTAGGCGGCGACAAAGAGGCGGTCGGAGGCGGCCACGCGGTCAGCGAGGGGCAGCTTGCGCGAGAAGCCGATGTCCTCCAGCCCCGTGGGCTTGGTCAGGCAGTCCAGGGGGAACGCCGTGCCCTCAAACACCTCCTGCGCTGCCGGCAGCTCGTTGGCGTCCGGGAAGAACTGTGGCGTGCAGTGCAGTGGTGTGGGGGCAAAGGGGGTGAGAGAAGGGGTAGGGGCAGCCGTTAGCATGCAGGGAGAAGGATGGGGTAGGGTCAGAAGGGAGAGGGGAAGGGTAGGGAAAGTCAGGGAGGTGCGGTGCAGCGGGAGCGATGGCGCGGTGCAACTCACAAGGCGCACGGAGGAGGGTGGGGGGCCTTTTGAGGCGAACATGAGGCAGTACTGGCGCAGCATTCGCATGCTGTTGGTCATCTCTATCCCGCCCTCCGCATCGCCTGCCACCCGACAGCATGGGGCATGGGACAGGTGCCGAGCCAAGACGAGTGGAGCACCGGGCAGAGATTGGCAGAGCAAGGTGGGCACCAATGAGACAAGCATTGAAATTGAGGACTCACAACACAAGTTGCAATGAGCGGCAAGTGTGGCACGATGGCATGTGTGGCTTCAGGTCGTGCATGGAATGTGAGGCATCATGGCGTGTGTGGCATGAGTGGCAGGATGGCATGTGTGGCAGGATGGCATGTGTGGAATGAGAGCACAGTGAGCCACACAGCCCACCTGGCACGGAGTCAAGGCTGGCCGTGGGGAACTCCACCTCCTGGTGGGCGCACGGGCACCACGGCACCATGGCGCGATGGCACCATGGCGCGATGGCATCATGGCGGGATGGCATCATGGCGGGATGGCATCATGGCGGGATGGCATCATGGCGGGATGGCATCATGGCGGGATGGCATCATGGCGGGATGGCATCATGGCGGGATGGCATCATGGCGGGATGGCATCATGGCGGGATGGCATCATGGCGGGATGGCATCATGGCGGGATGGCATCATGGCGGGATGGCATCATGGCGGGATGGCATCATGGCATCAAAGCATAGCATCAGTGCACGACGGACAGCCGCTATCAAACGAGAACACAAAAAGAACCAAGACGGGTGTGGGCGGGGGGAAGGGGGGCGGGGGGGGGGTTGAAAGATACAGAACGAGACGAATGAGGTACCCTTGGTGAGAGGCAATGCGGTGGTGAGTGGCCAATCCAGTACGACGAGGTAATGCCACAGGGAATGCGATTAAGAGGGAATGCGATTAAGAGGGAATGCGATTAAGAGGGAATGCGATTAAGAGGGAATGCGATTAAGAGGGAATGCGATTAAGAGGGAATGCGATTAAGAGGGAATGCGATTAAGAGGGAACGCGGTGGTACCATGCGGCACCTGTGGTTGCGTCTCACCAGTAGCGTGCGGCCATCGGCGAGAGCTGCTTGAGTGGCTTGCTGCGCCTGCAGCACGGGGAACACACACGCCATCCACAACACACGCATCAGATTTGCTGAGCTGGCATCACGGACAGCTAGGAGTATCAACCAGGTCGTCACCATCGTGGCATGCGCGCGCGCATGGGGTGCACATTGCGATGCGCGCACCCCCCCCCGCGCTAGCGCCCTCTGCGCGCATTCCTTGCTGCGCGCGCTACCTGTCGGATGGCCTCGTCGTAGTCGCGCGGGAACGGCGCCAGCTCGCCGCCACCTGCCGCCGCCGCCGCGAGGGTCGCTGCCGCCCTCACCGCGCGCTGGCGGCGACCGCGGGGGCCCGACGTGCATCCATGGTCGTGGGGGGAGAGGGCGCCAGCGAGGGCGGTGCGCGCATGCAATGCTGTGCGCAGCGGGAAAAATGCGGGCATGCGGCGGTCACTAGCGAGGAGAGCGCAGGACTGAACGCGCGCTGGAGGAGCGGCGCTTGCGGGGGAAGCAGCCGCGGCAGGTACGAGGGGGCGGGCGACGGAGAGAGCGGAGAGCGGCATGGTGGCGGGCTGGCTTGGGTTGGGAGTGACGGCAGGCGAGCCTTGAGGACTGGGATTTCTCATATCCGCGATTGTAAGGCGAGCGTGAGAAAGACACATGGTTGGAAGTCAGCCGGTAAAAAATGGAGACTGTACAAGCACATTCAATATATAGCTAAGACTTAGTGCATAGCTAGCAATACTTCAAACAATAACACAGGACCCGTTTATCCTTCCTATTCGTATAATCAACCTCTCCCCCCCTTGATCTCATCATATCATATCGAGCACGCGCCGCAGCTGGTCCCTGACAATGGCCATGTCGGGGCGGTTGTCGCGCTCGTACAGGATGGCGGAGCGGATGGTCGCCAGCACGATGGCGCTGGCAGCGGGCTGCCACTGCCCCGCCAGCGCCGGGTCCAGCACCTGCGCGGGGTCCGCCTCGCGCGCCACGGCCACGGCCTTGCGCACGGCCTTGAAGCGCGGGCCCTGCGCTGATGCCCCCGACACGAGCTCGAGCAGGAAGATGCCGAACGCGTACGTGTCTGATAGACGCGTCAACGTGCCTGGCAGGCCGCGCAGAGCAGTGGCGGGTTGGGTGGGGGGTTAAGAGGGAGGGGTGAAGGCAAGGCGAAAGTGCATGGACGGAAAGTGGTGATGTCAGATGCCATCAGATGAATGCCGGAAGGGGTGATGTGCTGCTATGGTGCCGTGCTGCTATGGTGTCGTGCTGCTGTGCACGTGGCAAGGTGCAGTGGGGAGGGCAGGGGGGAGGGCAGGTGGCGGACCGGAGTCGAAGTAGGCGGGGTCGATGTAGGACATGGAGGAGGCGCCCCTCATCTGCACGTGCATCTTCCAATCCGCCACCACCCGCGCCAACCCATAGTCCGCCACCACTGGCGTGCCGTCCTGCTCCCCCCCGCAACAGCAGCAGCAGCAGGGGTAGGGAGGGTGGGTGAAGGAAGAAAGCAAACATCTTCCTTTTATTAGGCAAAACAGTATTGGCCCAGCCATGGAGCTACAGTGAGGGCGAAACGATGGAAAAAGCGAGGTAATCTGGGCATGGGCGCAGCAGCAGCAGCTCACGGGTTGCAGGAGGACGTTGGAGGCTTTGAAGTTGCGGTGCACGAGGTTGAGGCGGTGCAGCTGAGCCAACACGTCCGCACACGTGAATGCCATCTGCACTCTCTCCCTCCACCCGAACTGCACCTCTCCCCGCGCCACTGCATGGTGCACGGGTGCAGGGGGCGAGAGGGGGGAATGGCATGGGAGATGCAGGATTGGTATGGCACGGAGGGTGGCATCATGCAGTGGGCTTGCAATGAGCGTGAATGAATGAACTGCTGAGCTTGCACCTCGTGCCATGAGCTGCTCCACGCACCTCGGGCCATGAGCTGCTCCACGCACCTCGGGCCATGAGCTGCTCCACGCACCTCGGGCCATGAGCTGCTCCACGCACCTCGTGCCATGAGTTGCTCCACAGTGCCGCCTTCAATGAAGTCACAGATGATGATGGGCGGCCGCTGCGCCACGTACCCGTGCACGCGCAGCAGGCTGGCGTGCCGCCCCTCCTCCTCCACCAGCGCGCACTCGTGCTGTTCCCATGTCCGTTGCATGGGCCGTGTGTCACATGCCATGTGCCATGTGCCATGTGCCATGTGCCATGGAGGAAGGGGCACGGAGCAACAGGGGAAGCAACTGAGCTGGCTGCACAAACGAAGGTCCGTGCAGACAAGGCAAGGAGGGGGGGATAGGACAGACGACCACTGAGAGCATCCATGCTTGCATCACCTCCCCCTTGCCCCCCTCTTCCGCCCACCCCCTCCTCCCCACCTCTCCCTTCCCCCCCCACTGACCGCGAAGGTCGCCAGCCCCCCCACGCCCGTGACGGGGTCGCCGTTCAGCACCTTCACCGCCACCGGGATCAGCGCGCGCGCGCCCGCGCCCTCTGCGCCTTCCCCCTCTGCGCCGTCCCCCTCCGCGCGCGCGGCGTGCGCCCACATGAAGCCCTTGTACACGAACCCGAACGGGCCGCGCCCCGCGAGCGCCTTGAAGCCCTCTGTGGCGTGCAGCGCGTCCTCGAACGCGTACTCGCGCACCCAGCCCCGCCCGCGCTCCCCCTCTCCCACCGCCCGCACCGTCGGGTACACGGGATCTGGCACGCGCGAAGGGGAAAGGGGGGAACGGAAAGGGGGTGGGGGGTGGGGGAAGGGGCGGAGCGGGTGAGAACAATATAATGAGCGGAGAGCCAGGTGGATGCACATGCACCAGTTGAGTAGAACAGCGTGCACGGTCTGTGTCGGTGCTTTCGCTGGTGAGAGCGCGATGGGTGGTCACGGCGAGCCGTCGCAAGTGAGAGGCGAATGATGGCGGCACGGAAACGAGGGTGGAGTCACGTGGGGACAGAGAGCGGCAAGGCAGGCAAGAGAGAGCGAGGCGGGGGACGGGGCAGAGCGGCGTACGCAGTTCACCGTCGCCCACTGGTCGCGAGAAGAGTCCGCCCATGACGCTGCGCGTCGCCTGCCGTCGCACGGCGACGGCGACGCTGAGACCCGGCGACGGGCGCTCAGGATAGTCGCAGAGTGGCTCGACGGGCAGAGTTCGAGAGTCACGCGCGGGTGAGTAGCGGTGACGGAGAGAACGGACGGCTACGCTGGTGTTACTATCTCACGTGGCCTGAACTGGAGTGACGTGAAGTTCGCGAGTTATGCAATCGACCATGGCTCATCGTGGCGTGACGACCGCAAGTTAATCTCTGCAGGCTCGATTCGCCGCATGAACCTCTGCCTAAAACGAATCGGCGAACGAGGGGATTGATGTCGTGAAGTTGACGTCTGTGAATTGATGTCGCCTAAAGATTCCTAACTTGGACTCGAGCTACTGGGAAATACTTGTCACACTGCTCCTCGAGATTGGCTTTCCAATAGACCAGCTGCGTTGCAACTCAAGAGCTCACGGCTCCCTCCCGCTCGCTTCAAAGCGTCGTGCGCTACTGCCGTTGACCGCACCCAGCCGGATTGGCCGAGTACCCGCCATTCACGAAAGTCAAGTCAGACTCGCGAAACAGTTGCGATCGCCAGCGAGATGCAACCAGCGTGCTGCTGCGAAACAGTGGTTTCTGAAACAGTGGTGTTCCCAAGGTTCGGTTCGGTCGGTCGGCAGGAAAAGTTTGTGTTTCGCGGGTGTCGCATACAATTGCACTTCGTCTCGCCCAGCCACTTCGGAATATTTTTCACTCCCAGCAACTAGCTTGCCTCAGCACTGCGACCACCACGTCCGTTTCGTTGAGGCTTTCACGGACACACCACGAACGTCAGTGGACCGCGGGACGCGGCTTAGGACCGACGAATGGCGTCCACGAGTAGTCTTGAGAGGCCTGAGTTTCCTTTATGTATTGGCTCTGGTGACCGTTAGGTAGTTGGTGATCGTGCTGATCCGCAGCAAATAGGAGCGAGTGAACCAACGCTCAGCATTCCCGAGGACGTGCCCTAGACCGAGCGACTTGCTGACTTGCGCCGGCTACTAACTTATAGCACACGCGCCACGCGCGGTAGACGAGTCGAGAGTACCGTGCGAGAAGGCCCCAGTCGAGACTCACATCAGGTTGACACGCCTCTCACTGCCCCCCACTCCACCCGTGCCGCGTGGCGCTCGTTTATACCGCCACGTGGCGATGGGGTGCGCAGCGTCGCACGCGAGAGGTTCTGAAACGCCACCGCCACCGCGGCTGGGATCGTCGCGATCAGGTGATGCGTGCTGGAGGCTCGCTGCCGTAGCAGGCCAGGTGGGGGGCAGTAGGGAATGTGCGCTGCAGCAGAATAGGTACGCTGCAGCACCGACGGCGCGATCGCGATGGCGTGCAGCACCGCTCGTACTGCCAACGACGTCGCGCCGCCCACCCCCTCAAATCGTCCCCATTCCTCCCTTTTGCCCGCCATCCTCTCTGCCCCTCTCCCGTCCCCCCCACGCCTCTCCTTTTCGCTCCCCCGAACACCTCCTTCCCGCCCCCACCCAGACCCGCGGTCGCCGTACCCGGTGCGCAAGTCGGCGGAGGCGGGCGGCGGAGTGTGCGAGTACAGCTACCAGGAGGTGCACGCCGCCACGGGCGGGTTCCAGCACGTGGTGGGGCGCGGCGGCTTTGGCGTGGTGTACCACGGGTACCTCGCGGAGCCGCATGGCGGGCAGGGCGCGGGCGTGTGGGCCGTGGCCGTGAAGCTGATGAGCGGCGAGCACATCGCCAACGGCATCGACAGCTTCATGGTGCGCCACGTGGCAGGGGAAGGGGAGGGAGGGGGTGGATGAAGGAGGAGGGGGAAGAATGGTGGAAACGGGTGAGGGTAATCGTGGGGAACAAGGGGGGCTGATTTGACTGTTTACTCGTAAGCTACCTGCCTGCTAGTCAGCTTTTTCCCGGCCAATCTAATCCCTAGGTGCATGGTGGCATGGTGGCATGGGCATGGTGGCATGGGCATGATGGCATGGCGGCATGGTGGTGGTATGGTGGCATGGGGCCATGGCATGGTGGATGGTGGCATGGCGGCATGGCGGCATTGTGGCATGGGGACATGGCATGGTGGCATGGTGGCATGGTGGCATGGCATGGCAGACGGAGGTGGCGGTGATGGCTCGGGTGCATCATCCCAACATCCTGCGCCTGGAGGGGTACGTGGTGGGCGCCACGCCCATCCTCATCTACGACTACATCCCCAATGGGGACGCCGCCTCCTACCTCGCCAAAGGTGCCTCCTACCTCGCCAAAGGTGCCTCCTACCTCCTCAAAGGTGCCTCCCGCTGTCCAACCCCTCCCTACTCCGCCAAAGGTGCCCCCCTGCTCGCTGGCACTCTCTCCCCGCCATTCATCCATGCCACCGCCATGCACTAATCGCTGCCTGGACTTTGACCATGTCCATCGCTCGCTTGCCTTCCACGCTCACATTCCCCGCTCTCCATGCATCCCCCCGCTCTCCATGCATCCCCCCGCTCTCCATGCATCCCCCGCTCTCCATGCATCCCCCCGCTCTCCATGCATCCCCCCGCTCTCCATGCATCCCCCCGCTCTTCATGCATCCCCCTGCTCTCCATGCATCCCCCCGCTCTCCATGCATCCCCCCGCTCTCCATGCATCCCCCCGCTCTCCATGCATCCCCCCGCTCTCCATGCATCCCCCCGCTCTCCATGCATCCCCCCGCTCTCCATGCACCCCCCCGCTCTCCATGCATCCCCCCGCTCTCCATGCATCCCCCCGCTCTCCATGCATCCCTTATGTTCTCCCGCTCCCCCCATGCTGCAGCTCGGAGTGGAGAGGTGCAGTTTGGGTGGAGGGAGAGGCTGAGGGTGGCCTTGGGGTGCGCGGAGGCGCTCACAGCCATCCACGCCAACGGCTTTGTGCACCGCGACTTCAAGGCGCCCAACGTGCTGCTGCGGGAGGTGAGCCCCCATGTGCTGCTTGGGAAGGTGGACTGCTGCTAAGAGAGGGGAGGCGGGCCTCATGCATGCAGTGCAGAAGCACATGAGACTCACTCGCATCTAACCTCTCTCACCCCACTGCCCTGCGCCCGCCCGCCACAGGACCTGACACCAGTGGTGGCAGACTTTGGGTTGGCGCGAGCGGTGGACGACTGGAAGACACACGTGGAGACACGCGTGATGGGGTCCGTGGGCTACATCGACCCCATCTACTTCGAATCAGGTCAGTGGGCTACATCGACCCCATCTACTTCGAATCAGGTCAGCTGCCCCCACCTCTCTGCCATGAATCATTGCACTCAGTCCCTTGTACATCAGATGACCAGCCAGTTTCGTAGGCACTCTTGAAGGTTGCCTTCTGGTATACTTCTCTTGTGCTTCCGCCCCTGCAGGCAACCTGAGCAAGAAGTCGGACACGTATGCGTTTGGGATATTCTTTCTGGAGCTCATCTCGGGCGTGTCTGCCCTTGACGGCAACTTCAAGGAGCTGCGGCGCCTCGTGACGGGCAATGACTACCCTGATGCCGCTCTTGTGATGGACCCACACCTGGCGGGGCAGTGGCACCTCAAGCACGTGCTCGTGGCCTTCACACTCATCAAGTTAGCAATCTTCTACGACTGGGAAACCAGACCAGGGATGGATGTTCTCATAGGAAAGCTCAAAGATATTGTGTCTGAAGTTGAAACAACATCTGGCGTTAGAAAGATGTGACAAGCTTAATAGGCCAATTCTGTGTTTGTTTTGTTAAGATAATTAGGAAGCTGCGCATTGGGTATCTTGGTGGATCAGTTAAAAGGGAAGTTGTACCTGAAAGTTGATGATTGGTTCATTGGTCTCCGCACGATGTTTCCTTTCGCGTGCGCCTATATCGCGAATCTGGTTCGCGTTTCTGCAATAAATCACCAGTCGGGGATTGACTCATGCCCGAACTCGGCGCCGCCAGTCTCGCTCATTCATTTTCCTCGCCTGCCGAAATTCTCAATTTCGCATCCCAATTCACACTCTTCCCAACCCACCATCATTGCCCTACAAACCACATGCGACACCCCCTTTGCTCTCGTGACCTATTTCCCACCCATCCCCGTTTCTCCAGCCAGTTCTTCCACCCTTCCACCGGCCCTTGCTTCGTCCTCCCGTCAGCGCTAGGAGTTGTTCGCACCAGCCACACGCGCTTCCCAGCTTTGATAGAGTAAACTGCTTTCCGCTGAAACTTCTGTTCGACACAAAGCTGGTTCTAAGACACAGCAGCCCGCTCGCCAGTGTCCACTTCGGGATTCTGCGGCGCATTACAAATCCGCACACCGTCATCTCGGCGCATCGCATCGCAGCGCATCACATCTCAAACACATGGCGTTCGACCAGCCGTGGGTACCCGAGGGCGCGTGGACCACGTCCGTCTTCGCGTGTTGCGACGACTTCCCCTCCTGTGAGCACGCCGCGATCTCTGCGCACCCATGTGTTCGCATCACCGCGCGTGCCCCACTCAGCTCACGCTCATTTCGCCCCGTTGCATTGGCCCCGTGTGTGTGTGCGCAGTGTGCTGCTCGGTGTGGTGCCCGTGCGTCATGGTGGGGCGCAACGCCGAGATCGTCACCGACGGCTTCACAGGTGACTCCACCGCTCCTTAACACACACCATTCTGACGTGTCGCACGCTAACTAGAGCCACCTCGCACCGCCAGGGCTCCGCCATTTAATCGAGTCGCTCTATTCCTCGCTCGTCGTTCCCCGCGCCCCGCAGACCCGTGCCGCGCGTGCATGGGGTGGGCGCTCCTCCAGCTCGCCTGCAGCGGCGCCTTCTTCGCTCGAGGTCAGCCTCCCCGCCCTCCACGCCGCCTTTCTCTCCCAGCGCTCTTTTCGCAGTTCCCTTTCTGTTTCAGCGTGTGATGTCATCGACTGTCCGTACGACGTGCTTGTTCGTGTGCGCTGCCCCGCGCGCTGCAGATTTCCGCAAGCGGCTGCGCGAGAAGTACATGCTGCCGCAGCGGCCGTTCAGCGACTTCTGGATGCACTGCCTGTGCGCGTGCTGCGCCATCGCGCAGGAGCACCGCGAACTGCGCAACCGCGGATGGGACCCCGCGCTAGGTGCGTGCGTAGCATCGCATAGCGTAACGAGCACCCAGTGTTTCTGCACTTATGATCTCCGCACCCACTTGCACTCACACTAGATGTTTCTTTCGCTTCCTCTCGTGCCCCCTCAGGCTATGCGGGCAACGTGCGCAAGTTCCAGGCGTGCTCTCCGCCCCCCCAGATGGAGATGCTCGCCGACCAGTAGCAGATGAACCCTCTACTGCCCCTGTACACTAGCACTGCTCTCTCCCCTCGGTAGCCCAAAGTCCATTAGGTGCTAGCCCGTCTTGCATCATATCTTGCTGTGCATATAGATGTATTTACAATTCTTTTTTTAAGCTACAACAAATCGCCTGTGCAACACGGAGTCCGATGGTTGCTTCTGAAGCTACCAGTACTGCCCCGCGCCCAGCATTACCGAGGCAACTTGCTACGCTGCTGTCAGCCACCAGTCACCACGCGCACTGCCGTGCATGCTCGCCCACAGGGTGCCACCGCGCCCGCCGGGAGATCCCGGCGGCACCTCCAGGGGCGGATGAGGCAGCTCCGGCCCTTCCGGCACATGCGGAGTGTCTGGGATCTCCGGGATGTCCGGCACCACGTCAGGCGGCGTCGGCACCTCCGGAATCTCGGGGGTTCGCTCTGGAGGGTTGGGAATCTTGGGAATTTCGGGAATAATGTCAGGCGGGGTTGGGGATGGAACTTCGGGCGGGGGGAAGGGCGGAAGATTTGGCGGAGGGGTTGGAGTTGGGGCTCCGGGGGGCTGGATGGGGACGGCTTCGGGGGGTGGCGAGGGCGGGGGAACCTCGGGGGGGGTGAGCGGGGGGACGTTCGGCATGGGGACGGGGGGCGCCCTAGGGACGATCTCGGGGCTCGCGGGCTGCCCTCCGCCGCGACCCGGCACCTCCGTGGGGAGTTCGGGACCTCCGAAGACGTGGAGGCCCGCGATGCCGCGCGCGCACTCCGCCGCTGATGGGTCGCGCGAATACTGCAACGGCGGGGACTGTAAGAGGGACGCATCCAGTGTGCATGCCCGTTTGCTGTGTGCTGACACGACTTGCACGCCCGCGCTGAGACCTGGGGAGAAGTTACGCGTGATTGAAGCAATTGATGGAGGGTGCAAGTCCGCCATGTGACAGAGGGGCCTGCCGAAGAAGAAAAGGAAATAGAAAAAAAGAATACACATGAAGAATTCGGCAGGTTTTTACTAGAATCCAGATTTAATCTCAATCCAAAAGACTTACACACGTACCTCGCCAAGGAAGAGCGGATGCACGGCCGCGCCATGGATGAGCAGGAAAGCGCCATGGAGTGGTGATGTGGGGCTATGGAACGCAGTGCGAAACGGAGACAGGAGTAAGTTGCTGTGGGTGTGACAATCGACTAATAGGGCGCTAATTTCTTGATGGGGAGGAATTCCACGAGTGCTCAATTCCAGAATTCCAACGAGGGAATGCTCTGCTATTGTGCATGCCATGCGTGGGACGGAAATGCGTTGCGGATAAAGTGTACATCACAACTATTTGGCCACTTATTCCAACACGATTTTGTACTGGAAAGAATGCATAAACAAAAGAGCACCTTACGGCGTCGTAACAATATCAGAGCGAGGTTTCGATCCTCGGACCTGTGGGTTATGGGCCCACCACGCTTCCGCTGCGCCACTCTGATGTCTTTCGAGTGTGACAAAGGCTTTAATTTTAGAAATATCTCGCGCTAGGCCTTCTCACGTCGTCTTTCACCTTGAAGAGCATTTCAACTATGGCGGTGCGTGAAGTCAATATCCCTTCGTCGCGTCGCACACCATTCCGTCTTCCCTTTCGCCGTCCTCTCTCCATGCTCATTCCGCGCTCGTCGTGTGCCACCCCTTCCCCGCGCAGGCGGCGAAGATCCCGGTGGAGCTGCAGCTGGCGGCGGACGACGCGGCGTGGCTCCGCCAGATGGCCGCCACGCACGGGCTGCCCGACGCTGGTGCGTCGCGCCGCGCTGCCATGGGGAATTGTGCAATGCATCGCATGGATGGAGGGATGGATGAGGGAGGAGGAAGCAACAGCGAGGGAACGGAAGGGGCAGGGTTGCCGGTGTTGCTGATTCTGGGTGATTGTGCGCGTTTGCGAACTCAACGACAGTCGCGAGCATGCGTAACCCTTACACCCCATCCTCCTCACACCCGCCCCTCCCCACACCCCTGATGTGCCGTGGCGCGCAGGCAAGGCGCTGCGCATCGTGCTGACATACGCCAGGGACGAGAATCTGGTGGCTCTGGGCGGCAAGGAGGTACGGCCGCGGGGACATGCATAGGAGCCACGCCAAGCGCGCTGAGCCGCGTGGTGGGCTGCGTGCTGCGGGTTGCTCTGGCGGCCACTCACACACACCAGTCGCTGTACCGGCTGTCCATGCTCCGTATCCCATGCCATGCCATGCTGTGCCATGCCATGCCATGCCATGCTGTGCCATGCCATGCCATGCCATGCTGTGCCATGCCATGCCATGCCATGCTGTGCCATGCCATGCCATGCCATGCCATGCTGTGCCATGCCATGCCATGCCATGCTGTGCCATGCCATGCCATGCCATGCTGTGCCATGCCATGCCATGCCATGCTGTGCCATGCCATGCCATGCCATGCCATGCTGTGCCATGCCATGCCATGCCATGCTGTGCCATGCCATGCCATGCCATGCCATGCCATGCCATGCCATGCCATCTCGTCTCACTGCGCGCCATTGCAACGCGTGTGGTGGTGTGAGTGCCATGGCAGGCCATCCAGTCGCCCTCCGCGTCGCTCGCCACCCACTCATTCGCCATCGAGTCTTTCGTGAGTCTCACCTGCCCTGCCGCCCTCCTGCTGCGCCTACTCCCCGCCTGCCATGCGTGCCCCTTCGTGCCATGTGTGCCGTGCCTGCCCACTCCCCACGAGCTGCAAAGTCCTGTGCTCACATGAACTGCGTCTCTGCTCGCTTGCACTGCCCTCGTCTCTGCTCGTTTGCACTGCCCTCGTCTGTTTCAAGTCGTGCGATCACCCCTTGCCATTGCCATCACCCCCCAGCATTGCCATTCCCGTGCGTCAGCATGAGGACGTTTTGCAGAAGATTCAAGAAGCAAACAACTGCGAGAACGTTAGTGAGGTATGCGACGTGTTACGAAGTGCTCGCACATGCCATACTCTGCGCTGACATGCTACTCGGATGCCACAGCAGCCTGCACGGCCCACTTATCATCCACGCTCTATCGTCCACTTATCTCCACCCCCTCTCCACCACACCACCCCCACCACGCCTCTCTCTCCGCCCTGTGCCCGTCCTCTCGCGTGCAGGCGGTGCGGGTGCTGCTGCGCCACGTGCAGGCAGCGGTGTCAGAGGCGATCCTCTTTGGCCTCGTGCGCTGCAAGCGCCCCCTCAACTGCACATCCTGCCCCGCCCACGCCGCCGCCACTGCTGCCAAGGCTGCACCCCCTGCTGCGCCTGCCGCTGCTGAGTAGGTGCCACCAACAGGCGGGTCAAGGGCGTTTATTGCTTATTGCAGTAGGTCTAATGATATGCCTGCGAGCTGCTCTCTGTAGGCTTGCAGATGTGGCTTCCAGTGGTGGAGAAATGTAGCTTTCAATGTTTATCTCTGTGTTTCAAAGAATGGTGGAACTGGATTGCCCATTTTGAGTCATCTGTGGTTGTGAGGCATGAGTGCAGGCATTAATGAGCACAGCAGGGCAGGCAGGCAGCAGCATGGATGTGAAGCAGGAGGGCAATGCTGGTGCTCTAGAGAGAGGCAACACGGTGATGCTGTGAATGCAGAAAACCATGTATGGCGGTTGTGGCAGTGGACTGTGCTAGTTCAGCACAACCCTCACAGTGCTGTGTACACAAGAGGACACAGAAGTAACAATGGAACGGAATGCTTGTGCTACCTACAGTATCTGCATGCCTCAACCTGCTCCTCACCTCCCATGCGCAGCACATCTCCCACATCCCAATGTGTGATGCTTTGCAAGCAACTGGTATGTATCGCTGTGAAAAACCGCACATCAGTGCTTCGTATTGAGCTCCAGGCTCAAGCAACTGTACTACTGTAGTAAAGTTGGCTCTACCGTACCGGTAAACGTTCTCCAGCTGTCTCCTGAATCCATATGAACGGTTTGCTATAGTAGCATTCATCCCGCTCCGACCACCCAACCCCCATCAGCCATCATCCCTCGCGCCCCACAGCAGGGCGCTCCCACTCGCCCTCTGCCTCACTCCCTCGCTGCACTGCAGTGCCGCCCGCAAGCGGCAGGTCTTGTCTGAAAGAATCAAATCCCAAGCCGCCCAGCACCGGCACCCCTCCGCTCCTCCCCGCCGCAAACCGCTGCCTCTTCTCTTCCATACTCACAACGCTCCCTCCCTCATCCCCACTCTTACTCCCACCCTCTGTGCCCGTGCCTGTAATAGTGCTGTCACCTGACTCTGCACCACTGCCGCCCCTTCTCTCCCCACCCTCCCCTCCTTCAAAACGTCCCACTGCCCCCACTGCTTCAACATCAGCCCCCCCAGCAGCACCACCCACCACCTCAGGTCGCTCGTCCTTTTCCGGCAGTGACGATTGGCCGGCGCTGCTGTCGGGCGGCAGGAACTGGGCGGCAACACCACACAGCTGTGCGAGGTGGCGGACGGCGGAGTAGATGGAGGGGTGGGAGGGGAGGGTTGTGGGCGGCAGGGGTGGGTGGCAGTGGGGATGGAAGGCCGGGCGGGTGGCGTAGGAGACATGCAGTGAGAGCACTGCACGTGCAAAGATGAACCTGAGAGCGGGAGCGTGATGGGGAGGAGAGATGGAATAGAAAGAAGGAAAAAGGGTTAGAAAGGGAGTGAGTGGGGGGGGGGGACAGGTTGGAGCAGTGAGGCTGATGCGATGGCACACATGTGAAAGTAGGGTGTGATGGCAGAGCATGGCGGGGTGAGGGCATGGCAGGGGGGAGTGGCAGGGACCTGAGGAGGAAGAGGCGCAGGAAGGGGTCGAGCAGCAGGCGCGCCCAGGCCAGGGGCAGCGTGGGGCACGCAGCGAGAGATGAGCCCCACTGCGACAGCAGCATGGCCAGCTGCCGCTCCCACCCCATGTACTGCTCCTGATGGGGTGCCGTGGTGAAGGGATGCACATGGGGACAGGAACAACGGGAAACAGGGAGGGGGATGAGACAAGGGGGTTTGGTTGGAAGTTGAAGTGGGCACACGCAGTGGCTTGGGAATACCAGCAGCAGTACCTCGGAATTACCGGCAGCAGCAGTACCTTGGGAATGTCGGGCAGGGGCACGGCAGTGAGGCGGCAGAAGGCCTGCAGAGGGGCGGTGAGGAAGAGCGTGAAGAGATTGCCGCCCGCCAGGTGCGTGGCCGTGGCGAGGGAGGCGGCGGGCGCTGCAGCGGAGGTGGGGGAGGAGGAGGGGGGTTCAGACGTGGGGGCAGCAGACGGTGCAGTGGAGGGGATAGAAGCAGGGCCAGTATTGACAGTAGCCGGAGGCTCTGCTGCCGTGTCAGCAACAGCCGAGGCGGATTGAGAGGAGGGAGGGACGGTGCCACCAGCATTGGTTGCGGCAGGAGTGGTGGCAGTGGTGGAGGAAGGTTGAGAGGGGCGGGGAGCGGTGCTGATGTCGGGCTGCAGGCGGGGCGAGAGCAGCATGGCGCACGGCTCTCCTCGCTCCCTGCCACCCAGCCACTGGCAGTTACGAGGACAGAGCGCACGGGGACGGGGAGTGGAGATGCGGGGGGGGTAGTAGTAAGGACAGGTGCAAACGCAGGGAGCAGTGAGGCGATGCAGGCATGGAGGCACTGGGTGAAGCATGGCTCTCACATCATGCTGTGGGGCAGAGCAGACTGGAGTGAGTCAAGCAGGCAAGCGCGGGGGACAGCACAGCGTGTGGATGAATGAGTGTCAGTCACCTGCAGGATTGTCACACCCACCTGGAAGGCAGCGCTATTGTCACACCCACCTGGAAGGCAGCGCTATTGTCACACCCACCTGGAAGGCAGCGCTATTGTCACACCCACCTTGAAGGCAGCGCTATTGTCACACCCACCTGGAAGGCAGCGCTATTGTCACACCCACCTGGAAGGCAGCGCTATTGTCACACCCACCTGGAAGGCAGCGCTATTGTCACTGTCGACAATGAGCACGAGTGGGCGGCGGGTGAAGGGCACGATGTCAGCCGGCAGCAGACAGCACATGCTCGCCGCCTCGCCCTCCCCCCTCGCCCTCACCCACACGCCCCCTCCCGCCACGCCCCCATCCCCCTCGCCCCCGTGTGCCTGCTCCCCCTCATGCGCCCCGCCACCCCCTTCAGAGTCAACGGCCCCACTGCACGCACTGCTGCTGTCCGCTCTGCCCTCTGTGCTGCCACCAGCGCCACCCTCTGCTGCCTCTGCCGTCGCTGCTGCTGCTGCAGGGGCGCCACCCACAGCAGCTGCCTCTGGCGCCACGGCAGCACTGCTAGCAGCAGCAGTGGAGGCAGCAGGAGATTGCGAGGAGGAGGCAAGGGCGGGGGCAGCAGTGGGGGCGAGGGAGCCGGCAGCAGAGAGGTAGAGCAGTAGGGCGGCATCAGCAGGTAGCTCCTCCACTGCCGTTGCCAGCACCATGAGCAGGTGCGGCACGGACGGGCGGTGCAGCACGTACTTATGCGGGTTGGGCGGCAGGCTCGGATCCACCACGTTCTCCTCCGCGCCACCCACCAGCCGCGGCCCCTCGCCGCCCCCGCCGCCCGCGCCGCCCGTGGCGGTGAAGCCCTGCGTGGCGACGCCGCCTTGCTTGGAGGGCAGGAAGAAACCCGAGGGCAGCCACTCCACCGCCTGTAGCATGCGGAAGGCGTCCAGTGTGACCTCGCTCAGCTTGACCTGTGAGCATGGGGGGGAGACGAGGAGCAGAGAGAGAGGCTTTAGCAGCAAGAGCAGGGACAGAAGGAGGGAGGGCAGGGAGCGTTGGGGGGGGGGAGGAGGAGGAGTGGAGACGAGGAACAGGCACAAGGTAAGGATGGGCGAGAGCGAGAAGAGGCGTGCAGTGCAGGGAAAGAGGAGGAGAGCCGCAGCAAAGACCGGCAGTGGCGCCCTCCCCCTAGCTCATTTTGGTGGCGCCCCCCTTGAAGGATGTTGGTATCCCCCCCTCCCCCCCTCCCCTCCCCCGCTCCCCTCCAAAACACACCTCGAGGGGATAGAAGCTGGTGAGAACGACCTCCTGCAGGGAGAGCGCGCGCGGGGCGGCGGGCAGCATGAGGGCGGCGACGGGGGGGAGGGCGCCGGGGGGCGGGTCGAGCAGCACGCTGTAGCGCAGCGGCCGCGGGCAGTCGGACGGCCAGTCGGCGCGCAGGAAGCGCACCGCCTCGTGCACCACGCCCTTCCACTCCGCTGCATCTGATGCCTGGTGGGGGGGAAGGGGGAGGGGGAGGGGCGGGTGGGTGCGGGAGATGGGGGGAATGGAATGGGGAAAAGGGTGGTGGGGTGACGGGTATGGTGACCATGTGGCATGGCATGGAGGCACAACGAGTGAGAGCGTGCGATGCGCAGGGAGGCAGCAGCACCATGCGTGGTCAGCAAAACACGCACATGCATGGCATGCGGAAGGCACGTGCACGGCAAGCAACAGGCACGCGCCGGGGCAGGCGGGCGGCGAGCGAGGGGGCAGTGGCACCTGGAAGGAGCGCGAGTAGTCATCGACTGCCATGCGCAGCTGCCAGAGCAGGTGAGGAAACAAGCATGGTTACCGCATGGTTACCGCGCACAGAGGGGCGAGGGGCGCACCTGGAAGGAGCGGGAGTAGTCATCGACGGCCATGCGCAGCTGCCAGAGCAGGTGGCGCAGCATGTCCCGCCGCCCCAGCAGCACACACACCACTGTGAACCGCGCCAGCCACCGCAGCTGCTTGTGCGCCACCGCCGCCTCGCTGCGCGCCGCCTCTCTGAAATACTCGCGCCTGCACGAGGGGAGACAAAGTGGGGCGGGAAGACAGGCGGGAGGAGTAGGCAGGCGGAAGGGGAGAGACCGGGAGGGGAAGCATTAGAGTCACACCTGTGAATGGCATCAGAGTCACACCTGTGAATGGCACTACAGTCACACCTGTGAATGGCACTACAGTCACACCTGTGAATGGCACTACAGTCACACCTGTGAATGGCATTACAGTCACACCTGTGAATGGCATCGTTATAGTCACAACTGTGAATGGCATCGTTATAGTCACACCTGTGAATGGCATCGTTATAGTCACACCTGTGAATGGCGTCGTAGAATATGAACGCCTCTAGCAGGTAGCTCGCGTCGCCCGTGCGCAGATAGTAGTTGTAGTACAGCTGCCCTATGCGTGACGCGATCTCGCCGATCTCCCACCGCCTGCCCGCCAATCGCGGCGCGATAAACGGCAGAGAGGGTAATGCAGACGAGAAGGGAGGGATTGTGACGCGGACACAGGCGGAAACGAGGATTATCGCGAGAATGGGAGGCGGAATCGCGATGGCGGGCAGCGCGGCGCGGCACGTACTTGAGGCCCATCTCGACGAGGCGCGCGCGGTGCTCTTGCTGGAAGCGCCAGAGGCGCGAGTAGACGCTGAAGGCCTTGTGGAAGTGCGCCTCCCACCGCTGCCGCCCGTACAGCGGCAGCTCGCGCAGCCGCGCAAACTTCCCGTACGCCTTCTCCAGCAGCGCGCGGTACTGCTCCGCCATCGCCGCGCTCGATGCGCCCGCGCTCGTCACAGGCGCGCTCGATACAGGCGCGCCTGCTGCAGGGGCAGTGGCGGCGGCGGAAGAGGAATGCGGCATGGCGGCGGAGGGAGCGGGCGCGGAAGGAGCTTCTAGGGGAGCGGGGGGCGCGGGGGGGTCGTTGCTTGGAGCGGAAGGAGATTCGGTGGAGTCTGGGGCATGTGCGGTTTGGGCATCGTGATCAGGCTTCGCAGGATTTGGCGGCGACGAATGCGGCATGGCAGCAAGTGGTGAGATGTGGTGAGGTGTGGATTCAGGAAGCCATGTGGAAGGTTGGTGGGAAGAGCGCTCGACCGCAGTTTGTTTGCAAACAGACTCCAGGCTCATTAAAGCGAACAGGATAACAATAAAAGATTGCTTATGATACATCGGGAGCTTATTGTCCAAGCCATCTCCGAGGCAATAAATTACTGAAGCACTGCAAGGGGCACAATCAAGCACTCAATCCCCGCAAATGCCTCAGAGAAGGTCAGTATTGGGCACTGGGCTTCCAGAGAAAGAGAGAGAGAGAGGGCTTAGAGCGGTGAAGGGCGGATGAGGGAAAGAAAGCAGATAAAGATGGAATGCGGGCCTGGGGGCCGCCAGATCAAACAAAACGAAACAATGGCTGCAGCAGCGATAACTTCCGCTGCGACTGTGAGAGAGAGAGAGTGTCAGCTGAATTCCAGGCGGCACCACGGGTCCTGTCGCCTCCAGGCGCCACCTATCCCACGAGAATATATTTATCTCTACGCCTCTATCGCGCATGGTGCAGAGAAGCGCCTCAGATCTGGACAGTCGTCGGCGCAACCTTGCCCGACTCCACCCGCTGCAGAGAGCCCACCCGCCCGCTCGCCCCCTCTGCGCCTGCGCTCAAGCTCCCGCGCACGGCGCAATGTCCGCGGGTCCTCCGCGGGCTGCCGCGTTCGCCCAGGTACGCCCTTCCCCAAGGCGAGCTCGCCCATTTCGAATCCGCCGAGCGCGGCTGGTACCCGTCGAAGCTCAGGCACCGCGGCACGCCCGTCGGCCCTTGCTGACGGATCGCCGGCTCCGCTGCCGCGTGGCCGTCAAAAGGGCCGCGGAGGAAGTCGGCTGCTGGCCACGGAGACTGTGAGTCGCCGGGGGACCGCTGCTCTGCCGCATTTCCCGCATCCAGCGGCAGGACTGACGGCAGTGAGTCCATGGTCGCTGCGCGCTCCGTGGAAGCTCGGCGCAAACCGCGTCCGTTGGAGGCTTGGGCTCCCCACGGTCGTTCCGCGTCGTCCTCCTTTGGGCTGCGCCGCGGGACCGCCCATGGCGGTGTCTGGCGTGGGAAACGGGAGAAGAGGCGGGACGAGCGCGAGCGAGAGACAGGGAAGCGAGGAGGCGGATGAGACACGCTGATCACGACATGGAGACGAGACGACCTGAGCCAATACGCGACGCCGCGAGATGCGATGACACGAAACAAGCGGAGACAGAGCATACCTGGAGTGGAGTTGGAGGTTTGTGTGAGAGTGGACCCGCCATAGTGGCGATTCGCGTCAAGGCTCACAGGGAGGGTGGCGCCGCGAGAGAGCTATAAGGGAGCAGGATACTGGTTGACTCGCAGAGAAGTACAGGGAACCCTAGAAAGGCAGTGAATGGGACGTGCTAGTCGTGTGCGGAGCAGACTTGGAAGGGTTGAATAGCGTGGTGTGGTGGTGGAGATGGGGCGAGGTGGGGCGAGGGAAGGGGAATGGAGGTGGTGGTGTCGCCCGCCTCACTGGATGCCGCGTGAATCCGATTGCTGGCGGCGACACCTCGCCTAGATTACACGCCACGTTGCGCCAGCCCTCACCTCAGCAAGGAGCAGCAATCGCATCTGTCGCACAACTTGGTGTTTTCTACCCGAAGATGGAGGTTCGGGTCCACCGTCTCTGTTTCACTGGAATTCGACTTCAACTACAGTACAGCACAAAAGCCCGCGACAATGGTACGGGACGGGACCACTCTCCTAGCGAGGTAACGCTTTCATCTCTCGGGCAGTTTTGTTCTGGATCCGACCTTGAGCGCACTCCCCTTTGACTCGGACTCGACCCTTACCCCCGGTGGAGCCTGGCTGGTCTGGACGCCCAACCGCGCAGCCTTCTGTCGCACACTCGCAGACCCACTCGGCGACGGGGAAAAGGTCCCTGAGCGATCTGCCGAAGCAAGAATGGTACAGTACAGAGATCCAGCAGGTTTCCCTTCCGCTTTTTGTCGTTTCCACAGCACACGCTGCAGAAGGGACCCAGTCAACATGCTGCAGTTGAGGAAAATAATTATACACGCGGATATGCTTACAACGCATGTGTTTAGAAATTGCAAGTCAGTTCAATTAAATCCTTGATTGCTGCTGCCATGTACCGTACCTTACTTATGATGCCCCTAGTCAGCATGGATACTCCGACCAACAGCACCATTCTCACCACAGAAGTTTCCAGAGCACCCATCAACAGTTGCTGCTATGTCAGATGGTTGACTAATTGGCTCACAAGGGATGACAGATCAAGAGGCTCATAGCATAACTATCAGAAATTCTGTACAACATTCCTTGGCAGGCGCAAGGAAACAAAAATGCTGCTAAGGAAATCTACTCAAACGTCAAGTGCTGCGCATTAACCAGTGTGGCATAAGCACCCCCCTGTGCCACGAGCTGGGCGTGTGTCCCCCTCTCTACAAGCCGGCCGGCCGCCATCACCACGATCTGATCTGCTGCCTGCACCGTGCTCAGCCGATGCGCTATCACCAGCGTCGTGCGGCCCTGGGAAAGGGGGTAAAGGGAGAGAGGGCATGTGTGTGATGCATGGTTTCGGAACACGCACATCCAGGCCACTCAAAAAACAAGCACATGAGCCGTGGCTCTCAAACTCGCTGCATCCCTTGCCCCACCATCACCTAATACTCCCTCCCCTCACCTGCATGAGCCCCTCCAGTGCCTGCTGCACGAGTCGCTCCGACACGCTGTCGAGTGCACTCGTGGCCTCGTCCAGAATCAGAATCGGCGCGTCCTTCAGTATCGCTCGCGCTATTGCGAGACGCTGCCAGGGGAAAATGGGAGAGGGGAGAGGTGAATCGAGAAGCACAATTCAAGCACATGTACGTGCACGAGAGCATACAGTAGGAATCAGGTGCGCATGGGAGCAGATGGCATGGGCTTGCAGGGAGGTTTGGGATGGGTGGGTGCAGGGTGTGTGGCACAAGGCAGGCAACACAATACCTCCCAGTAGTGCGAGCACAAGGCAAGGAAAGCAAGTTTTTCCGTGCTGCAGGGGCACGGCGGGTGAGAGCAGCAGCGTGGGTGGGTGGGTGGCAGCTCACCTGCCTCTGGCCGCCGCTGAGCAGCCCACCCCTCTCCCCCACCATCGTGTCGTACCCCTGCCATGCTCACAGCACGGGCGGGTGCGGGGGAGGGAAAGGAGGGAGGGTGAGCGGAGGAGTGGCAGTGAGGGAGGTGGAGTTTTCTAAGAAGCACGCGTGGATGCGGGATGATATGGCGGACGATGGAGAGAAATGGTACAAAACAGCAACGAATGTGCGCAGTGTCATGCGCATGAGTGGGCATGGAAAGATACAGCATGGAATGGCAAGAGCAAGCATGGCATGGCAAGGAAAGAGCATGGCGCACCTGGGGCAGCTTCAGTATGAACTCATGGGCGTTGGCCGCCTTGGCAGCCCTGATGACGTCAGCCTCTGCCACGTCAGCGTCTGGGAGGCCATAGGCAATGTTGTCGCGCACGGACATGGCGAAGAGCACGGGCTCCTGGCTGACGAGTGAGACAGCGCGCGTCCACTGCGTGCGGTCGAATGATGCTATGTCCTCGCCCGCCAGTGATATCGTGCCCGCTACCGGCTGGTGCCACAGCCATGCACGCACGCACGCACACAAACACACAGGGGCAGTGAATGGGGGAGGGATGAGAAAGGCACGGAGAGGCGAGAGGAAAGGAGGAAAGGGAAGGAAACCAAACGAGTCCGTGCTTTGCAGGCAGCAGCACATAACCAGGAGCAGCATGGTCTCTCTCCTCTATCCACGGCATGTGCATGGAGCATGGGCCATGGCGGCACATGCAGGGAGGGAGGAGCTGTGATGTGACCCATGGCACCGCACCACATCGCAGCGCACCTCATAGAACCTGGAGAGCAGCTGCACGACGGTGGACTTGCCCGCGCCACTGCCGCCCACGAGCGCTGTGACAGTGCCACGTGGCAGCACGAGATTGATGCCCTTTATCACCTCCACTGCCGCCCGCTGCGGATACGCAAAGCGCACGTCTGTGGGCGAGGGAAGGAGGGAAGGGGGAGGACGTGGTTGAGGAGAGAGAGCAATTGGACAGGAGGAAGGAGAGTTGGAGGGGTGTGTGACACAGAGAGTGGAGGAACGGGGTTAGGGAAGCGACAATGAGAGTGGGGGTTGCATGCATGTATGAAGTGATGGTGATCAGCTGATAGCCACGTGAAATCAGAGTGTTATTGAGACGTCTCAGAAACACTCTTATTTCACAGGGCATGGCAAAGTCAACCTACCTCTGAACTCAATGCCGCCCGTCCATGCCAGCTCACACGCCGACAACCCCTTCCCGCCCCCCACCACCGCTCCATTCCCTCTCTGCACCGCAATCAGCCCCTCCTTTTCCTCCGCTTCTCCCACCACCCCCACGGCCGCCGGCTCGGGGCAAGGGGTGGAGGGGGGAAGCGGCACGGAGAGGTCCGGGAGCGGTTCGGGGATGGAGAGGTTGGGTTCGGGGGGCGAGGCGGAGAGGAGGGCGTTGATGCGCGCCACTGCAGAGAGCGCGTTCTGCACGTCCGCCATGGTGTTCACCAGCCCCTGGATCTGTTGGGTTGGGGAGGGTTGACAGGGGGGAGGGGAAGGAGAGGGGTAGGTTCAGGCATGAATGGTGTAAAGGCGAGCAGGCATGTTGCAGCGAGGGCGTTCTGCACGTCCGCCATTGTGTTCACCAGTCCCTGGATCTGCGGACGGGGAGGGGGGGGGAAGGGGAGGGGGAAGGGGGAAGGGGGAAAGAAGGGGAGGGGCTGAGGGTGATGAGTGCAGAGAGGGCGTCCTGCACATCCGCCATGGTGCTCACGAGCCCCTGGATCGGCGGAAGGGGAGAGGGAGGGAGGGGGGTGAGGGATGATGGAAGGTGTGGTGTGGTGCAAGCAAGGGCATGTGGGCATGGATTCGAGGCCCGAATAACTGTGACTGGAATGAGCAGCGTCTGGATATGTATGGAGTAAGTGTAAGGGGGAGGGAGAGGAGGGACGCTGGCATGCGCGGTGCCATGGCATGGCATGCAGACATAGAGGCATGAATTAGGGTTCCGAGCCGGTGGAGGGCGGCATGCAGTGCCTTTCACAGGCAGGGGCACACAAGCATGCATGCACGAGGCCAAGGGAGGGGGGCGGTGGAAGGGGGGGGATGTGCTGGGCAGGCAGTGCTTTGCAGAACAGTGGAGGGCAGGCAGTGGAACGACCTTGCGTCAAACACAAGAGACAGCTTGCAACGAGGATGGCAGGGGCTGGGAGGACGGAGGGGAGCAGAGGGGAGAGGAGGGGAGGGGCTTACAGCGAAGGTGAGGAGGAAGGTGTAGCCCACGAACGCCAGCACCGTGCCCGCTGCCATCACGCCCTGTGCCGCATGGGATGGGGTGGGGTGGGGTGGGGTGGGTTGGGGTGGGATGGGTGCATGGGAGGGGAAGGGACGTATGGGATGGGTGGGTTGGGTTGCATGGGATGGCATTGGGTGCTGGGATGGGATGGATGGGGTGCATGGCATTGAACGCGGTGCATGGGATGGGGCATGGGAAGAAGGGATGGTGTGGAATGATTCGATAAGAATGGATAGAGTGGTCAAGTGCGGTGCTGCAGAGCACCGACCAGCTCACACGCTTCAACTCCACCTCACTAATCCACTGCTGCTGCTCCACCCCGCACCCTCCCTCCGCTATTCCCCCCCCTCCAGACTCCCTCATCATCCCCGAAATGCACCCCCCTGCGTCCCCCTTCCCACCTCCCGTCTTCGCCTTCGCCTCATACCCCCGTGTGGCATGAGCAGTACGCACCATTTGGACCTTGTGCCCGCCCAGGATGTAGACACACATGAGGGAGATGTACACGCAGCCACGTGTCAGCGCCTCGTTGGTCGACTTGAGCACACTCAGCCGCGTGCCCGTCTCCCGCGCCTCTGCCACGTGGCCTGCGAACCGCCCCAGCTGCCGCGCCTCGCCTCCAAACGACCGTACCTGGGGGACAAAGAGAAGAGAAGGGTGAGGGTACGGGGTTTTGGGGGGGGGTGGAGGAGAGGGCGGGGGGGAAAGAGGGGAAGAAAGGGAAGGAGTTGGCATGGATAAAACCATGCATGTAAATACAGCTGCTCGGTTGTGTGAACTAGCGCCTGACCTAATTGAACCCCAGCTGCCTCGACGCACTCGCCACCTCAATAATCGGCTCGAGAGGCAGGCAGGGGGGGCGAGTGGGGCACGGCGCTCACGGTGCGGATGATACGGCGCGAGAGGCAGGCAGGGGGGACGAGTGGGTGGCGGTGCGGATGACTTGGCGCTCACGGTGCGGATGGCTTGGCGCTCACGGTGCGGATGGCTTGGAAGGTCTCGGTGGCGGAGTCGGTGATGCGCGCCTGGGTGGCGGTGCTGCGCGCGAACACGGGCAGCGTGCCGCGCTTGTAGATGCCCGCGATGAGCGAGATGCCCACCGCCAGCAGCGAGAACACGGGCGCCAGGTCCGGCGCGATCACGAACAGGATCGCCAGTGTTGACACCACCTGCCGGGTATGGGGAGGGACGGGGAGGGGCGGGGAGGAGAGGTGTGTGGAGGGGAATAGCAGGGGTTTGGCGATAGCATGGACGTGGAGGTATCGATGGTGGCGCGTGGCAGTGACGGGAGGGGGAGCATGGGGGTGCGCGTGTGGGATGGCGGTGACTGAGCTGGGGGAGGCATCGCTCGCTCTCCGCGCATCTCTCTGCGCTCTCGTTTCTCTGCGCGCCCCCCTTTACCCGCGCTCTGGTTTCGCACCTCGCAGATGGAGCGGAGGCCGCGGTCGCGAGTGACGTTGTCGGTGACGGCCTTGTCCATGAACCCCAGCTCCGACGACAGCACGCCGCTCAGCGCCGCCACCTTGTGCGCGTCGTAGAACGCCACCTGCGCCCACCGCGCGGTGCGCGGGGAGGATTGAAAGGGGGGAAGGGGAGCGGAGGGGATGCGGGGGACGAGGATAGCCGCAGGAGGGAATGATGAGAGTAAGGCGACAATTTAAGAAAGAAAGGAGCTTTGAGTTTCCATTTTCTGTTTTCGTGGCGACTCCGTCCTTTGTGAGCGCGGCGCACTTTACATTGTTGATTTTTTAAACGTACCTTCTGCAGCAGCAGGCGGCGGAAGACGCGGACCCGGACGGCGGCCATGACGGACTCCCACACGGCGGAGAGCGACGACACGAACAGCAGCGTGGCCGCCGGCTCCAGCACGTAGATCGCCGCAATTGGTAGCAGCAGCTGCGCCAGCGGCACGGGCACGGGCGCCACGAGCGCCTGCACGAAGTTACCGTTGATGCGCGGCAGCACCACGTTGCACGTCGTCCCCGCGATGAGACCCACGGCGAGCCCCACCAGCCGCAGTTTGTGCCGCAGCACCAGACCAACCACGAGCTGCCACGTAATCACTGGCGACGCCGCCTGCTGTTCTTTCCGCGGCTCCTCTGCGCGCGAATCGCGCAAATCGTCCACCGCGAGTTCTTTCTCTTCGCTGCTAAACTCCTGCGCGCTACAGTACCCGTCCTCCGCCTCCCCCTCGCACTCCTCTTCCTCCGCCACGACTAGCGACGCGGCCCCATTTCCTTCGACAGCGGCTTGAGAAGCAAGCCGCCCTGGTCTTAATTTGGCACGGAATTGTGTAAGGTAAGGGAAACGAGAGCTCGAATCACGCCCTAAACAGGCACGTTGTCGTGGCCTCGCTGAAAACGCGTGCCTTTGCCTTTGCGTTGCATAAGTACTCACGGGGTTGTCCGTTACTAAGCTATGGTGTACAAATGCTCGTCTCGACTCAGCGCCACGACAGGAGCTCAGCGCAGACGCAAGAGCCGGCCGAGCAACAGCGCTGGTGACAGCCATGGCCCGAATCGTCCCAGTTTCGCGAGGTTGGCACACTACTGCAGCGCCAAAGCCAAGAAAAGGACCAGCTTTCCTATGACCTGGCTCAAGACTACACCTGGCGCGAATAAACGAGTATTTCCCTCGTAATAGTCTATACTCCTGCGTCAGTGGTCGCGAGGAAGAGCTGCTCGGGCGAAATGCGGCGGCGAAACTCAGTTCTGCTGGACGAGAAGGACCATATGGCGGAAAAGGTTCCTAATCGCGTGCTTATAGGTCAACTCTTGATACAACTCTGCCGTGGTACATCGTGCACGGTGCAGAATGGACGAGAGAATCAGAGTTCCTCCTATAAAAAGTTTATGCCTGTGGTCCCTCTCGCGAGTTCGCAACTGTCTGGCGCGGGAGAAGACCTGGAGGTTTGTGGGGAGCGGGTGCGGTGCGGACAGCTTGGGCACTGCTTCTTGAATCTTGATTGGCCATTGAGCGCCTCTTCGCCAGGGAGCGGACGCGAAGCACGCAGCGGCTGCTTCGGATTGGTGGCTGATTTGCAATTTGGTGCATGCAGCGGGAAGGGGATGGTGGCGTGGCGATGGTGGGGAAGACAGAGAGCATGGAGTGACGTGGGCGATCCGAGGTCGACAGCGTGGTGCAGCCTGACACCTTGTGGGGCTGGTATGGCCTTGGTGGCATGTGACGTGGCGCACAAGCACCTGCTCATCCACTCATGTGTACGCGAATTCAACAGATTGGGGATGGCGACGGTGACTGAGCTTTACGAGTTGCGAAGGCACTTTGCGAAAGCACACGACGGCAAAAAAACCCGCAGCGAAAAAGAGGAAAAGCGTCAATGATACGACAACCCTCACATCTCAAAGCACTACAGACATTCCCAAAGTCAGATGTACAGTCATCCCCTACGCAAGCGCCAGCAGTTTCTCAGATGTAATCATCCGTTAAAGCCCAAGACCTGAATTACTCAACGGAAGTCAACGGAAAAAAATAGGTTCGGAAGGGAGGGACACGGAGGTTCGGTTGGGGTGCGAAGCACTTTCGCTCGCGAAACCAATTTGCGACAAAAGTTTCTCGCGCACAAGAATATGAGTGATGGGTGGTCCTTCCCACAACGACCAGAAAAGGGCATCCATCCCAAACTGTGCACAGTTTGAGATAGCACGCAGATAACTAGGCATAGAGCATACCTGTAGACATAGCGGGGAATCAGAGGCGCCTTACGAATGAGTGTGGCGCGGATTTCGATGACGCGCAAAGATAGTGTCCGCTGGTGTCGAAATGCAGGTTTGAGTGCAACTGATGCGTAAACTCGCGGCGAATATCGTAGCGTGACCCTTCGCCCAAGCGTGAACCTCTCCTCGCCCTCGCTCCTTTCCCTAGGTCCCACGCTTCCAATCTCTTTCGCCATCGCTTCCCCAGCTCGTCGCCTTCGCGACCTCAGCCCGTCGCCTTCGCCCCGCCCGTCGCCTTCGCTTTCCACGCCTGTCGCCTTCACTTCCCCTCCCCCGTCGCCTTCACTTCCCCTCCCCCGTCGCCTCACTTTCCCCCCCGTCGTCACCTTCACTTCCTCTCCGCCGTCGCCTTCACTTCTCCCCCACCCGTCGCGCTCATTTTCCCCCTCCCGTCGCCTTCCCCCGCCCGTCGCACTCGCTTTCCCCGCCCGTCACACTCGCTTCCCCGCCCGTCGCACTCGCTTCCCCGCCCGTCGCACTCGCTTCCCCCGCCCGTCGCACTCGCTTCCCCCGCCCGTCGCACTCGCTTCCCCCGCCCGTCGCTCTCGCCTCCCCCGCCCGTCGCACTCGCTTCCCCCGCCCGTCGCTCTCGCTTCCCCCGCCCGCCGCACTCGCTTCCCCTCCCGTCGTCACCTTCTCTTCCCCGCCAGTCGCACTCGCTTCCCGCCTGTCGCCTTCACTACCCCTCCCATTGCCGTTCACTCTCTCCTGCTCACGCTCTCCCCCCCGCTCACTCTCTTCCCCACCCTCACTCTCTTCTCTCCTGTACACTCCCTTTCCCCCTGTTCTCACCCCTCTCTTTCCCCCTTCACTCAACCCTTTCCCCCTGCTCACTCTCCTCCCCCCTGCTCACTCCCTTCCCCCCTGCTCACTGCTCACTCTCTTCCCCCCCCCCCCCCCCTTACTCTCTTCTCCCGTGTGCACTCTCTTTCCCCCTGCTCACTCTTTCCCCCCCTGCTCACTCTCTCCCCCCCTGCTCACTCTCTCTCCCCCTGCTCACTCTCTTCCCCCCTGCTCACTCTCTTCCCCCCTGCTCACTGCTCACTCTCTCCCCCCCATACTCTCTTCTCCCCCGTGCACTCTCTTCTCCCCCCTTCGCTCTCTTCTCTCCTGTTCACTCCCATTCCCCCTGCTCACTCCCCCTGTCCTCACCCCACTTTCCCTCTTTCTCACCCATTTTCCCCCTTCTCGCTCTCTTTCCCCCTTTGCTCGCCACCTTTTTCCCGGCTCACTCCATTACTCCCACGCTCTCTCTCTCCCCCTCTGCTCACTCTATTTCCCCCTGCTTACTCTCTCCCCCCTTGCTCACTCTCTTTCCCCTCTGCTCACTCTCTCCCCCTCTGCTCACTCTCTTTCCCCCTGCTCACTCTCTCCCCCTCTGCTCTCTCTCTTTCCCCCTGCTCACTCTCTCCCCCTCTGCTCACTCTCTTTCTCCCTGCTCACTCTCTTTCCCCTCTGCTCACTCTCCCCCCCCTTGCTCACTCTCTTTCCCCTCTGCTCACGCTCTCCCCCTCTGCTCACTCTCTTTCCCCCTGCTCACTCTCTCCCCCTCTGCTCTCTCTCTTTCCCCCTGCTCACTCTCTCCCCCTCTGCTCGCTCTCTTTCCGCCTGCTCACTCTCTCCCCCTCTGCTCTCTCTCTTTCCCCCTGCTCACTCTCTCCCCCTCTGCTCGCTCTCTTTCCGCCTGCTCACTCTCTCCCCCTCTGCTCTCTCTCTTTCCCCCTGGACTCACTTATCTTTCCCCCCTGTTTACTCTATATTCCCCTTCGTTCAACCCTTTTTCCCCATAATCCCTCCCCCTGCTCACTCTATTTCCCCCTTTGCTCACCCCCTTCTCCTCCCTGCTCACTCTATTTTCCCCTTTGCTCATCCCCTTCTCCTCCCTGCTCACTCTATTTCCCCCTTTGCTCACCCCCTTCTCCTCCCTGCTCACTCTATTTCCCCCTTTTCTCACCCCCTTCTCCCTGCTCACTCTATTTTCCCCTTTGCTCACCCCCTTCTCCTCCCTGCTCACTCTATTTCCCCCTTTTCTCACCCCCTTCTCCCCCCTACTGACTCTCTTTCCCCTTCGCTCACCCTTCTGCCCTGTCCCCACTCCTCCCATACATGCCCTTTGTACCTCCCACCTCCACCCCTCGCTCATTCGCCGTACCCCCTCTTCCCTCCCCATTCTATCACAGAACCATGCTTGTACAGGTGCCCGGCACCATGGGTCCCAACAGGAGTGGGATGGAAAGTTACCACCCCCTAGGTTTGTGCATTGTGCCTCTATAATCCACTGTTGACAACTTTTATAAAAATATAACTTGCTTTGTTGCATTTCTTTGTCGTGGTCATGTGCATGGCTGCTCCAAAGCCCAGAGTGTTGTATGATTGTATCATGAAAAGCATCCACCATCATGGCATGGCATGGCATCGCTATTTGTACCACTATCACCCAACAGCAAAGACATCACAACTTCATGCATGACAGACCTGCACAAACACGAACCACAAAATCTTCTGTGCCAAAAGTTGAAGCAGCGGGGAAGGATACAAAGCAATGCCAATGGAAGGGCAGGCAGGGAACAAGAAACAAGCCCCTAGAATAAACAAACAAGGTAGGAGTGTACAGGCGTGGCAGGGTAGAAGGGTGCGGAGGAATGGTTGACGAGAGGAAGTGTGGAGGCTGAGAGGAAGGGAGGATGGCAGCGAGGGATGCAGGGAAAATAAGCATGCGCCGAGGGAGAAAATGAGCAAGGGAGACAAGGAGGAAGGGCGGAAGAGAGAAAGGGAGGGGGGAAGGAAGAAAGGGAGGATGGGAGGATGAGAGAACGGGAGGATGAGATGAAGGGAGGATGAGAGGAAGGGAGGATGAGCGCAAGGGCTGGAGGGTGGAAGGGTGGAAGGGGAGAAGGGGGGATGAGAGGATGTGAGGAATTCAAGTAGGGATAGGACAAGTGGGTGAGACGGAAAGGCGGACTGTAGGAAGCTCGGAAGGTGGCAGTTTGAAAAGAAGGTCGGCATGGTGGAAGAGAGGCACGAGGATGAAAGAAAGAGTGGGTGAGAGAGTGGTAGGGAGGAGGGAGACTGGGAGGAGGGGCGGACGGGAGAAGTGGAGGGAAAGAGAGAGAAAGTCGATTTTTGAGTCGACTAAAAAATTGAAAGAAAGAGTGGGTGAGAGAGTGGTAGGGAGGAGGGAGACTGGGAGGAGGGGCGGACGGGAGAAGTGGAGGGAAAGAGAGAGAAAGAGAGGAGGGAGGAATGGAGAGTGGAAGGGCGGACAGGAGAAGGCGAATTAGCGGACGAGAGAGGAAGTCGGGACGGCTTCCTGCCCCCGCCACCCCCACTCCCCTGCCCCGCCTCCCCCACTCCCCTGCCCCGCCTCCCCCACTCCCCTGCCCCGCCTCCCCCACTCCCCTGCCCCGCCTCCCCCACTCCCCTGCCCCGCCTCCCCCACTCCCCTGCCCCGCCTCCCCCACTCCCCTGCCACGCCTCCCCCACTCCCCTGCCACGCCTCCCCCACTCCCCTGCCACGCCTCCCCCACTCCCCTGCCCCGCCTCCCCCACTCCCCTGCCCCGCCTCCCCCACTCCCCTGCCCCGCCTCCCCCACTCCCCTGCCCCGCCTCCCCCACTCCCCTGCCACGCCTCCCCCACTCCCCTGCCACTCCTCCCCCACTCCCCTGCCACGCCTCCCCCACTCCCCTGCCACGCCTCCCCCACTCCCCTGCCACGCCTCCCCCACTCCCCTGCCCCGCCCCCCTTTCCCTTTGTGCACAGCGCTCCTCACTTCCCGCCTGCACGCGCTGCCCCGGCTGTGCGCCCAGCATTCTCCTCCAATGCTGCAGCAGCACCTGCCATGCGAGCGGGGTTGGTGAAAGAGAGAGGAGGAGGCTGGTTCAAGCTTGCTGTGCTGCCATAGGGTTGTGTGGGGCACAGCGTGAGGGGCAGGACGTGTGCACCGCGGAGCATGCTCCTCGCCTCGCACACCCAGGCAGTGGGGAAGGGAGAGTCAGAGAGAAGGAAAGAAGGGTGCAAGGGTGGGGGGAAGCGTGGGTGACTGTGGGAGGGAGTGTAAGGGAGAGTGGGAGGAAGCGAGGGCGACGGTGGGAGGAAGCGTAGGCGATGAGAAAGGAAGAGTGGGGGAAGGTGGGGGAAAGCGTGAGCGACGGTGGGGGGAAGCGTGGGCGACGGTGGGGGGAAGCGTGGGCGACGGTGGGGTGAAGTGTGAGGGACAGTGGGAGGAAGCGTGGGCGACGGTGGGCGGAAGCGTGGGCGACGGTGGGGGGAAGCGTGGGCGACGGTGGGGGGAAGCGTGGGCGACGGTGGGGGGAAGCGTGGGCGACGGTGGGGGAAGCGATCGGGGACGGTGGGAGGAAGCGTGGGCGACGGTGGGGGGAAGCGTGGGCGACGGTGAGGGGAAGCGATCGGGGACATAAAAGTGCCGCCGTTGTGGGACACGACGACGTCGACGAGGAAGCGATGGGAGGGGAAAAGGGCGGACGGAAACGTAGGGCGAATGCGCCCTACAACTGGAGCTGAGGGCGTCGGAATGGGGTCATGACGGCAAGCAGGACAGGAAGTCACTGCAGGGCGGCGGGTAGTTGACTACCATGGAGAGGAAGGTGATGCATGCGGCAAACTGGCGTTTTGCGCGGTCGCGCAGGGGTTCGACGACGATGCAGAGTAAAAGGCGGGGCCATCGCACAGAATCTAGATTTTTTTGTGAACTAAGCTACAGCTCTATTGGCTTTCTGTTCTACCTCTGCTGGTAAAGTGGGAGTTCCTCGTACCATACGACCTGAATTACAAAAAAATCAAACTGTGCACAGCCGCAGCCGTTATCTCTTGTGGAGGGAGTGGTTGGGGCTCTCGCCAACCGAACCTGTGCTGCTCTACGACTCACTGTTTTTCTGCGGGAAGTCATCTGGTAACCGGAGAGGCTCGGGAGAAAAACTGTGGGCTCGGGAGGCAAACTGTGCACAGTTTGCCTTCCCTTTTTTGTAATTCAGGTCTTGGGCTTTAACTCATCACTTACGATACGGTATGCGACGCTTGCTCTCGTCGACGCTAAGTTTATTGCCACGCGACGTCGCCCTATCGCCGCCCTATCATTTATTGCCCTCAGTCGTCTTCATGCCAGTTCAGACGCGATCGTCCTTTCGCAGGACCTCGCCTCCGGAGTCCCCGCAACTGCCATGCATCCCACCGCAAAAACCGCTCGCTGCCACGCGTCCAGCCACCAGCACCGACACCCCACTTGCTCGGCGTGCCTCTCTCGATGCCTATCGTCTCACTTCGCCTCCGGTTTCCCGTAAATCGCGCTCCTCGATACGACAGCCAACTCGCTCCGCTCGCAACGCCTCTAGCAGTGCCCGCACGAGCTCTGCCGGACCTCTGACTCCGATTAGCGACATTGAGGATCTCGGGGGGGAGGTGCGACGTGGCGTGATGGGAGAAACACGTGACAGGGAGGGTGGGGAATCGGAGGCGCAAGAGTCGGAGCAGGCGAGTAGCGAGGAGGGGGAGTCTGATGAGTGCGAGGAGGGCGTGAATGACAAGGCAGCGACGCGACGGCGGAGATTAGCCGCGGGTACCGCGTCCCGGAGGAGCGGGGCCGTGAAGAGATTGAAGGCGGAGGCAGGAAGGGGAAGCGGGAGAAAGGCATCGAAAGAGGAGTTGGAGATTAAGTACGGGTTCAGCGACGAGGAGGTCGTCGCGGCGCGATCCGCATTGATGGAATGGTACGATGTGAATAAGCGTGACCTGCCGTGGCGAGCGGCCGCAGGGAACGAGAGGGCGCAGCAGATGGAAGAGGGGCGCAACGATATCAAGGAGGCGCGGGAGGCAGGGGGGGAGGAGCGCGGGGAGCAGGAGGCGCAGGAGGCGGGGGAGGTGCGGGAGGAGCGGGAGGAGCGGAGGGCGTACGGCGTGTGGGTGAGCGAGGTGATGCTGCAGCAGACGCGCGTGGGCGTGGTGGAGCCCTACTTCCGCCGCTGGCTGGCGCGCTGGCCCTCCCTGCCCTCCCTCGCCGCTACCTCCCTCGAGGTCCCTCCCCCTCCGCCCGCCGCCCCCCTCCCTCCGCTCCCTCCGTCTCCTTGTCTGTCTTGTGTCCCCATGCCCCACCTGCCGTGTGCACTCCACTCACGCCCACTGCCGCCTGCCATGCCACATGCCACCCACTCCCCCACTCCCGTGTGTGCGTGCGCTCCATAGTTGCGTCTCCTCGCCTCGCCTCCCCTTTTCCCGACCCCATCTCCACAGGAGGTGAACAGCATGTGGGCGGGATTGGGCTACTACCGCCGCGCCAAGTACCTGCTGCAGGTGCACCCACGTGCGGCCTTGCTTTGTGGATTCTTGGATCAACGACACTACCAGGATTATGCGTGCATTCCCAGCCATAGCTGCCAGGTGCACACACATTCGCCCATACTTCACGCGCACATACAGCAGCACACTAACTTGGCCTTTGTTACTGCCAGGTGCGTGAGCCCCGCTCCCTTTGTCTCTGTCTTTCTCTCCCCTCCCGCTCGTCCTCCTGCCCTCTGCTCGCCCTCTGGCAGGGAGCGCAGCACATGGAGCAGCAGCACGGGGGGCGCATGCCACGCACGGCCAGGGAGCTGCAGGCAGTGCCGGGCATCGGCCCCTACACCGCCGCTGCCGTCGCCTCCATCGCCTTCCGCCAGGTCTGCTGACTTGCCAAGGGGCAGGGGGCGGGGGGGCCTGGGGGGGATGGGTAAGCAGGGAGGGTGAGGGTTTGCGGGGCATTTGGGGTTGCAGCGTTCCTAATATTGTATCCTAAGGGCATCTGTTGGATCGGAGTGATGAAAACAAAGAGACAGATTGGGGCGGGGTGTTGAAACATGTGTGGGGCTCGGTGAAGGTTGTGGGTTTAGGGACGTTGGTGGGTGGGAGCAGTGAGCTCTCATCTCTGCACCACCATCCCGTGCACCTACTCCTCACGCCTCTTACCCACCACCCCTCCCGCGTATTCCTGCATGCAACCACCCCTCCTTCCCTCCCCTCTCCTCCCCCCCCTCCCCAGCCAGTGGCAGCGGTGGATGGCAATGTGATGCGCATCATGGCGCGCCTGAGAGCCGTGCCGCTGCCCATGCATGAGAGCGCCGCCACCTCCCTCTTCTCCCACCTCGCCTCGCAACTGCTGCACTCCGCACGCCCTGGGGACTTCAACCAGGTGGGCTGTTAGAGCAGGCAGGCAGGAATGGCTACGCTTTCATGCCTCCACACAGACAGTCCTCGTCTGGATGATCTGCATCGCGCCATTCTGATTTTGACCCTGACCCTTTGCTGCATATCACAATGCATTTCTTCCGCTTCTTGCCACTCCCCCCCACCCACTCACGCCCTCCCACTCACCCATTCACTCTCACCCCCTCCATCTGGAACCCACCAACCCCCCAGGCGCTGATGGACCTGGGCTCCCTCGTGTGCTCGCCCTCCTCCCCCTCCTGCTCCTCCTGCCCCCTCTCTCCCCACTGCCGCGCCCTCGCACTGCAGCAGCAGGGGGCATGCAGGGGGGAGGGGAGTGAGGGACGAGAGGGCGAGGGGTTAGTGAGAGTGACGGACTTCCCTGTGCGCAAGGCCAAGGCAGCTCCCAGGGAGGAGTGGGTGGCCGTGTGTGTGGTGGAGAGGAGAGGTGCGGGGGCGCCAGCACTGGCAGCATCGCAAGCATTAAAGGCATCAGCAGGTGTCTCGGCCAGGAAAGGCAGGCGCGCACATGGCAGCACCAGCAGCAAACAATCCAGCAGCGAGGAACCTTCTCAGTACCTTCTGGTGCAGCGCCCGCCTACAGGACTGCTGGCAGGGCTGTGGGAGTTTCCCTCTCTGGTGATGACCTCGGGCACAGGCAGGCCAGCAGAGGCGCAAAGGAGGCAGGCTGTGAAGCAGCTGCTGGGACAGATGCTTCCCTGTGTGACTATAGAGGGGTCAGGACAGCTCAGCTCGGATGGGAGAATGCTGCAGGCGGGGGAGAATGAGGTGGCAGGAAGCAAGTGGCGTGTGATAGAGAAGCAGGATGTGGGCGAGACATTGCATATTTTTTCCCACATACACCAGCGTATGCTAGTCGAGAGAATTGTGATTGTAGAGGGAGTAGAGGCAGGAGATCCGGTTACCTGGGATTGCAACACAGGAAATGCAGCGGCTATATCGAAAGGGGCGCAAGATGGTTGCCAGGACAGCAATGAAGATACTTACTTACTAACTGACCATCAGCAATGGTGTTGGCGTAGTGAGGCAGAAATTAAGAAATTGGGTCTATCGAGTGGTGTCAGAAAGGTGAGTATGTCATTTTCTTTTTTTCTCCGTTTTCCCTTATCTGGTTACGAAAGAGCCAACTTCCTGAGTTTTCTTCTCCCATGTTATCTTCTAATTTGTGAAGGTGTGGGATATGCTTCAAGCTTATACGCTATGAGCCCACCGGTCTTCTAACGCGGTGGCTTGAAATGAGGCTCTTCCAATAAACCGGCTCATCATTTCGGGCAGTTTCGAGTGGTTCTGGTTGTGGTCCACGTGTATGATGGATAACAACCATGGAATTCAGCAAATTGTGGATATTTTTATTAATGATGCGCAACTCACACGATTCGTTACGACCAATCAAGGAAGAACGGGAAATCTTCTCGACAACCGTGGATGATAGCAAATTTGTCTCTTTGTCGTGTGGTACAGATGCGAAAGCTGCCAGCTGGCGAGCAGTTTGGATATAGTCCCTTTCGGCCAAACCACCCCAGCTCCGTGGGTGAAACAAAAAACTGTCGAGCCAAACATGATCAGAGACATGATCACACCCGGCAACAAAGACCTCCCTCCAACGGAACAAAAATTGTTTGAAAGAGTTATCCATGGGTGCTGGTTCAAAAGAATGGCCGTGGTTCGTTTTGTTTCCTGTAGTGTACCATTCTCACGGGAGGTGTGACTTGGTGGAAGAAAAATGTGGTGATGGAGCAAAGCAGATATTCATCATACTGTACATTTTCAAGGGCTGCCTGCCGCACCGCTTCCTTGCCTGCCATTCCTGCCCTGCCAGTTTCCCCCCTAGCCGCATCCCCGCCATTCATCGCATGCACGCCTGCATCCCCCCATCCCCTTCACACAAATCCGCCATCCAGTTGTGAGTGAGGGTGAATGAATGGACTGCTTGGTTGGCTATCCAGATGCCCTTTCCGTTTTTCCCTACCACCGTACTCCACCGCTTCTCATCCTTCTGCATTTCTATCCAGCCCCTGTCGTGATGTGAAGCAACCGCACCGCATCACAGCCTCACTCACAGCCTTCCTCCAGCCGATCCAGAACAGTAGACAAACCCATTTCCGCCATTAGCAGGTTACTTTTCTTCCTCGCCACTATCCACTCCATCTGATCCCTTCATCCCTTTCCCCTCTGTGTGCTGTCAGCACACCAAGGAGCAGTGTCACTGGCTCCTGCCCAGCCGAGTCCTCTCCTTCCCACTTGCAACGGCTGTCCGCGCCGATTACCAGTCATTCGCCGTTATTCGCGCACTCCGCCATGGCGCCCAGTTTCGGCCGTCCCTGGTTCGCCATTTTCAACACGAATCCCGTGCAGGCCAAAGAAGAGAAGGCCCCGATGCCGCCGTCGATCGATTTTCAGCCGTCGATTCGCGTTAGCCAGTTCGGCGGGAAGAGCCAGCGGCAGCTCGCAGGGGTCTCCAGCAGCCCGCTCGTGCAGGACCACGTCGCCGCCGTCGCAATGCGCGCCCGCCTCGAAATGCGCAAGGGACTGCCGCAGAGCACCGTGCGCCTCCTCGATCCTCCGACGATGTCGCTGTCAAGCTCCGCCCCCCGAACCAGTCTTCCGCCGGCGGCTTCCGCCACACTAACCCCCCCGCTCAGCGCCAACACTGAAGCCGTTTCCGGAAATTCAAGCGCTACCAGTCAAAATACTTCCGCCATTTCACCGGAACCTGTTGGGATGAGAAAAAATCCTTCCGCCAACCCTCCGCCGCTAACAATCCCCCCGCTCGCGCCGAGCCTCTCCGCGCCCATCACCCCCCACGGCACGACCGCCATGCAGCCGCCCCACACGCCTGGATCGACGGTGGCAGCTCGGGCAACCGCAATCGCGCCAATGACGGCGGAATCAGATCTGGTGGCGGCGCCGCTCAAGGTGGCGGCGCAGTGGAGCCGAGAGGAGTGGCTGCTCGTGGTCCGCGCCGTGGAGGGCGGCGCGACAAGGTGCTTGAAATGCCCGAAGCAGTCCGATTCCATGGCCGCCGCAACACACGGCGCCATCCATCTCATCCAAAGCCTTAAAACGACAACTGCCGCTTCGACGCCAGGTGTGAACCCGGCCTCGAATCCAGGCTCGGCGAAAGGCTCGGGATCCGGTCCGGAGCAGTTTTCATGCCCTGCCGCTCCCGCGGCAGTCGTCCCGAGAGTGGAGATTCCCTCCTCGCCGTCGCGGCGTAATCTGTTCTACACCACATCATCAGGGTCATCTGATGACACCACATTCGTCGATGATTCCGCCACGCTGGCGAGTCGAACCTCCACCGGCTCCGCGTCGAATTCCGATGACGACAACACCGTCAACGTCGCGACGCGATACGGCAGCTACAGCAGTTTCAACAACAGCAGCAACAAGGGCGCTACGACCGCTCAGGCGCCGTCCACGTTCATGCTTCCGAGCCCCTCCGGTTGCCCCCGCACGCCCTTCTCGCATCTCATGCCCCCGCCGCCCGCGAACCAGCTAGCCGTCTCTTCCCGCGGCTTGCCGGCCGGCAGCATGATCTTGCCCAGCCGAACCGACGCGTCGGAGGAGCTCCCAGCGTGTCCGTTCCTCGGCCACTCCGCGCGCTACAGCAGCTACGAGACAAAAGACGCCGGCCGCGCGGCCGAGCCTCCCTCACCGGCAGTCCCGCGGACGATGCCGTTCAGCGCCATGACGACGCGCCGCAGCGCCGACGCGTCTCTCCCAGTGCGATCCGCGACGGCGGGATCGGTAAGCGCAGCCGGCGCGCGCGGAACGATGAGCGGAGCGAGCATGGGGATGAGCGCGAGCGGCGTGCAGGTGGACGCGATGAATCGCAAGCTGCTGACGGTGATCACCAAGACGCACGAGATCTTCTCGCGAGACCTCACGCCCAACGGCTCTCAGGTCGCCGATTACCTGCTCTCGCAGCTGCTGGAGCTCACCCAATCCGAGTCGGGCTTCATCGCGAGCGCGCTGAAGCGCGCCGATGGGTCGCTGTACCTCAAGACGCACTCGATTACGAACCTCGCGTGGAACCGCGACCTGCGCGCGTGGTACACGGATAACGCGCCGAAAGGGCTCGTGTTCGGCAATCTCAAGACTATCTTCGGGCGCGTCGTGACGTCCGCTGACGTCGTCATCAGCAACGACGTGCCCAACGATCCGCGCGCGTCGGGACAAGGCGTGCCGCCCGGGCACCCGGTGATGCGTAGCTTCCTGGGCGTTCCCTTGTTTTCCGGGCCAGACCTGGTGGGAATCTACGCGGTGTCGAACCGCGAAGGGGGCTATAACGAGGGGCTGCTGATGAGCATCCAGCCCGTGACTAAAACGGTGGCGCAGGTGGTGGTGGGCGTGCAGCAGCGGCGCAAGAAGTGGGAGGCGGAGGAGCGACTCAACGACATGCTCGAGGTGAGGGCTCCGCGGAGGTGCTGTGCGCGCATGTGCGGGATGGGAGGGGGAAGGCGGAGGGAGGACAAATAGCCGCTTGATTGTTTGCTCTTGTCCGCATCGTTTCCAGCCAAACAGCCATCCGCTCAACTCAAATCCCGAGTTTTTCCCATCTCCCCACTCCCCTCCTCCACTGATTCAATGACCTACCAGGCGACACAGCATGCAATGGTGGCGGTGTCGGCGGACGGCAAGCTCACGTGCGCCAACCGTGCAGCACGCATGCTCTTTGCCCTGGAGAGCAGCACGGAGGGCGACGGCGATGGGACAGGTGGCAAGCTGCTATTGGGGCTGACTCTTGCGGATGTGTTGGTCAGCATCGATGGCAATGATGACTACATGCAGCGAGGTAGGTTTGCTGCCCATTCCAGCTGTGCAGCACGCCCCTCCCTCTTCTGCCAACGCCCCCCCTCTCTTGCCCCGACACAACCCCCTCTTGCTCTAACACTGTGTGCTCCAAGTGCCCTCCTGTGCCTCTTGTCTGTGACCGCTCTTGTACTTCCCAATACCCTTGGCCAATCACTCTGCTTCACCTCATTCCACCCTGTGTTATCAACTGCAGGCCTGGATGCTTTCGCTGAGGAGTCACTTTATGAGTGGTCGGCCGAGGGACGGCAGCACCGGCCGCACGGTGAAGAGGATGAAGGCGCGACCGAAGCAGCTGGTAGCATGGCCTTAAGAATCACCGTGGCACGTGGCTCATCCAGTGACGTGAAATTCGTGGTCACTGCCAGGGAGGCTGATGCAGGGCACGGGAGACACGCAGGGGAGGAGGCTGGTGGTGGCAGAAACGAGTCGCAGCACAGTCGTGAGGGGCATGAGGTGGTGCATGTTGATGAGCAATGTGAGCTTGTGCTGTCAAATGAGGATGGCACCCTCACAATTCTGGCTTGAGCAGGAACTCTAGAATGTTTTTGTAGTTGTGTGCCCACGTTAGTAGTTTAAGAAGATATTATATAGGCTGGATTGGAGTCACGCCCATGTATTAACAAGAGGTATTTGTGAGGAGTCTCCAGCAATCTTGCCATCACATACTGATTTCACTAGCGCCATAATCTATGACAGAAACGACCTCCAATTACCAAGTGATACCGGGTATGAGGGCGTCGGCAAATCACCCTTCCCTTGGCGCACTGTGATTGTATTGATGTTGGTGTGAGTCATGCCGCCGTTTCGAGGCTCGCTTGCAATCACAGATTACCCGAGCCTAAGGCGAGCGTGATATTAAAGAAGATGACAAAGCACATGGTTCGATTCGCCCAGCCAGAGATCAAACACGGGGTCGCGCTTGGGTTCCAATAGCGCGAGAACAAGAGGGGCTTGCGTGGCCAATGAGAGCTCTTGAAGCCTTTCAAGACAGGGGCTCGCCTGCCCACCGACTCCAAAGATCACCGAGGCGCAAATGTTCATTTGCCCACGGTGGCACTTTCACGAGCTGCCTAGTCGTGAGTCTATAGCCTCGAGGCGCGAAAGCAACACCAAAGCAGCGAATCACAGGCATTGATGCCGTCCACACCGAAGCGCCAGGGGCGCTATTCTGTCCCTTGGGCGCTGCTCGGCCCCTTTTCGCCCCAAATTCAGCCCCTCCGTCCAACATTCAAATTCACCATTGTGTCTTCTAATTGCCAAACACAAGTTTACCTGAGCCAAGCTTTAGGAATCAGCAAGCTTGGTTGGAGCAAATAGTCCATTTCTTGCGCCCCTCGACATCCATTGCCACCATTTGAAACTTCGCCAGCTCTTACCCGCGATTCTGTGAACGAATCATGTTGTGTTCCATGGCTCGTTTATCTGTCGGTCTTTTTGTCGCCGCCATTCTCGTATGTGCCTGCACGACAGTGAGCGGTGGCGAACGCGAAATTGAGACCCTCAACTCGGAAGTACGACTTGCGTCAGTGGCCCCACGGTACTACGACGAGCGGCTTACAGTTGCATCTGCGGACCTGATCGCCCGTCGAAAGCTGAAGTGAGTATCACTTGCTCATCTAGTTGAATTGTTCCATCCCACCTCGTTTTTGCCCTGTTCATGGCTGGCTAAACTGAATGCGATTCCTTGATTGAATTTACTTGGCAGGTCGCACAAAAAGAGCAAGAAGGACAAGAGCGAGGACAAGAGCGAGGACAAGAGCGACAAGAGCAGCAAGAGCGATAAGAGCAGCAAGAAGAGCAGCAGTAAGAGCGTCAAGAGCGCCAAGAGCGTCGAGAGCAGCAAGAGCGACAAGACCAGCAAGTCAAGCAAGAGCAGCGACAAGTCTAGCGGCGGGAGCGGAAAGTCCGTTAAAAACTGCAAGAAGTGCCGTTTGGGTATTGCGGAAGCGGCGGGGGCGGGAAAGCATAAGTCGGGCGTGTGGACGACGAACCCCGTGGACAAGTGCTGGTGGTCCGCGGACTGGAAGACCAACCGCCAGGAGCTCGGCAATTGCGCTCCGGGATTCGCCACCGGCACGACGGGCGGAAAGGGCGGAAAGCTGTACGTCGTGACGACGGAGGCGGACGACCCGGTGAACCCGAAGGAGGGCATGCTGCGATACGGCATCATCCAGGTGCGACGCCATGCGACGCCATTCGACGCCGTGCGTCACCTTCCTCTCATCTGATGCTTGGCCGTCAACGGTGTTGATTCGACAGCCTGATTACTGTTGCTCCGACGCCTTCTCCCGTGATTCCCTCTGAACTCCACCTCTTCCCTCTCTCTCTATTCCCTCTTCACGCCTCCTTTCCCCCGGTGCCGTGCGCGCAGGAGGAGCCGCTGTGGATCGTGTTTGAGCGCGACATGGTGTTCGACAAGCTCAAGGCGGAGATGATGATCGCCAGCGACAAGACCATCGACGCGCGCGGCCGCGCCGTCGTCATTCAGAACGGCCCGTGCGCGCGCGTGGAGCGGGCTACCAACGTGATCATCGAGTCCGTCATTTTCCGCAACTGCACCATGCGCAGGTACGCGCTTGAGTCCCAGGTCGCGCTTGAAGTTTATTCGCAGCGCGCACCTCACATTGTGTCCCCACGAGCGATCCACACGTACTCTCCGCCCTCGGTGCACCATGCTTCATGCTACTCGCATCACCCCCTTGCGCCTCCGCACTCCAGCGAACTCACCTTTTGCTTCCCCAACCCTTTCCCCTTGCGCTCTCCGCAGCGGCACAATTAAGGTGCGGTCCGCGAGGGGCGTGGAGGTGAAGGATTGGCGCGACGGCAACGCGGTGGAGGTGTGGGGGTCGACCAAGGTGTGGATCGACCACTGCGGGTTCGAGAAGGCGCTCGATACGCAAGTCAACATCGTCGTGGGGTCGACGAACGTGGCGGTTACCAGCAACTATTTCGTGAACCAGGACGAAGTGATGCTCATGGGCAACGACGATTCGGAGACGGGAGACGACAACATGCGCGTCACCGTCGGGCTCAACGTGTTCGGCCCCAACTGCAACCAGCGCATGCCCCGGTAAGTGCCAGACCCACCCACTAAACAACACCCTGATTTCCTATATTATTTTTCTCGTTGCTTCAGCATACATCTGCCGACACGGCAAGATGTGGTGAGTGGATCCTTCTTAAGTGGCTCCTTTTTCTTTCCCCTCCGCCAACAGCGGCCGGCACGGGCAGTTCCACGTGGTCAACAACTACTATCCCAACGGCTGGGGCATCTACGCCATCGGCGGCTCCGCTAACGCGCGCTTCCGCAGCGAGGCGAATTACTTCGTGGCGGGGGACGTGAAGGAGGTGACTAAGCGGCAGGACACGCACGGGTGGGAGGCGAAGCAGATCAGCGACAAGACGTGGACTAAGATCAAGGTGTCGAGCGTGGGCTGGCAGAACTGGCCGTGGCAGTCCATCGGAGATCACTTCGAGAACGGCGCCTTCTTCACCGAGTCGGGCAAAAATGTCTTCGAGCCGCCCTACGTCTTTAATGCCGTGCCCGCTAAGGACGTTCCCGTCGCTACCAACAGGGCCGGGCCGCTGTTCCGGCGGTATCAGAAGCAGATGTGACGGGGACAAGTGGAATAAAGCGCTGTTGCTTTGTTGAGTTGCGACGCCTAGCGGCGGGAGCCATGCTTTGGCTACGGACGAACGGAGGTCTCCGATACAGCACCAGAGGAAAGCAGCCTATACTAGGGATGCTTCACATGCGGCGCTATCACTCGTAGGAGGTAGTTTATGTATATGGCTTGATTGCATTGCGGTGGTAGTTTATATGGCTCGTAGGATGTTAGGCAGTTCGCTCATACCAGCTACCATAGAGCGTTGTTACTTCGTGGAACTGTGACACTTGGTAGCCAATCTAGGACCTTGGCGCATTGCTTATGTAATGGTTTTGTCATGCTTCATAAGATCCCTTCCATTTCTTGAGCTGTATTACAAGAGAAATGGATGTGCACAATACCAACTGTAGTTGGTTGGATTGGAAGTATGACCACATGCTCCATCATTTCATGCAAAAGCATGTGACTTTCCAACCTGAACTGACCAACTCATTTTAAGATAACAAGCAACTTTTCAATGGCGAATCTTCCTATTCACATTTCTCTATGCAACTTGCTCAGATAACAAGCAACATTTCTCTATGTCAATCTTGCACTGTCTTCTGCACCAGCATCAGCTGCACCAAATTCCCTTTCACAGCTGTAGGCTCTGCAGTGCCACCTTCGCAGCCAGTGCCGCCCGGCTCTGCTCCGCATACTGCCGAGCCAGTGCCGCCCGCTTCATGGTGTCGGTCTCCTCCATGGCTGCCAGGCGCTTCTGCAGCAGCCCATGCAGCTCCGCCGCTGACGCTCCTGTGGGGGTTGGGGGTGGGGGGAGGGAGCGAAACTGAGAGATGAGGGCCACAGGCAGAGAGATACAGTCCGTCATCACATCACTAGTCGGTCAGACAGACAGCCATGTTGGCATCAGAGGGCAGCATGAGGTGAGTGAAGACAGGCAGTGCTCGGTACAGCACAGCACGCACGGCATGGTGTGCCCATGGTATAGGGAGGCAGGGCACGGCATGGCGCGGCATGGAGTGGAACGGCATGGCGCGGCATGGAGTGGAACGGCATGGCGCGGCATGGAGTGGAACCGCATGGCGTGGCATGGGCAAGGCATGGCATGGTAGGCATGTGTTACCTGCGACTGGTTGCAGGGCAGCAAAGGTGACGAGCTCCTCATATGATGGCAGGTACTCCCGGTAGGGAGGCACCTCTGGAGCTTTCACCGAATCAGCACCTTCCAACGTCCCCCTGCCCTCCCTGCCCTCCCCAACACTACCTGCCTTCTCATTCTCGGCCCCACCCTCACTCTCACTGCTGCTGCTGCTGTTGGTGCTGCTGCTGTTGCTGCTGGAGCCACTGGTGGTGCTGCTGCGAGCAGGGTTACCAAAGTCAGGGTCGAGGGGCACAGAGGCGGGATCAACGGCCACTGTGCTCTGGATGGCCGGTGTCGGCAGCCCCTGGAAGCCCAGAAACCGGGCAGCAGACTCGAGCTGTTCGGGCGGCAACTGGTCGGGCTCCACGCCATTGTCATCGGGCAGAATGGACCATGCGGATGGCGATGCCTCTGTGCTGCCACTGCCGCTGCTGCTGCTCGTTGCATCGCCTGCATCTGCACCTGCGCTTGTGTCTGCTCCTGTGCGTAGTGCATCACCAACTGTCTGGGGCGGGGTGGCGGCGGGCTGTTGGGTTGCAGCGGTGGCGGCGGTGGCAGGGGCGCCAGGTGCTGTCGGTGCTGCTGGTGGCGCAGCAGCAGCAGAGGCGGCAGTGACGGTGTCCACCCAGCGCAGAGCCCTCTCCAGAGGCGTCTGTAGGGGCACGTCTGAGGTGGTCTGCAGGCAGGGTGGAAGGATGGAGGGCGAGGTTACGCAGTGCTTCACGCTCGCAGTGGTGCCTCATCACTGTGCATCCCTTCTAGACCATGACCTCGAATTTCCAGTCCAAGGGAACTCACTCGTCCTCACACATTCACCCTGCCATGCGCCCTACCTTGATCTTGATCTGCAGCTCCTGCACGTCCCTGAGCACCGCTCTCAACTCCTCCACAGCCCCCTTCACCTCCTCACCCGCGCCACCCGCCCCTGCCCCTTCCTGAGGGCGGTCATCAGAGACGACAGCGACCTGGCCGCGCAGGAAGGGCTCCACCTGCGTGAGCTGCTGCAGGCGGATGCGCCCCACTCCCCTCACCGCCACCAGCGCTCCCACCTGCAGCTTGCGCACCTGTGAAGGGGAGGGCGGAATGGGGACGGGGGAGGGTGGGGAAAGGGCGGAAGAAGGACATGGTTAGAAAGGAGGTGCTGTGGGGGACGATGAGCAGGAGGGGGCGCAGAGAAGGCACACGCAAGAGAGTGGAGGCAGGAGGTGGAAAGGAGGTGGCGAGAGGCATAGGCGGGCGGCGGGAGGGGAGGGAGCGCACGCTTTCAACGTAGGAGAGGCAGCCGTACGAGGCGACGAAGGTCATGCCCTGGCCGTCCTCTGACCGCATGGGCTCCAACACCACGTGCCCCAGCAGCCCACTGCTGCGTGTCAGCACCTGCATCGGGTGTGCACGGGATGCATGGGGTGCATGGGGTGTGCATGGGGTGCATGGGGTGTGCATGGGGTGCATGGGGTGTGCATGGGGTGCATGGGATGCGTGGGGTGCATGGGGTCTGCATGGGGTGCATGGGGTGTGCATGGGGTGCATGGGGTGCATGGGGTGTGCATGGGGCGCATGGGGTGTGTAGGGTGTGTGGGGTGCATGGGGTGCACGGGGTGCACAGGGTGCATGGGGTGCATGGGGTGCATGGGGTGCACGGGGTGCACAGGGTGCATGGGGTGCATGGGGTGCATGGGATGCATGGGGTGCACGGGGTGCACAGGGTGCATGGGGTGCACGGGGTGCACAGGGTGCATGGGGTGCATGGGGTGCATGGGGTGCATGGGATGCATGGGATGCATGGGGTGCATGGGGTGCATGGGGTGCATGGGGTGCATGGGGTGCATGGGGTGCATGGGGTGCATGGGGTGCATGGGGTGCATGGGGTGCATGGGGTGCATGGGGTGCATGGGGTGCATGGGATGCATGGGGTGCATGGGGTGCATGGGGTGCATGGGGTGCATGGGGTGCATGGGGTGCATGGGATGCATGGGGTGCATGGGGTGCATGGGGTGCATGGGGTGCATGGGGTGCATGGGGTGCATGGGGTGCATGGGGTGCATGGGGTGCATGGGGTGCATGGGATGCATGGGGTGCATGGGATGCATGGGGTGCATGGGATGCATGGGGTGCATGGGGTGCATGGGGTGCATGGGGTGCATGGGGTGCATGGGGTGCATGGGGTGCATGGGGTGCATGGGATGCATGGGGTGCATGGGATGCATGGGGTGCATGGGATGCATGGGGTGCATGGGGTGCATGGGGTGCATGGGGTGCACGGGGTGCACAGGGTGCATGGGGTGCATGGGGTGCATGGGGTGCATGGGATGCATGGGGTGCATGGGGTGCATGGGGTGCATGGGGTGCATGGGATGCATGGGGTGCATGGGGTGCATGGGGTGCATGGGGTGCATGGGGTGCATGGGGTGCATGGGGTGCATGGGGTGCATGGGATGCATGGGGTGCATGGGATGCATGGGGTGCATGGGATGCATGGGGTGCATGGGGTGCATGGGGTGCATGGGGTGCATGGGGTGCATGGGGTGCATGGGGTGCATGGGGTGCATGGGATGCATGGGGTGCATGGGATGCATGGGGTGCATGGGGTGCATGGGGTGCATGGGGTGCATGGGGTGCATGGGGTGCATGGGGTGCATGGGGTGCATGGGGTGCATGGGGTGCATGGGGTGCATGGGGTGCATGGGGTGCATGGGGTGCATGGGGTGCATGGGGTGCATGGGGTGCATGGGGTGCATGGGGTGCATGGGGTGCATGGGGTGCATGGGGTGCAGGTAACATGGTTGAGCAAAGGACTGGAAACATGATATGATACGATGCTCTGTTTTGCTGGGAGAGATGGCTGGGTACTATATGAGCTCTCCAAAGGACTGTTCGCTAGTGCACTGCCCGTTACAGGCACGCATATCCAATGGCATTCCCCACATACACCCAGCGCACGGCCCTTCCCATGTACCCCCTCCGGAGCACTCCCCAGTGCAGGTGCGCCCGGTGCAGGTGCGCCCGGTGCAGGTGCGCCCGGTGCAGGTGCGCCCGGTGCAGTGTTCCCCGCGGCAGGGGCGACCCACCTCCTCGAGCAGCGCGAGGTAGCGCGCTTCGTACAGATGCAGTGTCTTGGATGACCCGGGCAGGAACACCTGCCGCCATACGTGCACACGCGGAGGGACACACACAGAGGAGACATACGCGCAGGGGACACACGCGCAGGGGACACATAGGAAACGGACAATGTGGGTCACTGGTGGAGCTCTGCAGGGTCACGAATGGACGAGCCAGTTGATACCGCCATTGTGCAATGTGCCTGAGCTCTGCAATGTGCCTGAGCTCTGCAATGTGCCTGAGCTCTGCAATGCGCCTGAGCTCTGCAATGTGCCTGAGCTCTGTAATGTGCCTGAGCTCTGTAATGTGCCTGAGCTCTGCAATGTGACCTGTGCAAGAACCACATTTCCTTGACTTGCAATTGGCCCTCTTCATTCCCCCGTTCAACCCCCTTGGCTCTCCCCTTCACCCTGCTGACTCGCCTGTTGACTTGCTTGACTCACCTCGGCGGGGTTGAAAGGCAAGCACGGCAGCTCCATCACAATCCCCTCCTCGCTGCTGGCGGCGCCACCGTCTCTGCTGCCTGCATGCGCACATGTGGCAAGGCGGGGCGATGCGACACCGAAGAGTGGCAACAGAGACACGATTGCATGGTCTGAGAGCGATGCATTGACTCCTGGCTGGCCGGAACGAGAAATGGTCGGAGGGAGGCGAAAAATCCAGCGCACGGAAAGTAAGGAGGTCCGGGAGTGAGGTGAATGGAGCGACGTCACGTGAAAGGAATGCCAGCAGGAAGCACCTTACTCGGCTTAACGGAGAAGTCGCTATCGCGTTGGTCGGCTGCCATCACGGAGACTCGTCGGGCTCGTCGGAATCGACCTGGCTGCTGTTGGAGTGTCGACCGATGCATTGGCAATCGCGAAAATGAGGAGATAGGAGCGCGGCATTGGAGCGATGCGCAGGGGAGAGGGAGGCGAGAGAACGCAGGTTGCGGCGACGGAATCTGGCATCTGCTGTGAAAGGGATCCGAGAGACAGCCGCCAAGTTGCCGACTTCTACGTACTGACGCGGCTGGCGACAGGCACGAGCGTGGAGCGTGGACTGTGTTGCAGCGAATGAGGTCCATGGTGATCGCGATCGCGACGGCCTTATCTTCTGCGTCCGCGTGCCACGCAAATGACGCTTCCAATGAGGATCAGCAAACGGACCAGACACGGATGCCCGAAGAAATGACGCTACTGCGTGCACGCCTTGAGAACTTCTGGAGCCTAAGAACAGCGAGTTGTGCAGGGAAGATGAAATTCAGAAGCGGCTGGTGAGGAAAGGACCTGCCTGACCGACTCGACTCACCTGTGAACGCAGTTTTGGCGGGAAAGGAGAAGCAGCTCACGTGGCCGCTTCTCGAAGTGCATGCTTCACGCTGATTGGGTGCAAGAAGAATAGCGTTCGTGTATCCTCGCCACAATCAATGAAGAATGAACAACAAAGAGTAAGGTTTAAGCAAATGGCTAAAAATTGTAAGAAATTTTTGGTAAGACTTGTTAGCACGGCAGGGACTGATGTGAATACAGTTATCCTAACGGTGTCAGCCCTAAACTTGCAAGTTGCATCTTGCAACCATTAATAATAACAAACCTAAAAACGATTACAGCTCATCCTTCCTCTCATCCTCATCGTCCTCTTCCTCCGCATTAGCAATCTCCTCCGCCTCAGCCAATTCCTCTGCGGTCGGGGGAGCAGCAGCGGCCTTCTTGGATCCCTTGTGTTTCCTGACAAAGGCGAGAAGACTGGCTTTGGAGTTGTCGCCAGCATAGGGCACGGCCACACCAGCCGATGTGTAGAGGTAGATGGTGGGCAGCGCCTTCACGTCAAATTTATCCGATGGAATGTCGTTGGCAGAGAAATCCTGGGAGCACGGAGTGTGCCGGATATGCAGAGAATGCGGCATGCTTAGACATTGTGCACCTTGGGATGCAGTGCCATGCCAATCCAGATGCTTGTATTCAAAGGTGCATTGTGCACACATCTGCATGCATGCTAACACCCATCCACCATAGTAGCCCCAGCACTACACACAAGCACGCCATGGCAGGCCGCTCACCATCTTGGCGACAACAACGTCCCTCTGACCGGAGAGGGACTCCGCCACGTCTTTGAGCACGGGGTCCAGGTCAGCACACGCCGTGCACCAGGGGGCGTGGAACTCCACCAGCACTGGTGTGGGGGGGTGAAGGGGAGAAAGGGTAGGATATGGCAAAGGAAAAGAAAGTGAGGAAGAGGAAAGGAATGCCTTTGCGGCGTCCTTGAGCACGGGGTCCAGGTCAGCACACGCCGTGCACCACAGGGCGTGGAACTCCACCAGCACTGGTGTTGGAGGGATGGCGGGGAGAAAGGGGTGCGGGGGAAAAGGGCGAGGGGAAAGGTGAGGGAGAGGAGAAGGGGTGTCTCTGTCACGACCCTGGGCAACGGGGTCATAACGCTGGTTCGCTGGGCGGGGAGGAGTGGAAGCAGTCACAGGAGAAACTCCAAGACAGGGAGACGGACATGCATGCACACACATGCAAGAAAACACAATCGAAGTCAGACAGGCTCTGGATGTGACTGGAACAGCGGCAGCAAGGCAAAGAACCCAGGACCAACAGCACACGAGCAACAGCATAGCAGTGAGAGCACGAGCGCATGAGCAGGGAGGCGTGAGGAAGGGGGCACCATTCTTGCGGGAGTTGAGCACTGCGTCCTTGAAGCTGTAGGCCACGACCTTCTTCACCACCCCTGAGTCCCCCTGCGGCACCGCCTCACTCTTCAGCACCCTCTCCGCCCTCCCCGCCTGCTCCCAGGGGGGCATGGGTATGGGAAGGGGAGGGAGACCAGGGAGAGTGAAGGGAAGCGGCACGATTGGGTGGGTTGGAGGAAGGTGGAGGCACAGGTGGCATCGAACATACAGAGGGTGTGGTATAGGAAGAAATAAGGAGGCAGAAGTGGGGGACGGCAGCTGTGTGAAAAGCGGGGTTGAAAGGGGGCAGACCCAATGGAGATAAGAGCGGAGCGAGGGGGGCCTGAAAGAGGGCAGCACTGGGGGAGGGCGCACCTGGAAGTCGGCGAGGAAGGGGACGATGTCAGAAGGAGCAATGTGCGTGCGGATGAACTTGGCATCGTAGCGCGGGTCGTGAATCACCATGGCTGGCGTGTCACTCACTGCCAGCCCAAAGTACTGCCAGGACGCACACGGGGCCGAGTGGGTGGGGGGCAGCACACAGAAAAGGCTTTGTTGGAGAGAGTCAGGGGGGGGAATAATGGGAAGATAAGCGTGAGAGTGCTGTGAGGAGCAAGCTGAGAGCACAAGATAATTCCGAGGAGATACTTGTGGGAACCGGTGCATGAACGGCATTATGTCAGCATGGTGTGGGTGTGGTGTGAGACTGAGTGAGTGAGGCCATGGTATGGTAGTCCCTACTGCCCTCTCCCCACCTTGAGAGCATGCTCGTTGGCAGCAGCCTCCCCAATGACGAGGCGGATGGAGTCGGGCTGCTCCTGTGCCGCCTCCACGTACCGGCTGCGGAACTCTGGCGCGTCTGGCAGGCTGTACGTCAGGAACAGCAGCGACTGCAGGAGGAAGGGGAGGGGGGGGACGTGGGGGAGATGCAGAGGGGGACAGGGAGGGCCGCAGGAGAGGGATGGTGATGCACTGCCTGCAGGGCTCAACTTTTTCAATTGTGCAGGCTTTATGCGAAACAGCAGCGACTGCAGGATGGTAGGACGAGCGCAGAACGACTTCAGTATATAGTTGTGGTGCAGGGAGAGAGGGCGAGCAGCCGAGGGGGAAGCATGGGAGAGCCACAGGCAAAGGAAGCAGAAGCAGCAGCAACAACAGCTAGAGAGAAGGAAGGCCAGAGGGGTGAGGAAGGAAAGAGGCAGATGGCAGACCTTGTTGGTGGGCGCCTGGAAGACGCGGGCGAGGTAGGGGCGGTCCTTGGGGTCCTGGCTGAACTCCACCACCCGCGGCACCGCCTGCCGCTCTATGAACGCCCTCAGCGCTGCCGGTGAGAACTCCTGCTCGGGAAAGAGGGGGGGAGGGGGCAGGGGGCAAGTGGGGGAAGAGGGGGGGAGGGGGAACCAGGGGGGGGTCCTTAAAGGTCCTGGCTGAACTCCGCTGCGTGGCGCTCTATGAATGCCTTCAGCACCGCTGGCGTAATTCCTCCTCACGAGAGGGAGGGAGGGGCAGGGACGGGGGGGCAGGGGACGAGCAGTGCATTTCATTGAGCCGTTGGCCTGCCTGCACAGTCCCGCTTTGCATGAGCAATAAGTGGCAGGAGCGCCTGAGGGGCCCTAGCCTGCTTCTAAGGAGCATCAGGGGTCTTTCCAGGAGAGGCATGGGTTGGGGGGGAGCAAGGCGTGTGTGGAGCAGCATGAGGTGTGACGCAACACAAGGCTCGGGGAGGCATGGGTTGTGAAAGCGCAGGTGCGGAGTTGAGGCGCAAGGCTCACCTGTGTGTCGGAGTAGCCCTCGTCAAACTGCTTGAGCAGGCGCACGGCGGGTGCCTCGAGCTGAGGGCCCTTGGCAGGCAGCAGCAAGGCGTCAGTGGTGTGCTTGAAGACAAAGTCCGTTCGCAGCTCCCTTGCCACTGACAGGAACGACTCAAACTCAGGCGACGAGAGCGTTGCAAACAGCCCCACCTGGCGACGGATGGGTTTGGGGGGAGTGGCAGAATGGTGTAGGGGAGAGAAGGTTGGGATGGGAGGGAGGGGTGGAGTGAAGGTTATGGGCCAGGCCAGACAGATGGTTGGCAGGGGAGCGGCGGCATGGGAGGCAAGGCGAAGGAAGGTGGAAACAAGAGGTGCGGGTGAGACACACACACACGCCACACGGAGAGAAAGGCACGAGGATGGCACATGGTGCATGGTAAATGGCGGGTGACGTGGCGCATGTCGCAAGGTGCAGGGGCAGCAGCGACTCACCACAACGACGCTGTCGTCCTCCATGGCGCGCTTGAGGTCCGACCCCGACCGCACCTTGGTGCTGGCCGGCCCCGCCTGCTTCTTCAGATACGCCACCAGCCCCGCCGCCTCCCGTGGGCCCTTGTACGTCAGTGGCGACGCACGGGGGGGGAGAGAGGGGGGGCGGGGATGGGGAGAGGCGGGTTGGAGAGAGGTGGGGAGTGGGAAAGTGTTTTTTGAGGCACGTCAACAGCATGTCCCTGGGGTGGGTGGGGCGTGGGGGGAGGAGACGGAGGGAGGGATAAAGAAGCGGGAGAAGGGAGAAATGGATGGAGACTATGGGGCAACTCACAGTCGTGCATATGCGTGAAATACTCATGAGAAAAAGCATTGTATCACAGCAGGCGCCATATACACAGGAGCAGGCGACTCACTGGCGGAAGATCTTGATGGTGGGGAAGCCCCCCACGCCGTACTTCCTGGCGAGGGCCTTGTGCTTCTTCTCGTCGCCGTTGATGCGCGCCAGCACTATGTCCGACCCCTCCTCTGCCAGCATCTCCGCTGCTTTGACATACTGCGCGGCACGGCACATAGGGAATGACGACCAGACTTTTCAGTCGGACTCAGAAGTTGATGGCCTTGTGCTTCTTCTCGTCGTCGTTGATGCGCGCCAGCACTATGTCCGACCCCTCCTCCGCTAGCATCTCTGCTGCTTTCACATACTGCACAGCACAGCACATTCGGAATGACGAGCACATGCCACGTGGCATGATGTGCGCGTGCAGGCGGCCAGTCATGTGCAATGCGGTGACAAGAGTGCGGCTTATGGTGTGTCAAGGTGCAATCACGGTGGGGCGGTATGCATTGGAGCAAGCTGCACTGAACACGGAAAGCTGTTAAGCGCCATTCTCGTGACACTGTTTTCGCCTTCCTTCAGTCGCTCTCCTATCACCCAACCTCTTCCTTCTCTCCGTCATTGTCTTGCAATCTGCCTCCTATCCCGTCTCCACATCTCCCTCGCGCGCTTACCTCTGGCTCTAGTCGTTTGCAGTGACCGCACCTGCCGACACAAGAAGGCGAGGCGGTGGGGAACGAGGGTAAGGAAGGGGAATGGGGGTCACGGCGAGGGGAATGGAGAAATGTTTGGCGAGGAGGGTCGAGGTCGATTCAACGGGGAGAAACGGCGCAGCGATGCAGTTGGAGCACAATGCTGCGACGATATTCGGGAACTGGCATTAAGTCGAGTGCCATTACGGAATGCAATGCCGGAAAGATGTGCCACCGCATGGACAAGGAACGCGAGCGCGATCGAGCATCGGGAGAGAGGGAACGCGCGTACCAGGGAGCATAGAACATAACGGCTATAAAGTCGTGACTCTTAACCTCCGACTCGAAATTCGTGAAGTCGAGCGTCAGCACCTTGCCATCATCGTCCGCTGCAACGCACGACAGGCTGACTACGGCTAGGACCGCGAGCAACGCCAGCGCAGCGCGCGTGCCAGCCATGGTGAGAAATGCAGCCTACAACCTTGTCTAAGAGACAAATCTTAGCACCAGAGGAAGAACCTAGGAATATTACCAAGCCGAGAGACCAGCAAATTTGTGCAGTCCGGTCAAGACGGAATGGTTTTGCCGATAGTGGTAATTTGGTCAAGGTGGGGTGGGAAAGATAACTCGATCATCCCAAGGTCACTGGCGAGAGTCGCGTAGATGAAACAGTTGCGACTACATGTTTGTTGTACTGGCTAAGCTTACAATAACGTGGCTACGTGGTTACTAAAAATAACCATATACAAATACAAAACCACTACAATAGCCTACAGCTAGTGGATATGCTACAGCAACCCTCCACGAAATCCCTAGGCCCAAACCTGAGCCAGGATGAAGGCAACTAGCTACAACAACCCTAGACATGTAGCATGAACCTGCATTTGTAGAATATTTTTTGGTAAAATCACATAGAAATGTGTGATTGTTCCTTTTACGAGGACTGAAGGGCCTGCTGCAGGACAGCTTGCTGCTCCGGGGGCAGAGCACCCACGATCTCCGCAGGTAGGCTCCGCAGCAGCGTCACGGCTCGCTTGTTCGTCTCCTCTGTTGCCAAATCCGTGCCAGCCTTGAGCACCTGGAGGAAACAGATTAAGAGGCATACTCTGCTCCGAAACCATCGTATTTGAGGTTATGAAAGTACGGCATGTGTGGCAAACACCAGCATGGGCACAACAGATCAGCGGCGACATGGCAGTGAGTGCATACGTATTCAGAAGCCACGTTGTGCAGGCACATACATACCTCTAGCAGCACTCCGACAATGTGGGGCAGGTTCTGGTTGTTGGGGCCCAAAATACGAGTGTCCGACCTGACCAGTGGAGGGAACGGAGTGGAAGGGAAGATCGGGGGGGGAGAAAGCAGGGTGTCAGACAAAGAAGGGGGGAAGTCAGGAAAAACAAAAATAGCACGGAGTCTTTATCATGGATTTTGAGGGAGCGCATGCATGGGCAGCAACACACCTTTCCAGCAGGCCGCAGAGCTGGGCGTGTGCAACCTTGGCCTCGGCACGGTCCTCGCGGATGGGCAGGTAGGCGAGCCACACGGACAGCACGTGCGCGGAGTCAAAGGGTGCGTGCGCCTGGTGCTCACACAGCCGCCCCAAGGCTGATATCGCGTTGTCCGTTGCTGACACGCTCAGCTCGCTCTTGCTGTCCCCACTGCTCACCACCTGCCCCAGCCGTGCCACCGTGTCTGCACGTGTGCATGGCAGACAGCGGAGGAGATGTGATGGGGTGCACACCAAGAGGTAAAGAGAAGATGATGCATTAATAAGGGTGCTTCAATCAGCAGGGCATGCGGATAACTGGGGCCAAGGGAGTGGAGGTGGAGGAATGGAGAGTGCGAACGCGGGAAGCAAAGAGCCGTTAGCAGGAGGGTGGGGGAGGGAGAGGGAGCGCACCTGGCACGTATGGAGTGAAGGCAGCGCCACCATGTTGTGCGCAGATGCCGATGCCATATGCTGCTGACTGCACACACATACACGGGTGCAGGAGGGGCAGGAGAGCGTGTGAGGGTGTGGAACAGCACGAGGAAACACAACGCAGCAACAGCAAAAAATGGTGAGCGTCCTCCAGCTGGGAGGGGCGGGCGTTACCTGTCGGATCTCGGGCAAGGGGTCGAGCACGGCCTCCAGGATGTGCGGCAGGAAGGCCGGGAAGTAGCTGGTGGGGGGCGAGAGGGCGAGGGGATAAGCAGGGAGTGATAGATGGTATAAGGAAAGGGAATCGTGCCACACATAGCACACCACAGGGAAGGTGGCACACAGAGCACATACACGCCACAGGGCCTGGCAACGTGGCAGAGCATGGGATGGGAACAACAGGGAGGACAAGCGAAGGGGCAGCACCTGGCAGCAGCATCGCCCATGTTCTCCGCCAGGTCGTCAAAGATACAGATGCCCACCCTCCTCTCCGTGGCCGGCCGACTCTTGTTCTGCACTCGTGGAGGAGGAAAGGGCGGGCGGAGGAGCAGAGCCGAATGCAGTGTTAAGCTTGTTCTGCTAGAAAAGGAGAGCATTTGAGCTAGAATGAATGGGAGCATGAAGTTAGATGAGAGCAGATAGGTGTTTGCAATGTTTGCCCCAAGGTTTGGAGAGGCAGCACTGACCATCATTTGAAGCACGAAGGGAGCGAGGTCGTCCGCGAATGGCTTGAAGCTGCCCTTGAACACCCTCACCAGCTCTCCTATGCAGTCTCCCACCTGCCACACGGCAGACAGCAGCACAGTAACGCAGATATCATCAGGTGCTCCATCGGATCTTGGTTGATCCACGACAATTACTTGAGGGACAATGTCAGTCCTTCTCCACCCATCTTCGCCACTTATCACCCTCCCCCCCTTTACGAATTCGACTCCCTTAGTTCCCTCCGATCCCTCTCTGGACTGTACACGTCAGCCCCTGAGCCCCAGCTTCTCTTCCCCCATTGGGCCTTGTGCCAACTGAACTGCCCTCCTAGTCCTCTTCTCTTCTCCATCAGATCCCCATTCACATGCACTCCACTCCCTCCCTCTTGCATTCAAACCCCATCTCATTGACTCCTCCTCTCACCCCCCCCTTTCCCAGTGATATCCCGTCCCACACCCTCCTCACCACGCCCAGCAGCACCACAGCAACGACTGAGGGATCTGGTCGAGCACCTCGTCCTCCTGCTCGCTCTCCTCCTCTGTCTGCATGCGCTCCAGCTGCTCCCTCTTCCCCCCCTGCCCCTCTCCCTTCTGTATCCCTTCCCCTTCTGCCATCCACAGCACCGCGACAAGAGAACGCACCTGATCAAGCACCTCGTCTTCCTGTTCGTTCTCCTCCTGCAGCAGCTCGCTCTCCTCCTCATCAAAGTCCTCTGTCTGGGTGCGCTCCAGCCGCTCCTTGCGCCGCCCCCGGCTGCCCTCCACCACGGCCTTCAGCTGCGCCACCACCTGCGCCACCTGCTCCGCACTCAGCTCCACCCCTCCCAACTGGAGTGACGAGAGAACAGGAGAGGAGAAGAAGAAAGGAGAACAAGGGGAGAGGGGGGAGGAGGAGGGCAAGGCGGGGAAGAGAGAAGAGGGGATTGGGTTAGCTGGGTGGAGAAACAAGCAGTATGCCAACCAGTATTTGTGACCGCGTGCCTGATGCTGGAAACACATGAAACCATGTTGAAAACGCCTGATTCCATGCCCGAAACCCCTGAGTTCATGATAAATTCTCGATTTCAACTCGTGTTGAAAACTCCTGGACTCGTGCTAGAAAAACCTGGATCTTATGTTAGGGAAGTCCTGGGCTCACCTGAATGCATTCTTGCAGAGACTCGAGCATGACCACTATCATCTCCACCTCTGGCTCCTGGCAGTTGGGGGGGGGGGGGGAGTGCAGAGGCATGGAGCAAGAAGCAGGGGGTGTGAACAACACGATGAGAAGAGGATAATTCTGTCCACATCGCGCCATGTTTGGGAAATGGCGGAAGCTCCTGCTTCAACCAAGCTGATTCTGTACAGATAGCAAGCACCCACCGAGGTGAGCACCCACCGAGGTGAACACCCACCGAGGTGAGCACCCACCGAGGTGAGCACCCACCGAGGTGAGCACCCACCGAGGTGAGCACCCACCAAGGTGAGCACCCACCGAGGTGAGCACCCCCACCAGGCATCACCCCCACCAGGCATCACCCCCACCAGGCATCACCCACCTTGGTAAGAACCTCCACAAGAGGAGGCACAAGGAAGTCGACCATCTGCTTGAGGTAGCGCTTCTCTCCCTCCGCTGTCGCCGTCACCGCTGGCGCCATGCCCTTCTCCACCGCCAGCTTGCCGTCCAGCAGCAGCTCCGGGATGGCTGTGCACGTGGGGGAGAAGAGGGGAGGGGAAGGGTGGTGTGAGGTGCGGGGAGAGGGGGGGCATGCAATGCGCCACGCCCTTCTCCACCGCCAGCTTGCCATCCAGCAGCAGCAGAGGCGTGGAGAGGTGTGGGGAGAGGTGTGGGGAGGGGTATGCGGATGTGGGGGGAGCGGTGGGGAGAGGCTGGACTCAACCCATGGGATCGAGCACAGAGGATGGTGCAAGGGGACC